TTAACAGGGCTTAAGTCGCCGTCATGGTATTACTATACTTAAAGAAAAGAAGCAGCAGTCCGGAGAGAAGCAAACAAACCAATACAGAGAAGCTCCAAAAAGCAAAGGAGACCTACCTGAATCCACTAACACCTGAACGAGTAACCTCAGCCCAGCAAAGTATATTTTAAGGTGTGATGGAGATGGGAAGACGGAGAGATCTGGCACTCTAAGCAATTTAGTCACCCGTTTAACAGAAACTCAGCACTATCAACGGACTAAAGGCTAGCTTTCACTCCCCGCCCTCCCCAGTAAACATAATTTTGACAGGAAGGATTAAACCGCGAGCCTTTTCCCGTGTCCAATATTCCCTGAAAAGCATGGGCACCAAAGCGGGAAGAGATGGGAATCGGCTTTACCTGCCGAAGGCAAAAGCTGCAAATTTAACTTCCTACGTTTCTGCTCCCGGAGCAGCTTTCTTCCGCTTTTAAAGGAAATGTATATTTACTGACATATTTAAGAAAAGGAGAAAGGAAAAGGAATTAACAACGATTCACTGGAGTACGCATGCACTCGTTAATATACAGATAGTACGAGGTCTGTATAGGAAAGATCTCCGCAGAAAGTCAGCCAGAGATTGACCTGATATTGGAGGCCACACTGGCGATCTCTTTGGGAACAGGATAGCGGCCCTCTAGGGCGACCCCGGCGGGAGCGGAGACCGGGACGGAGAGGGAGGGGGCAAAAGTCCATGTCCCCTCTCCGGGGACAACCTCCGCCGGTGACAGCATGCAAAAAGAGGGAGAAGCCGCCTACCTACCTCTGGAGTCTTTGGCTTAACTCCTTAGTCCAAAGAGAACCAAAGAGAGCTCGCGTTTGCGCATAACCACCCGCTGTTATCTTTGCCTCTCCGCCCTCTCAAGTCTGCCGAAAGTTAGATTGTAAGCTGCTGGGAGAGGGACCTGTCTTCTCTCCACATATGACACCGCAAAAGGCCCAGCCGTGAAACAAAAACAGCAACAATAAATATTTGAAATAGCTCATCCTTCCCCACAGACGCAGACACGTACTTCGGAACTCTTCTTGGGGACCTGGCGCCGCTTTTCCAGGGATGTTCAGACGGCGCATTTCAGGGGCTGGATGTCTCAGTGCAACCCTTGGGTGGAAAACTCGGAGATGCCCAGAATGGCCTCAGGCTCGGTCGCAGCGCTGCCTGCCTTCCTCCCTCGAAGGCTACAGCCCCAGGTTCCCCCACTCTTTGCACTGGCAGGCAAGATTGGCTAAGGGGGTCTCACCAACCAGAAGGTCCAGGTACCCTAAAGCATAATCCATGCAGAGTGCCCCCCACCCAGTCCAGATGTGCCCCTCTGGAAGACACGGGAGTTTCTCGCTTTCCAAAAAGGACAGATCCAAGATCTCCATCTGCTTGCAACTGAATTATGATTGGAGTTAAAATTATCAGCGAGTTAATCATACCGTGGTTAAATTTTAATACACAAAACAGGGTGGGCTCTTTCCCGTTCTTCTTCAGTGTCCCATACTGAAATTATTGTTGACTTCTTAATAACTTAAGAGTGACATCCTTTACAACTAGTAAATTAGGGATCCTCTTTTTGCCACTTTCCTCACAGGCGCCTTTGAATTTGTTGATATTTTTGTGGGGGCAGGGGAACACCACCACAAACTCTATCCAGTGTACGGATTTGTATAAATGTTTCAATTATAGCCCTAGTAACAATAACAATACTAGACATTTATTTAGAGCTCTTGTGTAAGTCCAAAACAGTTCACACACATTATTCCAGAGGTCCTTGAACAACTTTGACATGTAAATGGGACTGTTATCCCATATTGCAGACACGTCTGCGTTTGGAGAAAGTGGTGGTGCAAAGCTTGAAGTTGATAGTTTGTTCACTTCCTTTTAAAAATCGAATTAATATTTAATTAATCTTTCCTCTGTTAAAATTGCAGAAACAGTGTACAACACTTCCTATAATGCCTGTTTGGAATTTGATGTGAACAAGGTTCACCAGAGGAGGGTTGCTGGAGAATAGGCTGTGCAGGCAACAGCAACCCTTTCCTTGGAATTGTAATGACTGCAGGACATCCATGACAAGTCTGGACACAGTGAAACATTCAAACAAAATTGTGCAGTCGCTAAATGTAGTGAGCAACATATCTAAAAACAGTCAAGAACCACTCCCATTTCAGCCATGCACTCCTTAGGCCTCCTTAGGCAATTCTGTACCCTCTACTCAGAGTCCCACCCATTAGGAGGATTGCTGTGAGACCAGCCTATTGCTTAAAACTTGAAATGCACCTCTATAAAAATGAAAAATGTGAATAATTTCTTATATATCTTCTTCCTATTCCTACTGCACTAGTGTTAGATTAGAATTTTGGAAAGCTTACTTTCAATTCAAAAGAGGGAGGCATTAATGATGTTTATTCAACAATATTCAGTTGGGCTCTTCCAACCTGTAAGCGAGTCTCCAAGTTTGTTCTTGGAAAGTATCATTTATCTTGCAGACTAACACATGCCAATTAAAGTTATGGGTAGGTAGGTGAAAACGAACAGCCAAAGATAAGCATTCAAATGTCCCAGTGATATTTTAGGGAGAATCAAAACATCTGCTGAATTTAGGCTGAAGATTTCAATCCTTTTTTCTTTCTTTTGTAATGCACTCTGCTTATGAAGGTGGCCACACTCTTTCTCAGTGATTCACTTACACCTCTAATGCACACTCAGTCATAGGTACCACTTGTTGTAGCTGCTGACTGTTGTGCTCTATTATCCCTGATCTCTCTACGGACAGCCATCCAGTACTTCCAGGATGTTCCCCACTTGTTGCTTTGAAGGTCACAAAAGATACTGACAAGCAGCAACCAATGGGAAGCTAGTCGTTTCTATAGGGTTGCCACCTTTCCCCTTAATAGAGCTCAAGTGCTGTTCAAAAGTGCAGGCAGAAAAGAAACAGGTGCCGGTGTTCTCAGCATGGGGATGCAGTGACAGCAGAAGCTGTATCTCCTCTGTCAATCAAGTAGCTTTCAAAAGATGCAGGATTGTTAACCCTATACTTACGTGATGCTGCCACAATTCACTCTACAACCAATGATATTCAATAAAAGCTCTGTTTCCATATTGTCTCTGTTCCTGTCAAGTTAGCAGACAGGCTGTCCATCTTCTATCTCAACTCAGATGTGACCAACACATTGGGCGCACAATGTGAGCAGCAGGCAATGGGCCTTCTACCATGACACTACCAATCCACCAGCCTTAGGATGGAAGGTCTGAATTTCTTTTTGCCTATTGCAAGCCATGAACACTGGAAAAGGTGACTGGTTAGGCCCCAAGAGCTCACAGTCCTTTTGACTCCCCTCATGGTAACTGCTGGCATGATAAATCTGAACTGAAACCCTCAAAAGGTGAAAAAATTGAATTAAATATGTGAGAAAGGAAACGAGCAGGATTTTTATTTTTATTTTAAAGGAGGGAGGGAATGATCAACCAAGCAAGAATGTTGCTGTGCAATGATACAATGATGCTCAAGGCATGACAGCAGATTCACCAGTGAGGTGTTGCTGGAATCAAAAACATTGGTTAGGTGTTGCTGATTTTTAAGGTGAAAGAAAATACAGGTTTTTGGATGGAGGAAGACTTTACCTAAATAAAGTAGGAAATTGCTGGAGTGAGGTCATTACAGTGGTACCTCGGGTTAAGTACTTAATTTGTTCCGGAGGTCCATTCTTAACCTGAAACTGTTCTTAACCTGAAGCACCACTTTAGCTAATGGGGCCTCCTGCTGCTGCCGCACCGCCGGAGCCTGATTTCTGTTCTTATCCTGAAGAAAAGTTCTTAACCCGAGGTACTATTTTGGGTTAGTGGAGTTTGTAACCTGAAGCCTATGTAACCTGAAGTGTATGTAACCCGAGGTACCACTGTAGTCCATTTGCCAGCCATTCCATGTTCTATGACTGGTAAGGATGTGTCTGGCTCCTTCCCAACCCTTTCCCCTAGGAACCAGTAGTCAGTATCAAACCTGCCATTTCTTGTATGCTGAGCCAGTCAGGTTCCATTGACCTATAGTTTCATGTAGTGGGTCCAACAGCTAAGAAGGTGGTTTCTGCCCATGCTGTAGAGGGAAAGGTCTGATCCTAATCCTCCACTGCCTTGCAGGATATCTTCTGGAAAAGAAAAGGCTAAGGAGCAAAACCCTATACAAATCTGGAGTGGAACCTCCTTCCAGCAACTCCTGTAAGGTAAAGGTAAAGGGACCCCTAACCATTAGGTCCGGTCGTGGCCGACTCTGGGGTTGCGGTGCTCATCTCGCTTTATCAGCCGAGGGAGCCGGCGTACAGCTTCCGGGTCATGTGGCCAGCATGACTAAGCCGCTTCTGGCGAACCAGAACAGTGCACGGAAACGCTGTTTACCTTCCCGCCAGAGCGGTACCTATTTATCTACTTGCACTTTGACATGCTTTCAAACTGGTAGGTTGGCAGGAGCAGGGACCGAACAACGGGAGCTCACCCCGTCGCGGGGATTCGAACCGCTGACCTTCTGATCGGCAAGTCCTAGGCTCTGTGGTTTAACCCACAGCACCACCCGCGTCCCATAGCAACTCCTGTAGCTGGTGCCAAACTTATTGCTCTGCTTTTCTTTGGACCATATCAGCAAGGCCAAAAAGGGGGAGGTCTTGTCTGGTCACCCAGGACCTCCACACGCACTGCTCAGGCTTATACCCTGGTGAGGTCACTTTGGTGCTGCTAACACAGTGGTTTGACTTCACCCCCAGGGGCAAACTCCATTGTCTCTCAAGACAGTGCCAATGCAACAATCCTTCCTGTTACTCATGTCTGTGAGTGAAACATTCAAAGCGATTGGCTTAGTGTTTAGAATTAAAACACTTGGCTAGCAGAGTTTAGATCACCATCCTTTGCAGCATTAAGTGGAAACTCTGGGAGCTAGGCTGTTTAGCATTCTTACCCTCTTAATAAAACAATCAGGCAACAGACTGTAGAATAAACATAAAAAGTATTTACTTACATAAAGTACTTCACTTGATTTGAGCTGTAGCAGCAACCAAAATAAGGCAGTTAAAAACTACTTCTAAGTTACAAAATACAAAATTAGCTTCTAAAATGAAGTCCCGGCTCAGATGGAGCACAGACACATGCCTGGCCCGTCTCCATCCTGGGAAGAATGAGGAGGGAGGCTAATATATCTTTAATCCTTCCCACCATGGGAAAAGACATCACACAGACCCCTTTCTACCAATTACATTCTATGGTCTGAATCCAATTGTCTAGAAATTTGAACTTTTAATTCCTTACCCCTACAGTTATGATTTGTGGGTTCCCACTTAATTTTAATTTGATTTTAAATGTGACTCGAATTGTATTTTGAATTAATCGTTTGATTTTGTGTTTTAATGTATTATATATTTGGTGTTAGCTACCCTGAGCCCAGTCTCGGCCGGGGTATAAATAATAATAATAATAATTATTATTATTATTATTATTACTAAATTTGTGGTTGTTAGACCCTAGATCTAACAAAAGTATGCACTGTTAGTTTTGGATGCAAATCTCCCACAAACCCGTTCTCAGACAAATAGAACCACTCAGCCACCCAGAGTCCCATCATGATTTGAAGGTTCTCAAAGCTATCTCTATGTAGAGGTTTGGTGAGAATATCATCTGTCATCTCTTTGGTATGGCAAATAGGTCAACTCGACAAGTCCATCTTGCATCCCCTCACACACAAAGTGGTACTTCACTCCAATATGCTTGGTTGTTGTATGGAACCTCTTGATCTGTGTTAGCTTCAAACAGTTCTGGTTATCCCCCATCAGCTGAATGGGCTTCTCCTACACCAGTTGGTTGAGCTAGGCTAGCTCTTTGCATGCCTCAGTAGCAGCTACATACTCAGATTCTGTAGAAGATAAAGCTACACAATTTTGTTTATAACTGTCCCAAGAAATGGAACCATTTCCAAATAACATAACCACCTATTTACTTATAGTCTTTAGTGTCCCCAGTCCATCAGCGTCCAAGTAACCTACCAGTTCAAGATTACTGTCTGCTGGCAGCTTAAGTTTGCAGTTCTTTGTTCCCATCAGATATCTGCACAACTCTTTTGATAGCTTACTCCACTGCGTTTTGCAATATCTGCTCTACTTGTTGTGGTCAATTACAGTGGTCCCTTGGTTCTCAAATTTAATCCGTTCTGGAAGTCCGTTCCAAAACCAAAGAGCACTTTCCCATAGAAAGTAATGCAAAACAGATTAATCCGTTCCATACTTTTAAAAACAACCCCTAAAACAGCAACATGAATTTTACTAATGAGACCATTGATCCACAAAATGAAAGCAATAATCAATGTTCTGCACTATAAAATAAATAGGACAGTATTGTAGATGATAAAAATTAAAATAATTTTTTTTCTTACCTGCACCGATAGTAATTGTTTGGATAGGGGGCTTTTATCCATTTCTACAGTCACACAATCAATCAATCATTCAATCATAAAACGAAAAACAAGCCAGACACAAAGATAAAAAAGGCACACAAAAACATAAAAAATAGTGAAAACAAAAGACCAAATATCACCTCAGAACACTACAATCAGAAACGGAAGGCTTTAATTATGATGGGGCGGGGGAGACTTAAATTTGCTGCTTAAGGGTAAAACGAGAGGGGGAAAGCCTTCATTACGATGGGTTTTTTTAAAAAATTGTGGTGCAAGGGTAAAATGAGAGGGGGAAAGCCTTATTTACGATGGGGGGGGGGCTTAAATTTGCAGCTTAAGGGTAAAAACGGAATGGAAAAAGTCTTATTTATGATGGGGCGTACTTAATTTTGCTGCTTAAGGGCAAAACGAGAGGGGGAAAGCCTTAATTACTATGTGGGGGACTCAAATTTGCTGTGCAACAGTAAAAATGGAAGCTCAGGAGCACATTCGGCTACCTGGGCAAAGTTCGAAAACTGGAATACCTTCTTCGGGTTTGCAGCATTCGGGTTCTGAGTTGTTCAGGATCTAAGATATTTGGAAACCGAGGTACCACTGTACAAAAGTTTTCCTATCACTGACCTGTACTGATTGCTGTCAATTAAGAGTTTAGATTCATATTGGCTCTTTAGAAAATCAGAAGCTATAGGTATGGTTACAGCTTCAGCCTGCCAAGCAATTCAACAACTTGTTTTTGGCTTGGAAGACTGGATCCATCCTCTGATCCTCCTCTTTCAATTTAGACTCCTAGGTAGTAGGAGACTTTTCCTGATTCTCCGACTGACACATCCTTTGCTACTAAATCTCAGTCACTCTTAGTTGCAATGATCAGGTCATCCACAAATGCTAGAACATAAGGACATCGTCCATTTTTGTGTTTTGTGTACAAACACTTGTCTGTGTGACCTTGTGTGTGACCTGTGTGAGCTGTATGAACATGCTATGCAAATTCTCATCCAACAGCAGCTAAATTAGATTTATTTGGTTTGACAAAACCATTCGGCTGCTTCATGTAAAATTCTAAAGGTGTTCTAAAGTAGTGTATCTGAATACTGGAGCAAAAGTTTCATCAGTCCTCTCCAAACTTTGGAAGGAAGTCTTTCCCCACAAGCCTTGCTTTGCAGCACTGAACTTTGCCTTCTGCACCCTGCTTTATCTGGAGTACTTCCAATTGCCTTCTTCCCAGGAGGCAGCTTGGTGAGGGTCCAGGTCTTGTTCTGGTGCAGGGCATCAAACTCCTCCTGCATAGCATCTTTCCACAGAGCAGCTTCAGCGACTGGCATCTGCTCTATCTCTTCCCAGGTGGAAGGTTCTAGGGGCTGCTCCAACCCTGCAATGCAGGATAGTCGCAGAGGTGGAACACTTCTGTTGAGTCTTTCAGACCTCTGGTTCTGGAATTGCATCAACATCCTCATATTCACCCTCCAGTGGTAGTATCTTGACATCACTCTCCATCTCATCCCCTCCGGTGGTGCTATTTGGAGTCTGGTTTTCTGCTGCTTCTTTCTGTTCATCATCTGTGCTAGAAGGTATGAAAGTAAAAGCTAGATCTGGACTGCTACGTATTGTGAAAAGTACAAAGGGTCTTGTGTTTCTTTCACTGACTGCTGAGAATAATCTATCACAGTTCCTCTTTTATCAGCTTTACTGTGCTCATCAAAATGAACCACGTCTTACGCTGACCTTTCCTGTTTTTAAGTCCATAACTTTTATCATTTTTGCCCCCAGAAGCATATCCTACCATAATTCCTTGTTCTGCCCTGGAGTCTGGGTTGTGCCTGCTCTCTTTGTGTACAAAAGCATAAGCAATACTGCCAAATATACTTATGTGTGACAAGTTAGGTATTCTTCCATGCCAAAGTTCAAAAGGTGTGTGTAACTCCCTTGATTGGCAGTCAGTTTTGGAGATACACAGCAGTGGCTACTGCATCTGCCCACATGTACTTGGGAAGGCCTGCATCATTCAGCATGCATCTTGTCATTTCCAAAGAGACCTAAACCTTCTCTCTGCATCTGAGTTCTGTTCAGTGAATTTTTTTGGGAATAAATGTGCTTTTTTGATTAAGCTCAAAAATAAACATAACATAAAGTGTGCATTACAACTTGAGAAAAAAAGAACAGAAAAAAACACAAGAAAAAACAGTAAAAACTTTTAAATAGGCCAAAATAGCAATCATCTTCTATTCTGTTATTCTGTATTTTATAGCTTTATACATGACTTCCTGTCAACACCCAATGAGTTTACCTTTTCTGCAAAACATTTGTAGATTTCATAATTCAATCAAATTTATCATACACCTTACATATTTTTCACTAATCCTTTTCTCTAATTTTACTTCAAACACTGTATTGTTTACAGAGATCATTCAAATGCTGCCATAGTTGCCACACCCTGATTATAGTTCTGTAAATATTTTTTAAACATGTCCCATTTCTGAATAAAGCATTGATTTGAATTGCCTCTCTTGTCATCTGTGCCATCTCAACGTATTCTAAATGTTTAAACACTCTGATTTGGAAGGAACCCTTTCCCCCTTCCAATTCATTGCAACCAGGGTCCTTGCAGCCGCCGTGCCATATAGAAAAAATTCCTTAAGCCCTTTTGGTATTTTTTTATCTAAGATGCCTAGAAGGAAGGCCTCCGGCTTTTTTGGAAAAGATACTTGCATCATTCTTTTCAGTTCATCATTTACGATATTCCATAATTCTTTAATTTTTATACTGAGCCACCACATGTGGTACATATTTCCTTCTGTATCTCCACACCACCAGCATGTGCTCAGGATATTTTTATACATCCTAGATAGCTTTGACAGCGTCAAATACCACCTGAACTGCATTTTCATGAGATTTTCCTTAATATTATAACAGGCCGTAAATTTCATATTCGTTTTCTACAAATTTTCCCAGTCACTCATCAGAATAGTATGACCAACGTCCTGGGCCCACCTAATCATCACTTATTTGACCTCCTCCTCCTTGACTTCCCAGTCAAGGAGGAGTCGGTACATTTTAGGAAGTATCTTAGTTTTATTATTTAACAATTCTGTTTCCAATTTAGAGGGTTCTTTGGCAAAGCCCTTCTTTTTATCAAGTTTAAAGGTCTCGTTTAGTTGGAAGTACCGTAGCCATCCTGAAAAATGTTCTTTCATATCATCATACTGCTTTAAATTTAGTTGGGTGCCTTCCTCCATTAATAATGACTTATACGTGAGCCAGCCTATCTGCATATTCTTTTCTTTTCTTTACTGCATTAGCCTCCAAGGGGGAGATCCACCATGGGGTTTTAGGTTCAATCAGGTCTTTATATTTTATCCAAACCATATATAGCGCTTTTCTAATAATATGATTAAAAAATCCCTTGTGTGCCTTAGTCTTGTCGTAGTTAGGGTAGGCATGCCAACCAAAACAATTGTCATGCCCTTCCATATCAACCAAGCTCATATTTTGGAGTAGACATCAATCCCTTATCCAGAATAGGCAGGCTGCCTCATAATAAAGCTTCAGGTCGGTTTGTGTAGCTCCCTTGGTTGGCAGACAGTTTTGGAGATACACAGCAGTGGCTACTGCATCTCCCCACATGTACTTGGGAAGGCCTGCATCAGTCAGCATGCATCTTGTCATTTCCAAAGAGACCTAAACCTTCTCTCTGCATCTGAGTTCTGTTCAGTGTTTGAAATTAACCAGGCGCCAGCAGCATTTTGTGACAAGCAACTGGCCTTTTGAAAAGAAGGGAAAAGGAGGAGGAGGATGATGATACCCCAGCCATCTGGCTGGGTTTCCCCAGCCACTCCGGGTGGCTTCCAGCTTAATATTATTAATAATATTAATAATAATTTATTGAATTTTGAAACATAATAAAACGTTAAACATTAAAAACAGAGTTGCCTTCAGATATCTTCTAAAAGTTTTGCAGTTCTTTATCTCCTTGACATCTGATGAGAGGGCATTCCACAGGGAGGGCGCCACTGCTGAGAAGGCCCTCTGCCTGGTTCCCTGTACGTCTCGCAGGGAGGGAACCACCAGGCGGCCTTTGTAGGTGGACCTCAGTGTCCAAACTGAATGATGGGGGTGGAGACTATATATCCCCTTCAGGTGTACTGGGCCAGGGTTGTTTAGGACTTTAAAGGTCAGCACCAAGACTTTGAATTGTGCTCGGAAACATACTGGGAGCCTTTAGGACCAGTGTTGTATGGTTCCAGTGCCAAGTTTGGTGCCTAACATCTCCATCTGGCTGGCTGGCTGGCGTGGCTGCAATGCTGCACCATTCAGCTGGACTTTGGGGCAGCAGGGAACAAAAAGATATGCCTGTTTTGCTGCTGCACAAATCACCAGGTCAACAGGGTAGCATGGCACCAGAAGATGCACGTCCTTTGGTGCCGCAGTGCCCTATGGATTTCCTGGCTCACGCAGCACTGAAAGAAAAATGTATTTTGGTGCTGCGTGAGACAGGTGATTTGCCACAGCTGGCCAGTCACTCCAGCTTGTTGGGCTTCAGCGGCTCTTCCTCCATGAGGCTGGCATTCTCCCCGACTCTCCCTGTTGCCAAAACATCTGCCGGTGCCCGTCCAGCCATGTAGGGGGCCCTGCCTTCCTTAAGCCTGCTCAGGAGACAGCTGGCTGCCTCAGCATTGATGGAAAGGAGAGGTTCTGTGCCAAATTTCTGGATCTGCTTCATCCTTCTGACTTCATCCTTCTGGGGTCCTGAAAGATTGGTCTCATATACACCATTAGTTAAGTGTGCCCCCATCTCTGGTCACTTGGCACTTCCCATATTTAAACAGCCTATCAAAACCTTTTCAGTCCAAAGCAGACATATTTCAATTGTGGGACATACAGGACCTGCTGCACTGTATTCTCTCTCAGTTCATTGCTTAGCTTGCAATTTAAGGTTCATGAACCTGTGCCACATACCTTTATGGTTTTGTGCTCTGCAATTTGGATATTACCATCTACTGATTGTTAATGCCTCCAAAGAAATTTTTATCATAACTCATGTGTGAAGGGCACCCAGAATCAATCAACCATTTGTTTCATTTCTCATCATTAAAATTTGCAGTTAGATTCATCTGTTGTTCCCCTTATTTTGTCTTGGTTGCTTGTTTTCAGGGAATTTCTTTGACTTTTGTGCTTTATAAAATTTGGCTATGTATCCCTCTTTGTAGAAACTGTAGCAAACAACATTTCTGGATATGGCCTTGACTCTCTTCTGGGATTGGGACACATAAATTGTGTCACTTCCATTCCTGATTCAAGAGTGTTCGCTCCTTTTCACATTTTCCTCTAAGGTGTCCAACTGCATCACCAAGTGGTAAGTTTGGAATGTTATAGCCATGTGAGCTATAAACATAACAAATTTGTGTCCTAGTGACCCCAGGAAATAACTAATTCTGCATTCCTCATCCATTTTGTATTAGGAAATTTATATCTTTTCAATAATGGTTAGGAACTGTGTTTCATGATTTTTACAGTCCTCCTTGGATTCATGCCCTAAATGAATCTCTCATGATGTGAGTGCTTGCTTGTAAATCCAAATGCCTTTTCCAAGTTCTGAAGCATCTGAGCAGCTGTTTTTCTTTCCTTTGGGCATCTGTTGGATTTTCCTAGATAATAGACACTGCTAATTTATCTTGCTCCTCCCATAACTTTAAGGCTTCAGCCTCACCAGGTTTGGCTCTCTTGATACAATCTAAAATACCCACTCTATCAAATCTGGTTCTCAGTCATCTCCTCCACTGCATGAAATTTCCTTCTGTTGACTTAGGTAACTTGGGGCTTTCTTCCTCAACTAAATTCTTCCTATTCATGTGCACATTTGTTTTTCCAGGCAGCCTGCTTGTCCGTTCTGTGTGAAATAGAGTTAATAGGTTGGGTAACATTGTCAGCCAGTGTTCCTGATGTTGCAGGTTTATTTTGGCACTGTTGGTGCTTTTCATGCATGTCTGGTGGGGAGAAGCATTGCTAGGCAGTCATTGTGACTGGCAGTTTCCAAGGATGGGGTATGAGTTAACTGTAAATGTTGTGACATGCAAGCCTTGATTCACAAAAGGAAGGAACTCATACAGAATAGTGCCATTTAGATTGCCTGGAAGAAGGAAGGAGAAATGGTTAATGGAGCAGGCCTCTTCTTCAAGGAAGCTGTGTAGGGTCAATACTGGAACTTTAATTGGGCCTAGAAGCTAACAGTCAAAATGGGGCAACATGATCTCCCTATAACAGCTGGGTCTCGGCATTCTGCACTGGTAGAAGTGTTTAGACCATTTTAAAAGGCAACCATAACACGTTACAATAATCCAAAATAAAGTTGATCAGAGCTTAAATGAGAGCTGCTGAATCCCACTTCCAAAGGCTTTTGCAGCTGGGAAGTTCTATTAAATACCTTGATAAGAGAGACTTTTCTCACTTTTAGCAGCCCTCCAAGGGATTACTTTTCTAACTCTGTTTTGGATCATCCTCTGGAAAATCAGCCAAGGGGCTCCTGACTGCATGAAGAGTACACAAGGTCAAACTAGGAAAGACCAAGAAAGTATGATACAGCTGTTACTGAATCCACACCTTCCTTTTCCCTAGACAAGGAAATGCAAATTATGAACACCTACTATAGGATGGAACCAATATTTGTGAATTTACCCTCCCCATTGTAGCCCTCCCCCACTGCCTTCAACCTTGTTCTGGGAGGTCCCTCAATTCTCTGGAGCCCATTTCTGGGAGGGGATGAAGCTGGCAAATACTTCTTCCCTCTTTTTCCATTAGTGGAAGCACCCACTGGATCACTCCATGAACACAAGGCCATCAATGGGATTACACCCATATAAAGGAAAAATACATTATTAAGCTGTTCCCCGCCCCCGTACTATGCAATGTCTGCTTTCAGTAGACGCTTATAATTTAATGTTGAACTTAAGTAACTTTCTAAAAAAGCAGTTATAATTTTCATGCATAAGGTAGATGAGGAAGTTTATGTTTCAGTGTTGGCATAAGCCTAAACCATTGGAGTGGGAGTGCTGAGCAGCATAATTCACATACTTTTAAAAATGGTACACCTGGAACATAATCCAGCCAAAATTAAATCAGTTTTAGATTGATTTCAATAGGAACAGCTGCTTAACTGGTAACATTAGTTAGCCTAATATTGTGCCTTCATTGATGCTTAGCTCTTCCCACAAGATCAGTTTAACCTAAAATTCCTTACCTTTTTATTAGATTGCACCTCATGTTAGCTGTTTCTTGGGTTATCAAGTTGCAAACATAAATTGATTCACCAACAGATTGTTACCACTTTGCCTCTGATCAGAAGGCAAGGTGAGTAGAAAGCATTGCAAATTTTCTGCACTCTGGAAGTGGGGCATTCGGGACTAAGGTCTTCTTTGTCTTTGGCAAAGCTCAAAACAATGGACAGCAGATGTTTCAATCATTTACCCACCACCCTCTGGTTGCCTACCTCTTGTGGGGAATGTTTGCAGCAGTTTTAAACAAGGTAGAAGCCCATGATGCAGTAGTGTCAACCTGAAAGCTACACTTGGGGAACTGAATAGGCTTTTGGGTTCCCACCAGCAAGTGGAATGGGGTGGGGTGGGGAAAAACAAGGTGGCAATTCAACTGGCTGGTAGCAGGAAGATTATCAGTTACTCTACACACCGTCACTCCACTTCCTGGCTGGCTAGCAGCTGCTCTCTTTTACATCAACAATGGAACAACCCAAGGGTAGACCAAACACTTCTTTTATTTCAAACTCTGTTAAGCTTTGTGTACTTGTTCAACCTGCTGAGAAGGGTATCCAAGTGGCAGATAATTATAGATATCATAAACAAATTTAACTTGAAACACTCACATTTTACAGGATAATCCTGTCCTATGTGCGGTAATTTACTGATGCTGTTATCATATTGACTATTATTCATAGCCCTCTTAGTCTTATTGTACTAGAGCATTCCATAGAAAATGTATTATCCTACTATATAAAGGATCCATTAATCAGAAAAGTCAAATCTGATTTTTTTTGGGAGGGGGGAGTTTGAGGGTGGGGTTTCTTTCTTTTTTTCCTTCTTTTGTAAATCAACCTTTCCTATGATAGCTCATTTCTGTCAGCAGAGAAATTAATTTTGGGGGCAGGGTGATGGTGGAATCAAACAAAATGCCTTGTAACTTTCTTACTCAGAAGTAGATTAAAATCTATTAAGTTTTTTGTAGCTATATGTAGATATAGGACATAATTCAAGTAGGTCAGTTTATGTACTGCTAAACCATGGTTTGGTGTTATGAGAACAAGCCTTGTGCTCATGTGCTTTGATTAGTTATGCTGTAGTTTGTGGAAAACCATAGTTTGCTGTGACATTGGGGGGGGGAGCAAACTATGGTTTACATTCTCCCTCTAAACTATTCCTTAAGCTGGTCTGAAATTCTGGTTTGGAGGGCAAACATAAGTTTGCAGATTTGGATGAACAGTAAATTATGGTTTCTCAGCAACAAACTAGGAAATGACTAATCAGAGTGTGAAAGCACTGACTGTTTGCCTCCATTTTGTGATGTGCACAATTTGTCACCTGAAGCGGCTTTTTTCATTCATATAACTTGTTATGCACCAATTCAGTCCACTGGATCTGAATACTGAGTCAAACTGAGATTAAACAGGAGATCCAAAATCAAGGTTTTCTAGGAGCTAAAAGCAGCCACAGGAGGAAGAACTGAACTGAGGAAGGGATCGTGCACAAGAGGTTTTAACTGCTTGCTCCCATTCCATCTGCTTCAAACAGGGGATTCCTTCTCATAATATGCCTCAGAATGCCTGTTGCTGAGAACGTGAGTGGGAGTGCGCTACTGCATCTGTGCCTTGCTTGTGGACTTCTACAGGCATTTGGATAGCCAGTGTGAGAACAGAGCTGGACTGTGTAGGCTTTTGGTCTGATCTAGAAGTGCCTTTCCTATTTCTAGTATCTATCTGCCTGTCTGTATAGCAATATCATAAATATATTAAAAATTAACTATTTATAATATTTAAAGTACAGAATATGTGACAACATAATTCATATGAAGTCACAAATTCTTTATATATTCTGCTCTCATACATCTCCGCTTCATATTATCTACAACAAGGAGACACTCACTATTTTACTTTTCCAGGAATCTCCTGTCCTTTACATAAAGTTAATTTTACCAATTAATAGTAGTTTTAACAATTTCTAATTGTATTATGCTTGCATTTCAATATTTTGTATATAGTAGCTTGACTGCTGCTAGAGATTTAAGACTACATCTTGATTCTCACTCCCCTCCCCGACTACACAATCCTTCGTGTAATAACAGGCCAGAAGAACCTTTGGAATAAAAATCCTAGCATTGCTCTGATGATTTCAAGGATATTTCCCCCAGACTTCTTAGCTTTCATATTCTCTCCAGATGCATGAAATCTCATTACAGTACTAATAGCTGTGTTAAATCATTCCATAAATACTGTTTAACTTCCAAGGTATTAGGTGCCATTGTGATGCAAAGAAAATACTGCTTTGAGATGGTGAGACATGAAGTGTCGAACTCCCCCTCCATTGTCTTACATTGTTTACAGCACAATCCTCTGCAAGTTTACCCAGAAGTAAGTTCCATCAGCTCAGTGGGGATTACTTCTGGGGAAGAGTGGTAAGATTGCAACTGTATACACACTTTCCTGGAACTGAGTCTGAGAAAACAAAGTGGTATCTGCGTAGGCATGCAAAGGATTGCACTGTACAGTGGTACCTCAGATTACATACGCTTCAGGTTACATACGCTTCAGGTTACAGACTCCGCTAAATAGTGCTTCAGGTTAAGAACTTTGCTTCAGGATAAGAACAGAAATTGGGCTCCGGTGGCGCGGCAGCAGCGGGAGGCCCCATTAGCTAAAGTGGTGTTTCAGGTTAAGAACAGTTTCAGGTTAAGTACGGACCTCCGGAACGAATTAAGTACTTAACCTGAGGTACCCCTGTATAGGACTTAATATAGGACTTAATTCTAGTGCAATCTCTCCCAAGTAGTATCTGAGCTAGAAACTGCCTTTTTCTTTAAACTATGAAAACTGAATTTAATAAGTTCTTAGTCATCTTGCTTGCCACTGTTAAGAAGTGTTGGATTTGAAGATACTGAAAGAATAAAAACAAAGAAAGATATGTTGGTCCATAAGAAAAAGCTTCAAAATCCGGAGTTAGGCAAATATACCTATTAGGAGCAATCAAAATGTCAAATATAGGGAACAAGCTTTTGAGTTCTCCATATAACCCTCAAAATGCAGGCCACCTTCAGGTGATAGAAATGTTTCCTTTGGCTTTAGATTCTTCCCCAAACAGTTATGTTTGGTATTCTCCAAGGCACAAAAAAGACCAAGGCAGTCAATTGAATTCACACACACACCAACTAGGAATGCCCTGAGAAATTTCACTAATCTTATATAACCACCTTCCTTCCCACAAAAATTCTGAGTTGTTTCTCCTGGACAAATTCTCCAAATTTATGTGGGACAAAATCACAGCTCTCATCTCAGGCAATATTAGCTTTCTCTACTTCCTCAAATCTTTTTATTGGGCAGGAACCACCAAATTTTCTTAAAATGTTGCCTTGCAAGCAATGCAGTGCAACTGTGGTAGCAACATATAAGTAAGTTCTCATCTGCTACAAACACAAGAACAGTCAATGTGGTGTATTGGCTAGCATGTTGAAATGTGGCCTGTGCGATCTGGATTCAAATCCCTAGCCAATCTGGAGATCTTAGGCAAATTACTGTCCCTCAAAACAAGGTGGTTCTGAAGATAAAATGTGATGACTTTATGTTCCTAATCTCCTTGGAGGAAGAGCAAGGTACAAATACAATGGATAGAATTATTCTAGCAACACAAAGGATCCAGGCCTCCATGTGCAGTGAAGAAATGACTCTGAAAACATTGGTATTTGAACAGCTGTTTGTAGCTTGATTATATCTAGGTTCTACACACTTCAGTAAGTGTTCCTGAACATGAACCATCTTTGGTTCCTAAGCAGCATGTGCAAACTTATTCTAAAATGGATGATGACCTCTTCACTGAGAGATTCCTTTGGCCCAGGCCCTAAGATTCTTACAAAACATCTGAAGATTAAAACCAATACAGTCTTGTTATTCAAGTTTTAACACTTTTAGCACAAGCTTCTTCTGAACTGAGAACTGTCAGAGCTCATTTGACTGATACTGCAGTATGCAAAATGCCTATTTTTTCCCAACAAAACAATATATTTGTACATCAGAGAAAAGCAATTATTCATTTCAAGGAACTGTAGGCCTGAATGAAAGCGTTTCATTGCATATAAATTTATTAAAATTTAAACATTAAATTCAACATGTTAATTAGGACTGTATGCCATGCACTGACACTGACAGTAAGAAATGGATCTCAACAACTGCTCTGCAGAGATATGTTCACTGGTATTATTTGCTCTTTGATTACTAATATATTTATAGCACTCTTAATTTAAGACTTTTCATTAAAAAAGGTCTTATATGGGCATTATGTAAATTTGCTGTATGTCTTTTACATCAGGACAAGTGCTACCAATTTAAAGGGGGATGGTAAATAAAATGCATTTATATGTATGCCAAATGGTGCATAAGACTGCACAGTTAAATCAAATAAAGAAACACAATTTCATTTTAAAATATATAGATCACAGTTGAATTTATGCAAATCCATGATCTGCAAAACTGCAGAGTAACAGAATCAGTGCAATTTACCAGAAGCAAAGGAGTCTTGATACAACAGAGAACATCATTTTCAGATTTCCCCCCCTTCCCTGCCACTTGCATATAGTCTGTTGTTTTACTGCTCCTACTTTTAAAAGTTCATTTTGCATTGATGCAACCCCAAAGCAAGGCAAGGAGAGGTGGTTGCCTCAAGAGATCTATTTCCAAGGCAGCAGACAGCAGGAGAGCAGAAGACAAACAGACTTGAGAAACTGAGTCTGTTAATCCATCAGCAAGTTCCGCTGGGGAAGCTGGCTGAGCCTTAAAAGAGAAGTGAGACACTGAGACCCCCTTCATGTTCTTGGCTCAGACAAACCGTCATTTAGCTCCTCCCCTCCTAGAATAATCCCCACAGCAAGCTTCCACCTGGTCTTTATGTAACAGTACTGTGTTGTGTTAGGTAAGAAAGAGTTGCCACTTGGATTTGCTAGTCTTCCTGTTTCATCTCGATTCCTTTTAAAATTATGTCTCTTAAGATTATAAACTGTTCTTATAAAATGTAAACTACTGTGAGTGCTTTGGCATAATGGTGGCATGAAAATACCAAAACCAATAACTGAAATGAACATCACATTCCTCTCTCTCACAAAGATATATCAAATTGATATTTCAAGGCAAAGCAGGCTTTCCACACCAATATTGTTCTTGAAAGTAGTACTGGGTATTGATAAGCAGGTTAATACTTCTCCTTGAGAAACTAGATTGAAGTGCACTTCCACAATTTGCTTCAGCAGCATGGATAAACAGCACATCATAGTTACTGAATATCAGCATTGATACTTAAAAGTCCAGTCTGGACTTTGGAATAAAGATAATGATATCAAACTGCGTGGTTATCTACTCTGTACTCCTTGCTTAGACCTGAACCTTATATTTCCCTTGTAAAGCAATTAGAAGCTGCAATAAATTATATGCCAGGACAAAAAAGGCAAGCAATGTGAAAAAACAGACAAGTATAAAAAACAACAGGGAGCTTGTTGTGGGGAATTCTGTAGACAGTGTATCAATCAGAACATATGTAAGTTATTATTTGTAAAGAAATGCTCAAGGAATAGCTAAGTCTGTATTCTGTAGTTTGGTAGGCTCCAAGAAAAAACTCCTGCATGGGAGCAATTGATTTTTTTACTGTGGAAATCAAGGCAGAAGCAGGTCTTTTTTGTCTGAATACAAACAGGGGGTTTGGGGTTGGGTAGTACCTCTGGTGTGGGACATGTCGTGCTCCTTCTGGCTTAGTTTGTCCATCTTCGGTTCCCACCCTACACTCAGCTCTCACCTGTGGCTCCTAGGCTGTCAGCATGTGACAGCAACCATACCCCGGGAAACAGCTTCGACTGGCCAGCTGTTGGGTCTCAAAACCTCAATGAATTAGGGACTTCCCCTGCATGCGAGGATAGGCTTCAGCAGATTGAGTGGACGAGACCAATAGTGGGTCCAATGGAGCAAAATGGCAGTTTCTGCATGCGCTGTAGAGGGAAATGAGGGGCAGATGGATCTCATCAATCTGGGAAGGGAGCCCATCTAAGAGAAGGAAAACTCTGATCCTAATTCCCCACTGCCTTGCGGCTATGCTCATGTATGAGAAAGGCTTCAGGAGTAAACCCTGAGCAAAAATCTGCACCCACTGCCTTGTGGGACACCATTGGGAGAAGAAAAGGCTAAGGAATAAACCATACACAAATCCAGAGTGGAGTTGCTAAAACAGCTGGATGGTGCCTTGTACGCCGCCTCCTGGCAAGTCCTGTAGCTAAGCTGGTGCCAAATGTATTGCTCTGCTTTCCTTTGGACGACACCAGCAAGGCACAGTGGGGGTTCTTGTCACCTGGATAGCCCAGGACCTCCATACACACTAACCAGGCTTCCACCCTGGAGAGGTCACCTTGCTGCTGCTAATGCAGAAAAAACAATGCAGCAGGCAGCAGTTATGAGTTACCAGTCCTTGCAGTCACTGTGTTTCTCCAGTAATTTAACTTCATTCCTGGAGTTAGCTTCATTCCTGTCTCTCAAGACAGAGGCATTACAACAGGTGCCCCTTTCCAAAGGAAAAGCAGAAGGACCTCCAGTAGACAGTTATGATTTCCCCATGCAGAAGCAGAGAATGCTAGATTTTTTCTCCTTTCCTGCTGGACTAAACTTGATGCTGAATCTATTAGGCTAAAGTAGACATGTGGAAAATGTGGGGAATTCACTCCATTATCTTGCTGGTTTCCCAGCTTTCTTCCTGTCCTGTGGCTTTATGGTAAACCCATCTTTGTGTCCATGGGGTACATAATCTAAGTATTGTTTCTGAGTGCGGATTAAGTAAATAAAAGGATCCACTAAAAATATTAAATGCATTATACTTACTAACATTCTCATGGTGCTGTTACTTCCTTTATCCCAAAATAAAGTTCTCTTAAACATATTTTGTTCTACTTCTGTTTCCCTCCATATCGCCATTCTTATCCCAAACTAAAATAAAACAAACACAAATATTAATCATACAGATCCCAATTTATTTTTAGATCTCAATTATACCACAATTCAGAGAACATCATTATTAAGGTATAGTAGTGCAAACAGGCAGTAGTTGGCTACTGCTCTTATCTGCTGACCAAGGATGAATCCAAAGGATTGTCAATATGACTACGTACTCTTATACATTGTGGTTTTTTTTATTACTGCTCCTTAGTATATAATCTCATGTGCATTTGCTCAGTCTTTATGTAGATAGCTCTCTGCAGTAGCTGTTGCTTTGTATTGTGCAACAGGATTTGGTGAAGTGGAAAGTGATTTCACACAAGAAGGGTCTATAGTTTTGAGAGATAGATGGATTGAGGACATTGTTCAACAAGCCATTTTATTGTACTACTTCATTGTAAGGGTTATATCCAATTGTTTTCTCGGAATAGACCCACCAAAATTAATGAACCAAATTTAGTCATGTCTATTAATTCCAGCGGGCCTACTCTGAGTGGAACTAACATTGGACAAAACCCTTAAAACACAGTAATAAAAAAGAACAAACTGCAGAGGTGTGCTTACAGTAGAATCCTGCTACGCAATGCAGGTTTGCAGTGATAATAAATTAGTTCAAGCCACTTCACAGCATTAGAACTGCAGCGTTGGAAGGGACCCCTGAGGGCCATTTAGTCCAAGGTGTTTGGACACCGAGTTTGACCTCCATTTGGTTCCTCTCCTAACACGATTTTATTTTGGAGGCACTGTGGGCAAATCCTGCGACCTCCACTAAACAGCAGCTCTGAAATACACCAAGCAAAGATTTCATGGCACAAACTGTTTACACCAAAAAGGAAGGAATGTCCCTTGAGACACACCTACCTGGGACCAAACCCCTTTCGATGCGACTTACTCGTGGGAAACAAGGCACGTGATCCGGCAGCACGCTTGCAATCCAAGGTTAAGCAATCCAATTGAAGCACTTAAAAAACAAGAAGAAGAAGATTTTATCCGGTAGGAAACTTACGCAGGAGCTCTGCTCTGCACTTACTACGGAGGTAGTCCAACTGGACTCGGCAGGGCTTACTTCTGAGTAACTGCACACAGAAGCAGGCCTCAACCAGGGGCGGAGCAGGGGGGGCAGTTGCCCCCATCAAGTAAATACAAATACAGTGGTACCTCGGGTTAAGTACTTAATTCGTTCCGGAGGTCCGTTCTTAACCTGAAACTGTTCTTAACCTGAAGCACCACTTCAGCTAATGGGGCCTCCTGCTGCTGCCGCGCCGCCCCCGGAGCACGATTTCTGTTCTCATCCTGAAGCAAAGTTCTTAACCCGAGGTAATATTTCTGGGCTAGCCGAGTCTGTAACCTGAAGCGCCTGTAACCCGAGGTGCCACTGTACTGAACTGACCTCGCAGTTAGCTCGGCTCTGCCCCCCCCCCTCCCCTCACCTGCCCGGCGCCGGGCTTCCTGCCGAGCCGGGACGCCCCTCCCCCCCCGCAGTCCGAGGGAAGAGAAAGGGGCGGGGCCTCTTCTCGGCCTGGCCGCGACTGGCTGCCTGTGGGAGGAGGCGGGGCTAGCCGCGGTGCACCTCGGGAGCGCGGCCTCGTATCGCAGGAGACGCCCCTAAACAAACGCGGCTGACAGGCCCCTTCGCCGCGCTCGCCCCATGGCCGGCAGCGTCCGTGGGACCCCCGGCCCTGCCGCGGCCGCTTGCGGAGGGCAGCTCCGCCGCCTTCGGGAGAGTCTCCGGGACAGGTGAGGTCGCCCCCTCCCGCCCTCAGGGGAAGCGGGGTCCTTTCCTGGGCTCCCCCCCCGTGGTCCCCGGGGTCCAGTCCGGAGCCCCCGCTCCCCTGGGCGGAGCCGCCTTGCCCGTTGCTGGGCGCCCGGGCGGCTGAGGGCGGCGACGCGAGGGTCCCGGGCCGAAGGGGCAGAGTTTGCGCGGAGCTCCCGATGGACTCGCTCGTGTCCTTTTTATTGAAATGCTTTGCTTCCTGGGCGCAGCCAGGCTTCATTTTAGTAGGACGCCCACCTGTCACCCCCCTCTGTGGGGCAATGAAATGGCTCAGCGACCGTTGTTTTAAATTACTTTCTTTGCACCCCAAGTGCTCAGAAAAATGCAGTATGTCTAAATAGTTCTACAATTTCTACATTTAGTTAAGTCTTTTTATTTATTGATGGGGGGCAGGCGGCTGCCCCTCTGGCTATGCCAATACTTTATTTAAATATCAACTATTCAAATGTGTTTTCCTGTGCAATGTCCCGTGGCAGCTGCCACAAGAGGTACAGGCTTGCTTGTAGGAGGACAGAGTGTACAGAGGCTACAAAAGCTCTGGTGCCAGGCTATTTTGTGCCATAGGCAAAGCTAGCTACTTGCATGCACACTTCCCCCCCCCCCCCCAAATAAAATTGCTAGCTTCAGTTTTCAAAAACAGATGCTTTGCAGGAAAAACAAAAAGCCGCAAAACTTAAAACAGCTCAGTTTCTTTTAAATGGCAAAACTAAGTAATGCAACTGTATTTTATCGCCTTTCTCAAATACAAAAGAAAATGCTTGCATCCACAAATCATTTTGAATAAGCTTGCAGATTGCAATGTTAAAGTTTAAGTCTCTCAGAAGTTTCATTTCCTGGCACATCAACATCTCATTTTCTCTTTATTAGTTTTCCTTCAGGTCAAGTGCTAGTGCTTGGGCATGTGCAATTGGCATAGTTGCCAAGCCCACAACATTGTAAGATTTTTTAAGCTTGAGCTTCAAGAAACTGTGTTCAAAATATAAAATAAAAGTAAAATATTATCAGGAATGTATAAGATATAGCAACAGCAAATTGTATGAAACTGTGGCCCTCTGAGGTCTCTTCTGTAGGCAGCAGCCTAGTTGGCCTAATAATAGTGTCCCTGGGTGTCTGCATATGCATTTTAATGCCCTGCTCCTGCTGCCCAAAGAATCCTCCCTGGAAGCAGAAAACTTGCGCGCACACACACACACACACACACACACACACATATATATATGGCTGTTTTACAGTCTGGTGTGCAGGGGAGTTGTTTTTTTTTTTAACGTGTAGCGATTTTTGTGTGTTTTCTGGAGTGCTCAAAATCAGAAGCTCACCAGGTTAAGTCTTACACTTAATGATTCTTCCATCTCATTCTGGGGTGCGTGTGCTTACCTGTGTTATGGTGGCTAGGTCTTGGAGCTGTTCTATACATTATGCTGAATGAGATGGAATAAAGTGATAGAATTCTGGACTGAAGCACTCCAGGTGTGAGAGTCATATTTTTGAATGCGCCACCATGTGAAAAAGTTTCCTACCAGTGTTAGAAACTCAGGTATATGAGCTAGGCACCAAATGGCTCCTTAAACCAGGGTTATAGTTGCAAAAATGGAATACCTAGCTGCCATTTTGGGGCCAGACAGCTCGAAAGTTGTATTTTTCTGTAAAACTTTTTGGTTCCTGAAATTCATTCTAATTGTGCAGATAAAATATAATGGATAGCATTCTGCAGCATATTGCTGGTGTCTCCCCCCCCCCTCTCTGCATGTATATCCCTGCCACCTTCCTTTTGTTTATTTTTCTGGACAGCCTGGATGGCTGTCTCTGTTGCCGCAGCCTCTCAGGTTGCAGCGATCTCCAGGATAAAACAACTTCAAAGAAGGGCCTGGTGGCTGGAGTCGCATACCTAGTGGTGCTCTCCCTCTCCCTCTTGTTTGCCAGAACCGGCCCAGCTTTTGTGGAGCCCTGACAGGGGTGGCAACAGTTGAAGGAGGCAGGCACTGCCTGAGGCGGCGGATGTGTTGCGCTGGGTGTGCATGTGCTTCCATCACTCTTCTTGGAATGTAGCTGCCACCTGAAGGGCTCACTCAACGTTTGTGGTCATGGGATGGAAAGCGAGGCATATCCTTTTGCCGTGACCTGTAAACCTGGTGGCAGGCTGAAGCAAGGCACAGCCCTCCCCTCACTCACCTGCGCCATCTCCCTCCCTCAGCATGCCTTCCTTCTTGCCCCAGAATGGAGCTTTTCCAAGCCAAGGACCATTACTTCTTGCAGCAAAGTGAGCAGGAGCTGTGATGCAGATGGCAGAGCCAGGCAGGCTGGGCAAGAAAGGAGTGCACTGCTGCCGCCACTGCCTGAGTGGCTTCAGTCGCTCTGGCGGAGGGGGAGTAGCAACTCTCCTCAGATGAAAAGACTGGAGGTCAGCTGGTTGGTGCTGTGTGAGGGAGCTTCGAGTCCGGTTCATTCAGTGCCCCCCCCAATGCCGCTGAGGCGGTCTGACACCCTCGCTACAATAGTGTAGCTGGCTGAAGTGTAATTATTGAACTGGCATGATATTGGCACACGTGTTTAAAAATATAGTAATACAATTTTTTCTTAACCATTTTGATGATTCCTGTTTGTTGACATAGGTCGTCAGATTCATGTCAAAGAATGTTGAATATTAATAGCTAAGTGGATAGATACAGTTATGGAATATTGAGGTTCTTAATATCCTATTCTTAAATAATGCTCTTGTATTGAAGTCACTGCCACTTTCTAACAGTAAAAACAGTGCAAGAAAATTCTGTTAAAGGGATGGTTTTAAACTTGCATCTAGACTTGGTTGCCAGTTTACCTGGAGCTTTCTTCTGAGTAGGCAAAAGATTTCTTCTGGTGCTGTAAATCTCCCATTAAACATATTCCAAATTTCCACCAGCAACATCCAGGAGATACCATACTCACCAGGATAATCTCCTCAGTGTACCTGGGTAATCTTATACCATCCAACTACCGGTATATATTTTATACCATCCATCCTGGGCACGTTCAAGTCTTACTCAAGTGGCTGCCTTGTTCCTACTTCCATGCCTCTTCCTTTCCCAGGAAGACATTAGTGAGACTTGAACCACCCATATCCTTCCCTGTCTTTGGGGCTAAGCTCAGATTGACCTGTTCACACAGATTCTATGGGCACGTGTCCAAACTTAGCTAGGTCTGCCTCAAGGTGACTAGCAGTTAAGTGCATGGAGGATGAGCACTTGAGCGTATACATTACTGCACATGAAACGTATTTCATATAAGAGTACAGTATGTTTAAAAATTAATTAGAAAATGGGGGGGGGAGTCAGAAGAGATTCACTTCATTCTGTCATTGCAGCAAATGGGAATATAGCAAATGCATATCAACTGTGACTGAATTTATTCTTAACAGGGTCAAACAGGCACCATGAATGGGGAGATAAAGCAGGTAGGTTACTCATAAGGAAAATTAAAATGCTTTCATTGAGCAATGTAATAATGTAATTTCTTGCCTATTACTAGGAGATGGAAATTCCACTCTTGAAGTAGGAGAGATCAACAATCAGGTTAAAAATTATGGGTCTCTGTATTCTTCACTTTGTGATTGACAGACTGATCCTACAGTCCTGCTGTGCCAGTCAGGGCTAATGTTTGTGGAATGTCATTGAGAGCTTATACATGCCCAGCAGCAGATGTGAAAAATACATCTGGACTACAGCATTATGATACATGCATACATATATACATTTATTTAAATCAAATGATACTTCTAAATAGCAAAAAAGTTGTCCATAGACTCTCCATTTGAAAGGTAAAGTTTTAAAATGAATAATTTCTTAAACTTATTACCAATTGACAGTAATATTTACTAATAGATCATCTTACAGTTAACAAGAAAGCATACAAAGGTGGTATAAATGTGAAAGATGGAGATTTCAAGAATGTACACTTAATCACATAAATTGTAGTCCTGTTCATGTATTCTTAAATTTGTGCAAGGGCAGAGAGGCAATTGCAGGGTTCCTGATTGTGGGGAGCATTGCAATTGCGTTCAGCCCAACTTGCTTACCCCACCCCGCCCTGCTCAGTCGCAGACCTTCCTGTTCAACATGTGGACCCTCTGTCCTGCTACAGACACAAATTAAGATTACCTGAATAGGGGCTGCCAGATCCATGTGTATCTAGAGAGTTCAAGGATAAAAAGATCTGCGGTATAAAGTTTTACATATATCCTTTATAAAGCTTCTTATCTAAGTGCCATTGTGTATGACTGCAAACTTGAACCCTTTGAGAATGCTGGAGGAGTCAGATTGCTATAATTTGCATCCAGGCCACTGGAGAATGCCATAAGGTCAGAATGCTTTTGGCAATTTGGATTTTAGTCTATAGTGGTGCCAATGTTGAGGGCTTTAACAGCAGTAGGCTTAGAAAACTATTGGCTTTGAAATTTTAGCTCTTGAACAGAGAGTCTTTGTACAACTTGCTTTTATTGTTTTGGTGATTTTGAAATATGTTATTAATGTTTTAAATATAGTTATATGGGTAGCTTATAATATAGCCTTGACTTACTTTTTTTGTTTATTAGTTGCTGTTAGGGACAGTGTCTCTTTTTCCTGTTTGTGCTCAGTGGCAATACGACTTAGGTCATATTGACACCATACATTTAAAGCACATAGCTCCGCCTCCTGCCCCACCCCACCCCCCAAATCCTGAACTACAATTCCCAGCATTCTTAACAACTTACAGTTCCCATGATTCTGCGGAAGGGAACTATGTGCTTTAAAGGTGATTGGTATGGTATGGTATGGTATGGTATGGTATGGTATGGATGTATGGTGTGGCCATGTATGGTGTGGCCATACACTCGTGGCCATGTATCTGAAATACTGCAGACTGGCTTCTAGTCAGTCTGACTGGCACCTTGACCAGTCTGATAAATAAGCTGATATAACTGTTCAATCCATTCATGCCACAGGGTATGTTTCATCTTGCCCTGCCCCTTTCAGCCCAGCCACCCCACAACCCTCTTCATTTGTTGATTACCAGTATCTGCTAAGAGGCCAGTTATCTTCGTCTTCTCACTGCTTCCAATTTATGCTTCTTAATGCTGAGTTGATTAGTTGGGGTGGAATAAAAAGAGAATAAGCTACTGGAATAGAAGGAGAGTAAGCTGTTGGTGTATGGTGTCGCTTGGATTGAGTCTCTCCCCATGTTACTTAACATAAACATAAATGTGGAGAGGTCAGTCAAGGTTTGAAGTATGCTGTGATCAATATGACAAGCTGTTCTTATACTTAGGAAACTTTTGGGGTTCTGAACCAGTGTCTGGAGGTGGTAGTAGGCTGGGAAGCTGAATCCACATGTGAGAGATATGTTCCTCCTCAGGCGGGAGGGGAACTCTGGAATTGAGATCCAGTTTTAGATGGAATTTCATTCCCCTTGAAAAATCAGCTTTGTAGTTTAGGAGCTTTACATCTGAATGATGGGGTGGCTTTGTCCAGTTTAGATTGGAACACCGCTGGGCTAATTCCTGAGGAAATCAGACCTGGTTATGGTAACACGTGGCTTTAGTTACAAGATTGGATTACAGTAGTATGCTTTATTTCCTGCTCCTCCCCGGCTCAGGTGGCGAACCTATTTGGGCTCGTCCGCGAAAACTGATGGATCCTGATAGATTCCGACAAGCCTTGCGGAACCCTGCTCCTCCTGGCGACTCATTAGATGACCTTGTTGAGGACTGGAATAACCGGCTCTTGGCAGCCATTGATGAGATCGCGCCTAAGTGCCCTCTGCGACCCTGTCGAAACCGGGCCCCTTGGTTTACTGAGGAGCTCTGGAAAATGAAGCGGGATCTCAGATGGCTAGAGCGAGTATGGCGACGGACTCGTGACGGAGCCTCAAGAACATCTTATAGGATGCTTATGAAAGCCTATGAGATGGCTATGAAAGCTGCTAAGAAATCTTACTTTGCAGCTTCCATTGCATCCGCTAGCTCTCGCCCGGCACAACTTTTTAGAATAATTAGGTCAATAACGTCCTTAGGAGGACAACCAAATTTAAGCACAAATTCGACCTACAGCTGTGAGGCATTCGCGAGCTTTTTTGCGCAGAAAGTCCTGTTGCTCCGCCGTGACCTCCCTGCCAATTTAGATACAGTGACTGAACTGGAGGCCCCTCGACTGACTTCAGGTCCAGTGTTGGACCATTTCGATTGGATACTCCCTACTGATGTGGATAGATTCCTCCAAGCTGGTAGGCCCACCACCTGCCTCCTTGATCCGTGCCCGTCTTGGCTGATTAGGGAGTGTCCAGATGTTGCGCGGACCCCCCTGGTTGAAATTATCAATTTGTCCCTTGACACGGGGACATTCCCAGGAGAACTGAAGGAAGCAGTGGTGTGTCCACTCTTAAAGAAAACTTCATCAAATCCCTTAGACCTATCCAATTACCGCCCAGTTTCAAATCTTCCATACCTGGGTAAGGTAATTGAGAGAGCGGTTGCTGAACAGCTTGGTAGGTTTCTGGAGGAAACATCGGCATTAGATCCATTTCAGTCCGGTTTCCGTCCTGGTTTTGGGACGGAGACGGCTTTGGTTGCCCTAACAGATGATCTCCGTAGACAACTGGATCGAGGCGGGTCAGGACTGCTGATCCTTTTAGATTTGTCAGCAGCCTTTGACATGGTCGATCATGATCTTCTGGACCACCGCCTTGCAGACGTGGGGATACAGGGCATAGCCCGTAACTGGTTGTGCTCTTTTATCTCTGGTCGGGGACAGAGGGTGGTAGTAGGGAGGGAAATGTCGTCACGCCACTCCTTGGTGTGTGGAGTGCCGCAGGGCACAATTCTCTCCCCGATGCTTTTTAACATCTTTATGCGCCCCCTTGCCCAGATTATCCGGAGCTTTGGGCTGGGCTGTCACCAATATGCTGATGACACTCAGCTCTATCTGCTGATGGGTGGCCACACCGACTCGGCCCCGAACACACTGACCAGATGCTTGGAAGCTGTAGCTGGATGGTTTCGTGGGAGCCGATTGAAACTAAATCTTTCAAAGACAGAGGTCCTATGGCTAGGTCAGGATGGCATGGGGATGAGGGACCAACTCCCTTCTCTTGCGGGGCCCAATTAGTGCCATTGCCTTCCGTTAAGAGTTTGGGTGTAATCCTTGACGCCTCCCTTTCCATGGAGGCGCAAGTTACAGCAACAGCCAAGGCGACATTTTTCCACCTTCGCCGCATCAAGCAGTTGGTCCCTTACCTTTCCCGCCCCGACCTGGCCACAGTGATCCATGCGACGGTCATCTCCAGGCTTGACTACTGTAATTCGCTCTACGCGGGGCTGCCCTTGAAGCTGTCCCAGAAACTCCAGTGGGTGCAGAATGCTGCAGTGAGGCTCCTCATGGGGTCTCTGCCATGGGAGCATATTCACCCAGTGCTTTTCAAGCTACACTGGCTCCCGGTGGAGTACAGGGTCAGATTTAAGGTGCTGCTTTTGACCTTTAAAGCCCTTCACGGCCTAGGACCCTCGTACCTACGGGACCGCCTCTCCTGGTATGCCCCACGGACAGCCTCAAGGTCCATAAATAGCAACACCCTAGTGGTCCCAGGCCCTAAGGAAGTTAGATTGGCTTCAACCAGAGCCAGGGCCTTTTCAACTCTGGCTCCGGCCTGGTGGAACGCTCTGCCTCATGAGACCAGGGCCCTGCAGGATCTGATTTCTTTCCGCAGGGCCTGTAAGACAGAGTTGTTCCACCTGGCCTTTGGCTTGGAGTCAATTGATTCCCTCCCCCTTTTTTTTTTTTTCTTTTCCTTCTCCTCCTGCGATGAGGCTACATTTTAATGTTCCATTATTTTAATGTTGTATTTTATTTTTGTTTTTAAGTTGTAATCATTCATCTTGTTTTTATTATTGCTTGTAAGCCGCTCTGAGCCCGGCCTTGGCTGGGGAGAGCGGGGTATAAATAAAAAATTATTATAATTATAATTATTATTATTATTATTATTATTATTATTTTATTATTTCTTTACTCATTCATCTTTTTATGCTGCATAACCGTATAAATATATCTGGTGTAGAAAATGTGAAATTAATACAAAATAAAACAAATAAATACAGAAAACATACTACATTTATGTTTGCATAAACCCAGAGGAGTAATATATGGGCCAGCTTCAAGAGAAGGCTTAAAGGTAAAGCGACCCTTGCGGACGACTCTGGGGTTGCGGCGCTCATCTCGCTTTATTGGCCGAGGGAGCCGGTGTACAGCTTCCGGGTCATGTGGCCAACATGACTAAGCCGCTTCTGGCGAACCAGAGCAGCGCACAGAAACACCGTTTACCTTCCCGCCAGAGCGGTACCTATTTATCTACTTGCACTTTGACATGCTTTCGAACTGCTAGGTGGGCAGTGGGTCGAACCGCCGACCTTTTGATCGGCAAGTCCTAGGCTCTGTGGTTTAACCCACAGTGCTACCCGCTGGTGCCTTAAAACCCATTACAGGTGGTGCCAGCCTAATCTTAGTGAAGAGTTGTATATATGGAGCTACCTTCTGAAGTATCTTCAGAAGCTACAGTTGGCATATCCGCGGTATTTAGCTGCTGGTATATCACAATGTTGAGAACGAGGTATTGTCCAGCCCTATTATTTACATCTACCATCTTTCTTCCTGCCTTCAGTGGCTTCCTTATGATGCAGTCAAGCACTAGTTATTGGTGTCTTCCCCACCCCACCGCCCACCAATGAGACATGATTGTGACTTGGATAGTAACTATGGGAACAATTCTAAGCATGGGAAGCCTAAATCTGTGCCAACTTAAAATTGTCAATGCATCTTATCTCAAAGCAGGAACTCAAGTAACATTCACACACCTCCCTCGAATCCATGGATATGGTACATTGCCTCTACAAGCAAAGCCAAATGGCTCTGTTACAGAAGAACAAGCAACTGTTCCTCAGGATTAGGATCTAGTATAATTCTACTCTGCCCACTCCCGCCCTTGCCACTCCTGCAGAATGCCCACTTTTCAGAGCTTATGGTGATGTAAGTTCCCTGGTCTCGGCTCAGCCCACTGAACCCCAGCTGAAGACTTGCCTCTGCGTAACCCATCTGAGCTGGAGATCTGCCACATCCTAACTTGTTTATCCCATCAGATCTGGGGTTAGGATTGCACCCTACATATTTTATATAATCCTAATATATAATCCTAATCCTATATATATATGATGATATGTAAACATTTCCACCTTCCCTGATCATAAAAGAAATGAGCCTATTCCAGAGTCCTTGTGTTTGCTGCAAGTAAAATCAAAACTGATCACCATTTTAGTTTCGTTTGTGCTTTCACTTGCAGTCTGAGACTATACAGTGGTGCCTCGCAAGACGAAATTAATCTGTTCCGCGAGTCTCTTCGTCTTGCGGTTTTTTCGTCTTGCGAAGCACGGCTATTAGCGGTTTAGCGGCTATTAGCAGCTTAGCGGCTATTAACGGCTTAGCGGCTTTAAGAAAAAGGAAACAAACTCGCAAGAACTCGCAAGACGTTTCGTCTTGCGAAGCAAGCCCATAGGGAAATTCGTCTTGCGGAACGACTCAAAAAACGGAAAACTCTTTCGTCTAGCGAGTTTTTCGTCTTGCGAGGCATTCGTCTTGCGGGGCACCACTGTATAAGAATTTTAGCTTTGGTTTTTGTTTGACCTGCACAGTCAATGAGGAAGAAGTTGACATTTGGTTTGGATTTATTTTAGAATTTATAAATACTGTCTCTCTAAATATGTTCATGTGCATTATATAATCATTCCTGAGGAATGGTTGTAAAGTTATGGAATTGTCATGTTTAACATACCCTTTTACATATAGATAAATGAGTTAAATAGTGACTATCCTCTGGGAGTTTTCTTCCCTTGGCCTCAGAAATGGAGAAGAGAATGTAAACATGTCATTTCTTCCTCCTGCTCAGTCTTATGTCCCAGCATTGGGACCTAAGCTGCCTCCTTAACATCCTGCCCACACTTGCCATATATAATGCTGCAACCAGTACATTCTCATGAGGGTTTCTTGGCTTCTCATGAGAGAAGATGAGTTTGCATCCCAGCTGCCATGGCAACATGACTGCATGATCCCAGATACCTAAGAATGGGAGATATGAAACTGGGTGGTAGGTTTTTTTAAATTAATCTTCCCGTCCTTTCTTTTTGTTCTCCCTAGCTGTTGAGCGTGCAAAAACCCACATCACTGAAGTTCCCATTATCAGATCCCTCACTATGTGCTCATAGCACACTAGATATGGGAGCAGAGATTTGTAGCTCTATGTTGTGTGGCTTTGTATTGCATTTATGTTCCATGGGTGGTTTTATAACCTTGTGTTGTGCTGTGATTGGCTGCAGGGTTCGTTGAAATCCTACCTTTTGTAGCTATGGTGGCAAAGAGGAAGGGTGGGAGGTAATTCAGGACTCTGCATTTACTCTAATGAGAATACTTAAACTTATGTCATCTCTTTTGCAGGTGTAACATTGTACCTGTGTTGGGAGGGGACAGCAGGATCACTGATTGAACTAGGATTCTAGCAATGGCCTGTTTATCCCTAATGATGCTCCAAACTCTCCCCAGTTTTCCTCTTTTGCTGGCTGTCTTGATGATATAAAAGTTATCTTACCAGTGGCTTCTAATTGGGGCAAGGGTATTACTAGATGGGTTTAGTATTTTTCCACTAACATAATGTTATAGTTTGCCAATACAGGTTTTTTTTGGAGTGATGCTGTTCCTACATATTGGATATAATTTATGGGCAGAATTGCTCTAATAGATTACTGTATGATTTCTTTGAGATGTTTGGGGAAGGGTCACCTTTAAATATACTGACAGCACCATTGGTTGAATATATCAAAGAAAATACATCCATATAAAAGATTAAAGAAAAGAAGCAATTGAACCAATTGCTTCACAGAAACCTTCACGGGAGGTAGATTTTTCAGGCCTATAGAAAGCAGTGTTCTACAAGGTTGTCAGGAATCTACTAGTGCCAATCTTCCCATCTAAGAACAGTGAAATACTTGTTTAAAAGTGTTTGTCCTAAGATAAGTGTTGAGGTGGGTTTTATTTGATAAGTGTATATTTACTGCTATTAACCATGACAGCAGATGGGGAGACACCCTCAACATGTTTTTAATTTATTTCTTAGTATTTCTAATGTTGTCATATTTACATTCTACTTTTCTGAAGCTCAAAGGAGATTACAATTAAAAATAGCATTAGCATGAATGAACCCAGATTTACCACCAAGTGTACTGCTGCTGTTGTTGTTAACATTTATTTATATCCTACTGCTCCTCCAAGGAGGTCAAGGTGGACTACATACTTCTCTCCCCTCCTAATTTCATCCTCACAACAACCCTGTCAGGGAAGCAAGGCTCAGAGATGGTGACTGGCCCAAAGTGAACCTTTGTGGCTAGGTGGGGATTTGAACCTTGGTCTCCCAGGTTCTAGTCAAGCACTTTTACCACTGTGCTACATTGTTAGTGAGCCACAGCCAGTACAGTGGGGCCTCGCAAGACGAAATTAATTCGTTCTGCGAGTTTTTTCGTCTTGCGAAGCACGGTTTCAATTTTTTCAAAAAAATCTTCAAAAACCTCAAAAAAGGCTACCACACCGTGTGCTATGAGTTGCTCCCCGAAGTCAAGTCGCAACTGCACCTCTTCAAGCAACGCACCCTGTATTACTGTAACGGTTTTAAGAAAAGGAAACAAACTTGCAAGACGTTTCCGTCTTGCGAAGCAAGCCCATAGGGAAATTCGTCTCGCGAAGCAACTCAAAAAACGAAAAACTCTTTCGTCTTGCGAGTTTTTCGTCTTGAGAGGCATTCGTCTTGCGAGGTAACACTGTATCTACTCTCAATGTGTTAAAGATATTTTGTAAGAGAAGGAGAATAGGATGGAGGCTCTGTTAGAATCCTATGTGTGGTACATGCATGGGAAGCCAGTTGTCTTAGCCATGTAGCAGGAAGTACTTAAACCATATGTCTGTTTCTGCATCCTTGTAAGCAGTAGATGATGTTATTCCTCCTACCATGTGGCCAAATGTTACAAATGACTGATTTCCTACATCATTTCAAGGTGTGCTTTCCAAGAGTTGGTAATCCTGTATCTACCTCCAGAAGAGGCAAGTTGTTCCGGTGATAGCTGCTACCTCAGATAGATTAGGATCAAAGCAGTTTGATTAATAATGATAATGATTCTTGATGGCTTGGAATTCACAGTGAAAAAATAATGTTCCTTGGGTGTCTAGCTCTTCTGAAACCTGTAAAATATCTTCCTTTTCTTTACTGCAAAGTGATTTGTAGTGTACCATTTGTATAATAACTTCATCACTCTGTACTTTTAGTGAAACAAAGAGGTTGGAGTTGGAAAGAAAAATGCTTGAATACACCACATGTGATACCCGCACGTAAGTCTGCTTAAGCAGATTTTGCATTGTTTTATTTTTTATTGATAATTTATTTTAATGGATCTGTGACTACATAGTATTGACACGATATCATGCCTCTGCTGAGGGAGCTGCACTGCCTGTCAGTATACTACTAGGCCCATTCAAGATTGTGCTTTTAGTATTTAAAATCAGCTTGGGACCAGGTTACCTCTTTCCCCCCATATATCTCTGCCTGGCAACTGCACTCTTCAGATGGGGCTCTGCTGAGGAGAGTACCACATGCACCAGATGTGCATTTAGTTTGTACCAGAAACCAGAGTTTTAGTGTTGTAGCTCTAGCCCTCTGTAATCAGTTACCAACTGAAATTAGGCATGCACATAGCTTCATGATGTCTGGGTGGGTACCTAAGATGTTTTTGTTTAAGCAAGCTTTTCCTGAAGTGTGACTCAGTCATTTATGGAATATTAATTGTACATCTGTAGAAATGATTTTATTGCTTTTAGTTTGTAGAAATGGTTTTATTGCTTTTAGAGCTTGTATTTTTTTCTCAATTTCTGATGACTTCAGCTTGTGAAGTGGTTTATACAAGTAAAACTTGGTTGATTCACAACCAATTCTTGTTATTACAATTTTTGGAAATTCTAATTTATTATAATTTTATATTTGAAAAACTTTATAATTGGTTAAAATTAATATTCACATAACAATGCTGATTGGCATCTGTCAGCAAAGGTTGATACTGCATCCTCTTGCTTTTCACATTGGGGCCCTCTGGCTGGCATTTCCCTGTTCTATCTTCCTTTTTGCCTCCGCCTGTTCTGCTCTAATGCTGGAAGTGCCAAAGGAACCTCACTTCGCTAGAGGCAGCAGACGAAAACCCAGCCTGGTCCCTGCCCATACCCCACGGCCTGCCCATCTTCCTTTCATGGTGAATGACAGCCAGCTGCCCAGTTCCCTCACTTCCCTCCTTGGAATGAATACAGAGAGGGAGAGAGAGAGAGAGAGAGAGAGAGAGAGAGAGAGAAAGAAAAGGGATTGATATAATTGTTGCTACAGTGATTTTGTGAATTACTGAAGGAGGAATAAAATATGCACAAAAAGGAATAAATTAATTGAAGCCAGAGGATCTGGAAAGGGCAAGTTTGGGGGGGAAGGGCAAATTGATTTGCTGTGATACCTGGGTTCAGTATATACAGTGTACACTGCTATTTTTCTAGAAAATGAGATGCCGGAACTCATCATGAACGCCTCCCTTGTTCTCTTATAATGGCAATGGCACCCACATGAGAGGTGTCGGAACTGGGTTTTTGCTGAGTTTCGACTGAAAAAAACCGCCCTGAACGTATATGTGTGTATATACGCTAGCTACAAGCTGTAGCCAAGATAATTTAACCATGAGCCTGGTTTCAGACCTTGGAAGTACAGAAGCAGAAAGGATCGAGGAGCAAAACAGCTGCAAGCTGTTCTCTGGAAGCCCACACTGTTGTTTGGCTTACAGTGTCATGCAAACTGGAGGGAGAGGGAGAGAGGTGGCTCTGCCCCACCCACTTTTTGGGTATGCTGCCGCTGAGAGATTACCCCAGGGATAAAGTGGTCTTGGGAGGAATAGTTTTGTATGCGCCCCGGTGAGGGTGGATCTTCACTTTAATTGATTTGAATTAAAGAGTGATTTGAAACACCATTAACAAAGGTTAGGATCTCAGTGTAGCTCATTTGTGGGTGTGCTCCCTTTGTGCACCATCAAGGTACAGTGGTATCTTGGGTTACGAACAGCCTAGTTAACGAACTTTTTGGATTATGAACACTTCAAACCTGGAAATGAATGTTCCAGGTGGTGTATTTTATTTTATTTTAATTTTTTGGTATATGAACGTACTCCGTTTGGGGGTGCACTTCCGTTTTGTCGGCACGGCCTTCTGTCACTCAGCGCCGGCCGTGGCAGCATCACCCAGAAGCAGAGAAAGGGGATGTTGATGCTGCAGTGATGGCGGCAGCAGAGGGACCCAGGGCTGGGTAAGACAGAGGGAGAGAGAGAGACGCACAAGAGACACCAGCTGCTGTGCGCCAAAGCGTGCTTTGGAGAGACCCCTGTTGGGACTTGGAGAGGAACACACGGCGGCCAGGGTGGTTATTTGGGCGAGGCAGGAGGGGGTCACTTGTCCTTAGGATCCCACGGCAGATAGAGACGGGAGGGTGCAGGGAGGGGAGTCCGTGGCGGAGAGCCTGATCCGGGTTGAGTTTCCTTTTGCTTTGCACATGCCTCCCTCCCCGGGGAGTGGAGATTATCGGTTCGCCTTGGGCCTCCTTCTCCCCCGAGGTGTGATGCCTTCAGGGATCTCCTCATGAGTCGGCCTGGCAGCTCCACCGAGTGCACTGTTGCCAACGTGGACCAGCAGTGGCTCCCCGGAGTTTCAGGCAAGGAATGGGCTCCCTCTCCCCCCCCCAGCCCTTCCTGGAGGTGCCGTCCTCCAGAACAAGATGCCATTCCTCAAGGATCTGGGCTAAGGGTTGAAGCGGAGAAGGGGAACGTTGCCTTGCCATGCCGAGCAGGGATGTCGCTGCTGCTCCCCGGCAATGAAGCACAGAAGGGGGACGTTGGCATCTTGTCCCTCTGCTGCCACCATCACAGCGGCATCGAAGGCTGTGCTGCTGCTGCAGCAACCACCCCTCCCCCAGGACCGGGTGTCGCCCTCCCAGTCGCTGCTGCAGGCCCCAGAGCAACGCCAAGCGGCTCGGCCCCAGAAGTGACTGCCATGGCATTCCCTCATAGGGCACAGGGCGGCGTGGGCAGGATGCTGGCACCGCTGCTGCAGTAAGGGTTTTTATACTGGGTAGTAGATTGCAGCCTGGTCTATTACTTTCATTTTATGAATCAATGGCCTTGTTAGATAGTAAATTTCAAGTCTACTTGCTGTTTTAGGGGTTGCTTTTCATTGTCTGGAACGGATTAATCCGTTTTCCATTACTTTCTATGGGAAAGCACGCCTTGGTTTAAGAACGGACTTCCAGAATGGATTAAGTTCTTAACCCGAGGTACCACTGTACCTGTTTCCTGGAGCAGCAGAATTTGAATGGCACAGAGATGGGAGGACTACATGGGGCTATGGAAGGCATACATGGATCTCTCAGTCTCTGTAAAGGCAGCTTGCACTACCCATGCACATGAGTACATGGAAGGGAAAGGGGAATGGAACGGAAAGGGTTGTACTGAGCCCTTTATAAATCCTCTGGGCACTCCGCGTGAAGTGGATCAGTCCCTTACTTTTAAAATAGGAACTTTAATTTCATAATTGTAGCTTTGGACATTTTGTTGAGGAAATTGATATGAGTGTTTAAAATGAAAAGGAGCAAAATGTAAATATCGTATTGGAATTCTTCCTTCGTGGATTTTTCTATGAATGATGGCTTTTGGCAGGATTCCTGTCAGAATCCTAGGTAAATATTTCTCTTCCAAGAATAAGCTCATATACACGACATGGAATTGTTTCTCTTTTTGTTTCCCACTCCTGGTGTAGAACTAAAATGAAATACAGGAAGTTAAAAAAATACCTAGAAGAAATATGTGAGCGTCAGAAAAAGTCTTTGCTCCGAAACCAAGACTTGTTGAAGGAATTTGATTGCATTGAAGCTCAAATTCAGAAGTTTGCTTCAAGATCAGAGTGCCTTCAGAGGCTGAAGGTATTATATACTTTACTTTAATAACTATAAATGATTTTGATGAAAACAGATTGGGTGTACCCACACTTTGATATAAATCAGCTCTAAAACTTTTTTTAGAATAATTTGCTTGCCGTGTGAAAAATGCAGACCTGCTGTATAAGTAAAGCGGTGAACCAAAGTGGCCTTATAGCTTTGGAAATGAGGGAGGGTTGAGGGCACAGAGAACCTTGAATACTCTTTATATACTATTGAGGCTCCGTGCTCATGTTCCTATTTGCTAAATATATGGTGTTTTGGTTCCTTGACCCATGTAACTGGATCCAAAAGAATAGAGGAAACACCACCAGCATTTTATTACAATTTCTTATGATGTTGTTTTTTCTTGAGTAGTATGTGATTTTTATTTTTACTGGCTATTGAAGCATTCCGGAATAGCTGCAGTGGATTCTGACCCTGTTGTGGTCTTTATGAGAAGCTTGTTTGACAGATTGAACTGTGCTGTTTTGGAGTTAACCACATTACCATTCCATTTTGGTTTCTCTTCCATCAGCACTCACTTTTTGTTGGGATTTATTTCGATATCAGAGTTACCATTATTTTCTTTTTGCCATACAATCTGTACAATACTAGCTTTTTCCATATATGCCACCTGGAACACAGAACTCTTGTGACATATGAGTTGTGTATCCATGGTAGACTATAAAGATAGTATAACAACAAATGTTACAAAATGAATTACAAGATAATACAGTAATATTGCAATGTGTTCAAATGCATTGTCAGTTCATTTGTATTTTGAATTGAATGAAGTGTCATACGTAAAGGTTTTACATTTTAAAACATGCCTTTCATCTAGTTCAGATTTCATATTGGTACAGTTTATCATCAGACAAATACAACAGTAAATAGATAAAATGTTTCAACTACATTAAAACTTTAATCAGGTAAACTGCTAGGGTAAATAAGTAATGTTTTGAGAATTCTGTTCAGAATGCTTAATATATATGTTTAATATTTGTTTCACTGCCTGTATATTTATTACAATCTGATTGCAGTGGAAAACTATATGTTTTACCTTTCCTCAATGAAATCAGTAGAGCATACTTAAGTTTGGCTGGATCACAGCCTGAATCAATATGCAGACTATTTAATCTTAATTTATGATGCCTTTTTTATATATTAGGCAGAGTATGAAGGAGGATTTAAGAGAGAGCAGATTCCTGAGAGAAAAAATATTTCAAAAAGCAATCAGAGTGATGTTATGAAACACCTGGTAAGTAAAAATATTCTAAAAGGTATATCTAACCAGAGCTAAACACTTTGGGCAAAGCAATCCAAACTGGGACTGGGGACAAGTGAGATGGAGCAGAGCAATGGACCCATCACTGCATCCCAAGCACTGCCTCCTTGTGTGACCAGAGCAGAAGGCAAGGGGAGCCAGTGTAAAGAATTTCCTCCCTGAATGCGTTTTCTGTGCTTTGACTCCAGCAAGTCCAAAGCCACCAGTACTCTATCCTGTTTGAAAGCTATTTTGCTAGCTACCAACTGGGTGATGCTGAGGCCTCTGTTGTGGCAGAACCACCCAGCTGGTGGCACTCCTTTCCACAGATGTTGGCAGAGGCAGCTATGCACCAACCAAATACTGGCCCCACGAGCCATCAGTGCAGCTGGGTTGTGATCTAAATTCATTTCAATGGTGGAGTTAAAAAGGCATGTTTAAGTCTCTCCCTCTGAAATCAATGGGACTGGGAAGTAGCTCTGGCTGGAACAGATCTGTAGTCTATTAATTGGGGAGCTGTTAGAGGCGTTTATTTTATTCAGGTAAAAAATATATTTTGCAAACCTCTTGTGTAATTACTTCCGCCATGCAGTTTAAATCGTTCCATAGTGCTGGAAAAGAAACAAATGTCCATTGTGAAATTTAAAAATACTATCACACACACACACACACACCATGTATGCCAAATATTTAAATTTAAGCCCCCCAAAATTAGCATTTATAATTTTGTACATTTTGACTTTTTCCTTCCAAAAGACGCCAAAAAGAAGAAAAACAACAACAGTCACAGACAAAGCCTGACGAGAAATACTCAAATATATTCTGCTATATATCTGCAGTAGTGCAGCCTTCTAATCCCTCCTCCTATCTCCATATAAATGATACAGTTCAAGACCAGAGCTGTTTTTCTTCCCTAAAAGCAGGAAAGCTCTTTTAGATGAAATGTCTAAAAACATCTTGTAATAACTTGGAGCATGCTGGCAAGAGTAGTCACTTGTGACTATGTGTGAAACCCCCTCAGCTAGTCGATATTGTAATAAGCCAAAATGGGTAGCATCACTCCATTATTCAGAAAAGCCAACAGCATGCTTGTCCCTTAGGCTACAGCATTCATTAAGGAAAGCTTACTGGGCTGAAAGCTGGAAACAGATGATAACAGGATATGATTTTCATATTTAATGCATTCCTTGGAAGAGTATGTGTGCAGCAGATTGATAGAAGAATCAACTGCTACTTTGCTAAAAGACTTTCTAGTTTGCCCTATAGCTACCGATGGAATCATTCAGCCAAGAAATTAACTTTTTCTCCTTTTACCTGCTTTATGTATCAGCTAAGCAGGCTGTCTTGCTGCCAGTAAATGTTATTATGCATTTAACTGTTTGGTATTTAAGACTCTTATCAGGAAAGAAACAGAGGCAACACTATTTTGTGTTTTTGTGTGTGTGTGTGTTTAATAGTATCAGGAAGGTTTTCATTTTTCTTTCTTCATTGCGTTAGCAGACGTTAATCTGAGTTTATAGATGTTTTTCCTTCACAGTAGATTAAAAAGGTGGAAAAACCTTGAATTTAGGCCCTTCTTAAAATATACATGGAGCAATGAGCCTCACCAGCCTTGACCTATATAAGTATGCCTTCTACAATGTTCAGATATTTAGGAAGCGATAGTGATAGAGTTCTGAAATACTAATTTTCCTGTGTTGTTTTTAAAATATTTGTCCTTGAAGTTTTTGATCTTAAATAAATCTACATTTCATTGCAGCCCTACTTACATAAATATCTGTATATCAGAACTACTAGAACCCTTATGATACCATGGTACTTTAGTACCCCATGTCATAAATTATTGCAATGGGTACCTCTTCATTTCTTTACTTACCTTCTGGAAGTAAATTAAAAAATAAACAGGCAACTATAACAACAGTTTATAATATGGGGCACTATAGTACTGCAGTCATAAGGTGTTCATTTATTTTATTTTTAAAAATTCTGTCCCACCTATTTCTCCAAAGGAACTAAAGGCAGCCACTAAATATTAATGAAAACAGAAAACAAACATAACCCCTAAGAAGGCCCAATATACACTCAGAGTTAAGAGTATCAAATCCGTTAAAAAAATTCCAGCAGCACAAAAATGACAAGGAACAACAGTGATGTGTCTATATAGAAGTGGCTGAGATCCAAACTGGCCCATGTGCAAGTGGAATGAGCCTCCACACATGCATTGGACTGCAGATAGAGAGTTGGTGATTCCACTTCCAAGCTGCATTTCCCTATTCTGGAGAATCCCTGATTCCCAGGAGCAATTTTTCTAGGGGTGCCAGAGGTTGCAAGTTAACTGGAAAATTCTTGCAAATAATATAACTTTTAAAAAGATGTGGATGTAAAAACACCAGCATTTCCCCTATTAATTCCACAAACAATCTCAAAATAGCCAGAGCAACCCAGAGAACAACTGACAGTTCACATGGAGCATGTGCTGTGAGGGTGATGTCAACTCTCTACAGCTGACAGTCCTCTAGCCCAGTGGATTGGGAATCATACTATCTTTGCCTATCCTTTTGATGGACTGCTTACCGGAAGGGCCTTGATGGACTTCTTAGTAGCCATTGGGCCATGGGTTGGTGGATTATGCCATGTTGTGCATTTTCATATAAATTAAATTGTGCAGGGCCATCCTCCCAGTAGTAAACCTGAAAGCAGAACCTTGGTTTCAGAATGTTGCAGAAGGTCATGTATTACTTGATTGCCTTTGTGACTCAGAACTAGGGAACAGATAGATATCTGCCAGTACTGTAGTTATCTGTTTAGTGGTAGATGGTGGGTGTAATTCACTGGAAGTTCTGCATAGGTCCCATTGAAATGAATAGAACTGTATAGATTCTGTTTATTTCAATTGAATTAACTAGTTGTGCCCATAAGTCCTTTGTCCTGACCTATAGAATCATAGAATCATAGAGTTGGAAGAGACCACAAGGGCCATCGAGTCCAACCCCCTGCCAAGCAGGAAACACCATCAGAGCACTCCTGACATATGGTTGTCAAGCCTCTGCTTAAAGACCTCCAAAGAAGGAGACTCCACCACACTCCTTGGCAGCAAATTCCACTGTCCAACAGCTCTTACTGTCAGGAAGTTCTTCCTAATGTTTAGGTGGAATCTTCTTTCTTGTAGTTTGGATCCATTGCTCCGTGTCCGCTTCTCTGGAGCAGCAGAAAACAACCTTTCTCCCTCCTCTATGTGACATCCTTTTATATATTTGAACATGGCTGTCATATCACCCCTTAACCTCCTCTTCTCCAGGCTAAACATGCCGAGCTCCCTTAGCCGTTCCTCATAAGGCATCGTTTCCAGGCCTTTGACCATTTTGGTTGCCCTCCTCTGGACACATTCCAGTTTGTCAGTGTCCTTCTTGAACTGTGGTGCCCAGAACTGGACACAGTACTCCAGGTGAGGTCTGACCAGAGCAGAATACAGTGGCACTATTACTTCCCTTGATCTAGATGCTATACTCCTATTGATGCAGCCCAGAATTGCATTGGCTTTTTAGCTGCCGCGTCACACTGTTGGCTCATGTCAAGTTTGTGGTCAACCAAGACTCCTAGATCCTTTTCACATGTACTGCTCTCAAGCCAGGTGTCACCCATCTTGTATTTGTGCCTCTCATTTTTGTTTGCCCAAGTGCAATACTTTACATTTCTCCCTGTTAAAATTCCTCTTGTTTGTTTTGGCCCAGTTCTCTAATCTGTCAAGGTCGTTTTGAAGTGTGATCCTGTCCTCTGGGGTGTTAGCCACCCCTCCCAGTTTGGTGTCATCTCATAATTGTGCCCATTTAACTTTGGGCACTGAGCAACTTCAGAAGCTTGTAAAAACTCCATTCCAGGGTTTGAGCCCTGAGCTTTTATGCCTTCAAAGACTCCTTATCTCGGCAGCTCATAAATCTTGAGGCCTGCTTGGCTCCACTCCCAGGCCAATTAGCCGGCCGGAGTTCAAAGAGACTTTGCCACGTGATTCTGGGCTCGAAACCTGTTGTTGGGATACTGCCAGGGAGACAAAGTCCATCATGACTCCACGTCGCTTCCGGACGTCCATCGATCTCCCGTAGACACGCAGTATCAACAATTAGCGACACGAGCTCCAGAAATAGCTTGCCACATTCCAGAGCTGATGCACGCTCTATCAGCAGATAATGCACAGCGAAAGATGCACTCAGGAGAGCATATTTACAAGTTTATTCAGCGTTGGTCAGAACAAAGAAAAAACATGACTGCCTGCTTCAGTGTCTCAGACACAGAGAGAGAAACGAAAGCATAGACACAACAGAAACATCCTGTGAACAGGAAATACGCAGGCTGTGACACAAACATCCTGCTCCCTTTTAAGGTGGAACGGAAATATCCTAACATGCAGTTGGTTCTAGTTTTCTCTGCCCATAACCACCACACTTACATACTTGACTTTGTCTATCTGGTTCTCTCTTGGAAATAGTTAATGCTTGTTCTTGGTGAGCAGGTGATTGCCAGCTTACATGTTTTTTTGGGGGGGAGAGAAAAACCTGCATATACAAATGCAAGTTTTCTGATATTCTGTCACCTTCTCACTTTAGTGTGACCAATTAACTATTTGTAATGTAGTTGAGAATATGGTCAAAACTGTCAGCCAAATGGTAGAGCAGCTGCTTTGCATGCAGAAGATCCAAGATTCAAAGTACTTGGCAATGTGTAGAACTGTACACAGTACTTGCATTTAGAAAAGAGTGGGATACAATTCATTGGGATGTTTTCTTGTGCTCGCCAACTCATTTCAGCGGGCTTTACATAAGAGACCATCTGGTTTGATTGTGCCTATAAGAGAGCCTTGCAGGTGTGCACATATATTTTAAATGGATAACACCTTGTTCATTTTAAAATCCCCATCCGCAACAACAAAAATTACTCTGGTTTCAAACTGTGTTTTTCAGATGGTGCCAGAAGTAAGACAGACAGGAATTAACAGCAGGACAGCCATGTCAAGAGGACTGTATCATACAGCAACAATCTTTATGGGACGCCAAATGTCAGCTGTCTCAAGCGTTGAAGATTTCAGTGTGCCGCCGAAATCTTCTGAGCTCACAAAGAGCTTTTCAATTTCTGACCCACATTCACATAGACAACCATCACAGAGCAGTTATGTGACAGACAGCTGTGTAGTACGAACTAATAGTGATCTACAGCGCTCAAATAAGTCTGACAAAATAGATGGAAAGACATATCTGCTGATGGGCAAGGAAACGCCAGTCACATCCAGTGTATCATATGAGAATGAAAGAACTTGCTGTTTAACAGTAGAAAGCAAGACAAATAATTGCAGTAGTAATTTTGTGGAAAGCAAAATGTCTCCTGAACTTAACTCCCTGTTACATGGAAGATTAAGTCCAGAGAACAGAACCACCGATTTAAAAAGTGACAGTTCCTGCAAATCGTTGGAAGAAATACTGACACATGAGTACTCTGTACGAAATGAACAAGGATCTAAACGGCCGATCTTATTGGTGTGTCGCCCTGAGCAGCTTGTTTCTGGAAATGAGCACTCGAGAGCAAAATTCCCAGGTATAGTGATGATGTGTGTAATGGAAATAGCTCTCCTCCTGCCTAGTTGGATTTTTACAATGGTATCCATCACTGCATTATCTGCAGATGCAAAGGAACTGCATTTTTATATACTAACAATGGCAGGGACGCATTGAGGGCTATCTATTGCTTGCATTAAGTTTTGTTTACTGCCTGAGCAACTATAGTGAGAGTCCATGCAAGAGACCTATGTCCTTTATTTACTTTTTGGGTGCAGTTTTCTAGATCTCTTTCATGTTCTTGAATAGAAATATCTGTCCTGTTGTCTTCATTACTTTCTGAGGAACACAGTACTGTAGTGGAAAAGAATTTAACTTGACAGTCCTTTAAAGGGGCATTCAGCAGGAGTACACAGTTACCTGGCCTCTCTAAACACCCAGTTCCATTGCTGTTGATCTTGCTGTTCAGGAATGAAAGTCAGACTTGTTTTTGTCTGTCTGCTTATTCCATGATTTTTAAATTGGATTTTCATTGAACTTTTCAGTGCTATAACTGATTTCTCTCTCTCTGTTGGTTCTTGATTGTATTTTCTTCTTCATTAGTTTCTGTGGTAGAGATATCTAGCTTCAATTCTGAATACGTATTCCTCGTTATTTGTTCATATTTATAGCCTGTCTTTTTTGAAAGAAAAACTCAAAGTGGGTAACATAAGAAGTATAAAGTATACAAGAGGCCTTGTGGTCTTATTCGATTGTTCTATAGGAAAACTAATCATTGGTGAAATATGCTGGTGGAATTGACTCCAGCAGACAAACAGAAGACAATCTCCTTTGGTCTCTACTTTTCCATTGATTGAGTTTTTCAGTACAGTTTTTAAAAATTGTATATATTTCTAAAACTTTCTTCTTTAGACAGACTGTGAGATGGTTTGTTTTTATCATTTACTTTTGTACTTGGTGATGAAGATTTTGAATGGCCTTGACATTACAGTATATTTATGTATTTTACTATATATTGCTTTCAACCTTTCCTTTTTTGAAAACACAGGATTTAACATTTTTTAAGTAGCCAGTTATGACCTATGTTTGGGGATGTATTTTTAACTGAAATATATATACAACTATTATCAAATTTGAATTAATATTTTCATTGTAATTTATTTTTATTTGTAATTATTTTTAATGTTAAGTTTCTGTTACAGTTCCTGAGGATAGTCTGATGCTGGACAAAAATGCACAGGAGAAAGAAGGTGGAAGTTCAGGTGGAAGTAGTGACCTTACTGTTTCTTTCAGTGAAGAGGATGAAGAAGGGAAACCATTAAAACTACAGGATTTAGGCTGCAGCACACCATATAATGAGGAAGAACATCCATGTTCACAAGCATTATGTCATTATAGCTCAAGTGGAGGCTCATCTGCTAGTCTCACAATAAGGTAAAACCAAGCCATTGATTTCTTCATTCCTTTCAGTTGAAACACCATTTGGAACATTTTTTCTAATGATATTTTAGCGCAGGTGTGCACGACATCATTGGAAGGTTTTGCCACTTTGCCTTCTTTCTCACTGATCCTCAAGCTGTTTAACCTCCCCCTAAACCTTGTTCACTTCCAGCAATAAAACTGTGCTTGATGTCACAGTTTTACGCTTCCAGCAAACATGGTACTATTGAGAGAAAGTGATCTGTTGTTTCACTGCCCCTTGTGGCAAGTCATTCAAGGTTGCAGAGATGTGGCTGAAACTTCCTGACAGTAAGAGCTGTTCGACAGTGGAATTTGCTGCCAAGGAGTGTGGTGGAGTCTCCTTCTTTGGAGGTCTTTAAGCAGAGGCTTGACAACCATATGTCAGGAGTGCTCTAATGGTGTTTCCTGCTTGGCAGGGGGTTGGACTCGATGGCCCTTGTGGTCTCTTCCAACTCTATGATTCTATGATTCTATTCTATGATTCTATTATGTTACCCTTTTCTGGGCAACAGACAGATTCTCCCCTTTTGGTTTGGGTCTCCAAGTAGCTGCAAGCTTTCTTGCTTAGTTCTGGTCACTCTACATGCCTTTTCCATCCTGCCTAGTCCCCCTGCAAGTGTTACCACAATATAACTGTCTGAACTCTGTCTTGTTTCTTCTTAAGCAACCAGAAATGCTCATTTTCTGACTAAGTGCTAAAACTGAGGAATTTCCAATGGTATTTGTGATGCATCATAGTCTTTGTGTGGTTCTATTTGTGCACGGGCAGCGCAATGTTACACAGGAGGAGCATGGCGATTGAAGTAATATCCTCCGTCTGCGCCTTTAACTTCAACAAAACATCGCGCCTTGCGCTCCTCCTGTGTAACGTTGCTCCGTCCACACACAAATGGAGCCGCACGAAGACACCACACGGCAAAAACGGACTTCCTACAGCCTCCCTCCCAGCTGTAGGGCGGGCAGAGTGGAGGAGGCAAGCAGAATACTGTACGCAGGCTCCATGGGAAAGGCAAGAAGTGGTAAAAGTAATTGGAAAAAAAAGCTTCACCACTCTTCCCCCCCCCCCCCAGCTCATATCTGCACCCCCCCCCCAAAGCTCAGCGATTGCCGGCAAAGGAACAGTGAATGACGGCCTGTTAGACGCGTGGGGCTGTTAGCCTCTGGGCAATCTTCCCCTCCTAAAATTTCAACAAGTCAGGGCAATTTCCCCCCATTTTCTTAATTTGGGGTCCCCAAAAATAGGGGGCGTCCTATACATGGGGGCGTCCAATACATGGAAATATATGGTAAATGTAATTAGTCATCTTTACACACAGCATAATTTTGTACCTTATTTGAAAATAACCTCTTTGTGAAGAAAACGACATAATCAGCCTTTATTGTAAGTGAAGATTCTGTGTTTAGTTCAAGTGGTATGTTGCTACAGATAATGGATTCACTTTGTATTTTAGACCTAGACTAGCTCCCCTTCCCCAAAAAATAAATAAAATGATTTTAAGCTTTATTCACAGCACATTTCTTTTATGTTTCACCATTTGTTTTAGTACATAACAGTACATCCAGATTTCCAACCTCCCCCAATCACAAACTGAAGTTTTGTGCTCTGAGCTTCCTACAAGATGTCTAAATAGTGCCGTCTGGTAGTTATCAATCTGTTTCTATTATTGATACTTCAGGTCTCCACCATCCGCCATAAGAAATCAGAAAGAAATTTGATAGTTCAGGGAGTTGTGAAATTTGCTACATGTCAGTATTGTCAAACTCTTAAATGAAAGTCTTGTCCAGCACTTTGCCAGTTCCCATAACTAACCTGTGCTTCATTTAGAGCCTTAAAAACTTCAGCCTCTTGGATTTAGCACTTAGGAAGATAATGAGTATTTCAAGCTCATGTTTAAGAAGGAACAAGGCAGAGACCTTTTGCTTGTGCTGCTTCAGCTGCATTCAAGAGGACTTAGCACAGATGGATTGTGCATTACAAAATGTAACACATAATTCAAGCTGTCAGCTTAATCAGACTGTTTCCAGGAAGCAACCTGTAAAAGAGAAAGACCCCTTGTTTGCTGACCCCTGATCCATAGCCTGCTGCATCATGTCATCCATTTTGCTTTTCTTTATTTATGTGTCCCTTCCTTCCCCTCCTTTTTATTAATGTATTCCCTTCAAGTGGCACCCTGGAAAGACCACCCAGAGGGAGGAGCACAATAGGGAGCGAGCTAGCTGAAATAGAGATTTTGTAAGACTTCAGTGCAATGAAAAGCCCTGTTGAACTGCCTGTGTGTTCTCACTGCCTCAATGTGTGTTAAGTCTAAACTTGAAAACGTCACTCCCGCACCATCTTCATTTTCCACTGTTCTTAGTCACTGTTGTGGAATTGCATTGCAGTAGAGTTTAGCAATTTGGGAGAATATTTTACAATTTCATGTGTGTAATTTGCAATATATATTAAAGTTATAGATTTTTCAAAAACCTTGATAAGGCTAATGAATGTTGCTGCTGCTGTTCTTGAACAGTTTATAGGCTAGCTGTGTGTTTTGCTTTGTGGAGTTCTGCTGTTGAATGTGGAAACAAAACAGGCAGTCTGAAATAAAAACCTGAATAGCTATTTACACCTCTGTAAAAGGATTAGCAATTCCCCATTGTTAAAAAGCTTAAACTTCAATTTGCATCATTATAGAGGTATCACTTACTCCAATCTCTCCAGTAATATTTTATACCTGTAGGGAACCACTAGCTTTGTCCATTTATATAGTTGTAAGATTTATAAAAATACAATCATGCTTGGGTACTGTTAAATTAGAAAGGGCTAAATGCTAAGTTGTTTGAGCTATCATTTGCAGCTCACTGCCTCATTGTTAAAACTTACATTTGAGATGTATTCAGTGCCTGATCTGAACATGAGGTAAGTTTTATATTTTTAAAGAAGACAAAGCAATACACTAATGTATTATAGCTCTGGAGGTTAGGACTCGAATCAATGGCTTCAAGATACTAGAAAGGAGATTCTGACTTAAACCTCAGGAAAAACTGTTTGAGCTGTTCGACAGTGTAACCTTCTCCCTTGGGAGATTGAGAGCTCTCCTTCCTTGGAGGTTTTTAAGCAGAGGTTGGATGGCCATCTGCCATGGATGCTTTAATTCCTGCATTGCAGGGGGTTGGGCTAGATGACCCTTGGGGTCCCTTCCAACTCTACACTTCTAATATTCTAAAAGGGTCACAATTTCTAATAATAAAATCAGGACAGTGTTTGCTGTCAGATACAGAAACCTGAGGGCTGATGGGAATTGTAGTCTAAATCATCTCAAGGTTCAGGAAGACTGCTTTAATGTCTAGGTCCTGTTTGTGGGCGTCCCACAGGCATTTTGTTGCCTACTAGGAAAACAGGATCCTGCCCTAGATCAACTTTTGGTCTGATCCAGTATGGCTGCCTTATGTTCTTAGGTGGGGCTACCCAGTGTGCATGATGACATCTTGACACTGTGTCTCTGCCTGTGCTCTGCTTCATGGGCTGGAAGCTCACAACGTGATAATGCCCTATAGTTTAGAAACAAGAGCTGGGCCAGTCCTCATGCACACATGAATCTAAAGGTACTGTAGAAGATTGGGGGGGTGTGCTAGAAATGAAGTGATCCATTCCAACTTTCCTGCTCTTTATCAAAAGTGCTAGCTCCATTCAAAAATATGAATATATGGAAGATAGAATAAGTTATCCCATTGTCATTTTATACAACACATTCATTACCATGAGCACACAGTGCATATTGTAATTATTATTTTTTAAAGTGTTCATATTATTTCATGAAGTTTTCAAAATCTTTTTATTTATGTGAAAAATTAGATATGACAGATTTGTGTACACCCCATTCATGTATAAAGTGGAAAATGGAGACTGTTCTGTTTTATTATACCAAAGGAGGAGGAGGAAGATTCACCTGATTTTAAGTGGAAGATCCCACCTTCTTCTTTATATGCAAATACGTCATACACATGAATAAGCAAATATGACTCCCTCCCCATTTACAGTTGTGTGCCCATTTTGGTTTTATATGTGAATATTTTAATAGGTTATAATAGCATTTGTTTATTTCTGCAGAAAATCTTTGACATTTGAAGGATTTGCTCATGTCTTGACATTCATAGAGCAGTTTGTGGCCACAGCAGATCAGGAACACCTAATGTTATACCAGAGGAAAGCTGTGAATACAGTAGAGCTGGAGACCCTTATAAGGTTCAAATATTATTTTCTTTTAATTGGGAGACAGTAATAGTGTTTGTCTATGTATCAAATCAAATCTTTATTATGGTCATAGACCAGCATAAGTAGGGTGGGGTACAATCATTTAAAAATCTGTAAAACGTTTTGGAAAGCTGAAATTATTAAAACAGAAGGTATATATATTAAAACTATAAGAAGCTAAAAGAAGGGTTAGGAGCATTAATCGGCTGTGGAAGAGCATACAAGGTTAGTATATAAAAGGCTATGGCTATCAATTTACAAAGCACTCCAATATGAGTGTTCATTAAATCTAGTTTGTGGCACAGGTCATCATTCAACAAATTTTGAGCACTGCTATGCAGAACCTGGCAACATTCTTTGTTGTAGCAGGGTTGATACCTGAAAGCAGCAGGGAGGTATAGAATTGCCCTGTGCACCCTGGGTCCTTATGGGGAGATGAGGCTAATACGAATGTCTCTGTAATACAGGCACTGGAGAAGCACATGCTCTATTGTTTCTGTTTGTCCAGAATTACAGGGGCATTGTCTCTCGGAGCAAGCAATCTTCCTGGCGTGACATCGTGCCAGGGTAAAGGCCCTCCGATGCTTAGGGACTTTAGTTAGATATGCCATGGGGGAGGCAGAGTATCTGATGGATTCATTGGCAATAAAAGTTGGGGTACTGGCTAGATCCAATTGGCTGTGTGTCTACTACACATTGTTTAATGAGTGCTTTGGCCTGATCATATCCCATGCTGAGTAGAAGACCTGGAGAGAAGCCCAGGGATGAGATTTTAGTTGCCACTGCCTGTTTCCATGTGGATTGAAAAACATCACTCATAGTTAGTGGGGCAAGGCCAAGGGGAAATAGAGATAGTCTGAGCCAATAGTTGAGTATAGTCACCCACACTCTAGCCTCCACTTTTGTGAAGCTTGTCTAGTCTCAGAGTGACATTAAAGACACATTTTGGGACTTGAAGGACTGATCTTAGAAATTTGGATTGTACAGGTTCTAGTGTAGTGAGAGCCAGTGTGGTGTAGTGGTTAAGAGCAGTGGACTCGTAATCTGGTGAACTGGTTTGATTCCCCGCTCCTCCACATGCAGCTGCTGGGTGAACTTGGGCTTGTCACACTTCTCTGAAGTCTCTCAGCCCCACTCAACCTCAGAGTGTTTGTTGTGGGGGAGGAAGGGAAAGGAGATTGTGAGCCGCTTTGAGACTCCTTCGGGTAGTGATAAAGCAGGATATCAAGTCCAAACTCTCTTCTAGTCGTACAAAATTGGAGAAGGGGCCCAGCCGGGCACCATAGAGAAGTTGTGCTATTGGCTTGGCTTCAAATAATTTGAGTGCTGCAGGTATATAGTGGCCACCTCTTGTTTTAAAAAAAATTAAGGATTGAAGATGCGCTCCTCTGAGCAATAACAGCAACATAGTCTCCATGAGCTTTCCTACTGCCAGCAGAATGAAAAACTACCCCCAGATATTTGAAACAGGAGACCTGCTCAATCTTATAGCCATCTATGCTCCAGGAGTGGCTCATAGGCCTTTTGGCAAATGCCATTATTTTAGTTTTCTGATAGTTGAGTTCTAGCTGGTCCTCCTTGCAATACTGTGTTAGTGCTCTCAGTGCTCTTTTGAGGCCAATAGGTGTTCTTGAAAATATTGCTGCATTGTCTGCATAGAGGGATGTGTCTTCCAGCAAGTTTTGGGAAGTGAAAGTTTGTGCTATGGAGGTGGCTTACCATTGAGTTGATGTAGAAATTAAATAAGAGTGGGGGCCATATGCAGCCTTGCTTGACACCTTTCTTGGTTCCAGTGGCATTGGTGAGATGGCCCCAGGGGTTACATTTTACATTAAGTGAGGTCCCTTCATGTAGCATACAAATTAGATGGAGTAGACGTCTATCTATTGAGGTGGCCTCCAGTTTTTTCCACAGTTTAGCTCTGGGTATGGAATCAAATGCTGCTTTGAAATCTATAAAAGCAGCATAAAGAGAGGTTGTGTTGTGGGAGGAGTACTTCTCAATGAGATGATGGAGTACTAGGCATTGGTCAATAGTGGATCAGCCTTCCCTAAAGCCAGCTTGCTCCTCTCAAAGTATATTTTCTTGTTCCATCCAGTTGTGGAATTTCCATTGTTAGGTGTCTTGTGTAAAGTTTGCTACCCCAGTGTGGGGTAGTGGTTAAAAGCGGTAGCCTCGTAATCTGGGGAACCGGGTTCGCGTCTCCGCTCCTCCACATGCAGTTCACGTCTCCGCTCCTCCACATGCAGCTGCTGGGTGACCTTGGGCCAGTCACACTTCTTTGAAGTCTCTCAGCCCCACTTTGAAGTCTCTCAGCCCCACTCACCTCACAGAGAATTGTGAGGGAGGAAGGGAAAGGAGAATGTTAGCTGCTTTGAGACTCCTGAAGGGGAGTGGAAGGAGGTATATCAAATCCAAACTCCTCTTCTTCTAATCGGTCTGTAGTTTGCAGTATCATCCCTTTTTCCTTTTTTATATATGGGGGCAATGATTACAAGCCCCCAGTCCTTGGGGGCTCGGCCATGGGTGTCAATGCAGGTGAAGAGTGAGGCCAGAATATAGGCCCAGAAGTCCATATTGTTTTTAATGGCCTCTTGAGGAATTAGGTCTTCCCCTGGGGCCTTCTCCAGTCTTAGCTAAGCTACCAGGTTGTTAATCTCTTGTTACCATCACTGGTGCCCACATAGGCAGATTCTCTATAGTTTGACTAGAGTCTCCACTTTTAGCAGAGGTGTCCAAGTAGAGTTCCTGAAAGTGAGCCTCCCAGGTCCCTGGGGGGATGTGACAGTCCACCATGGTTGGGCCATTGCTTTGTGGGCTGGATGTAATATGCCAAAATGTGGCTGAATCATTGGATTTGGCTGCCGGGATAAGTCGTGTCCAGGTGTTCTTCATGGCATCCCTTTTCTTTTGTGCCAGCAGATGCTTATAGTATCTCTTCTGCTGGAGGAGGTCCAGTGCAGCTGTTGGTTTGCTCTTGGATACATAAGCCTTGTAAGTGGCAGCAAGAACTTTTCTGGCATTAACACAGTCCTTGTCAAAGCATGTCTTGGAGTGGTGCTGTTGTTGTCTCAAGCATGTGCTATTATTCCAGATTAGGAGCTGGTGGGGCTCTTGCATAAGGGTGTTATAGTTCTCCAAGAGTGCATCAGGAGAGACAGCAGATATCAGGGCACTGCAGGCGATCTGAGGCCAGTAGTTCAGTTATCATTTGGCTTAGATGAGGAGTACACTTGGGTCGATGGTAAGTTCTTCCTGCTGGCATTAGGAAGGGCTGGTAGGAGTCCTCAGTATGTACAGGTATCTCTTGAGTGAAGGCTTTTAGCTGAAGGAGAATTGGGAAGTGATCACTGCCAAATTTAGGCATAACTTCTAGGGTCTTAACATAAGGAAGGAGGTCTCTAGAAACAGTTATATAGTCCATAGCACTCATTCCGGAGCCAGATAGGTAGGTGAATTCAGCTGGGTAGTCGCTTTCAAGGGCACCATTTAAAATGTAGATGTTTAGCCTAAATGCTGTTTGAGCCAAGCAGAGGGCTGCAAAGTTTGATTTCTGATCTTTTGAGCAGCGGGTGAGGAGGAATCCATCGGCTTCACGGCTGAGAGGAGGACATTTGTGCTGTTCATAGAGAATGTGGTCATTAGGGCTCAATCTGGTGCTGAGGTCCCCTCCCAGAACTACAAATGCATTTGGGTTGAGCAGGATAAGGTCACTGATTTAGTTTCCAGTTCAGTCCACGAGACTCTGATCTGTTGTCTGTGTAGTTTGCTTGTTTTGGTAACTGTGGTTGAATTTAATAAGTGGGAAAGGTTTCCTTGGGTGGCTCTCAGCCTGGTCAAGTCTGCAGAGAAGAAGAATGTAAAGGTGGAAACTCTTAACAATGATATTTGCTTTGTGCGCTAAGCATGCTCTTTTGGGGAGCAGCCACGTCGCTCTTGTAGGGAGAAGGGAGGCCATCACAAAGTTGGCAGCAGCCATGTATGTTGGGGTACATATAAAAGAGAATTAAGTCCTTGGAACTTAATACACAGCTGTTTCAGAGTGTGCAAAGTGTCTTTGTTTGGTTTTCTTTTTGTTTGTTGTTTGGGGGTGGGTAAGAGTCTTTGCTGTTGTTTTTAAGCTGGAGCAGGGTGGGGGTGGGGACTGTGTGTGGCACCCCCACCCTGCCCCTCAGTTGTGGGGCCTGAGGCATATTGAGTGACCTTTACTATTTAAGATGAGCAATACAACTAAATGTTCTCTTCCTCTCTTCCTCCCTTGATTCTTTGGCTACTGGCAGTGTCACTGTCCATGCAGAGTTCTTTTGGAGTTTGCTCCCTTAGGGGTGTGAGCAAAACAAAACAAGCATTAATGCATCTGAATCTGAAAAAAGAATTTACAGGACTGTTTTTGCAGAGGGGACACACCCAGCTCTAACCCTTATTTTTCATGTGTCTGCTAGCCAGCAATGTGGACTGTGTTTTTCCCACATGCATGACTTAGTCCAGGGGTAGTCAACCTTTTTATACTTACCACGCACTAATGCATCTTTCTTGATGGTAAAATTTCCTTATTGCCCACTAGGCCTCAATGGAAGGAGGACTGTGCCGTAGAACTCCCTACCGCCCACCTAGAATCTTGAAACGCCCACTAGTGGGCAGTAGGGACCAGGTTGATAACCCCTGGCTTAGTCAGTAGCAAAAAGGAACATTGGACCTACCTGAGTTCTTCCTCCTGATCACTCCAGAAGCCAGGACATATACCTGTTGCGCCCTGTGTGTGAGAGAGTGTCTCTCCCACAGGTTCAGGATGTAATACAGCTTCACACTGATGTTGGGACCACTGTTCGCTGGGCTGGGATCTGGGTCTGCTCTGATTCTCTGCCTTCTTGGCCCTAAAACCACTGCCTAAAGAGATGAGAGGAACTATTCCCAATCTGCTTTTTTCTTCTTTGGATCACCTTATTTTTATCCTCCTCAAGAGCCTTGCCAAATAGCCTGCCCCCTTTTAAATGGAGTGGACGGCAGATTAATCTTGGATTAATCCAGCCAGGAACCTGGGAGTAAACTGCGAAGAGTCTTAAACCAACATCCACTATAAAGGCATCAGTCTCAGTTAGCTTCTTAATATCCTGTTTGATCTTAAGATTGGTTTTGGGACCTCTCTGTGTAGTTTCTTCATCTAAAGGAGAGAAGGCCTGACAAATATTAAAATAAAAGCTGCAGTCCTGACAGCTGGAGCAAATGCCTCATAGGACTTAAGCAAAATGTATCACTTTTACGGTGTTTTAAAACCTCATTTCCACTACTGGATACTACTGTCCCAGACACTACTACTGCCACAGGAGCATTCGTGACGGCTTTCTTCCGGTTTTTCTTAGGCAGCATGTAGGATTTCATTGAAACAGTCTCACTTGGCTTGGATGACTTTGAGTTTAGCTCACTCACCGTCTGCAATATGCCCTCAGGAGGGGAACAGTCCTGCCACTCTGAGTACACTTCCCCGCCCCCCAGTTTGTGGCACTAATAGTTCTAAGCCCTAGCAATGCCTCTCTGAATGGTCCTCAGAACAGTCCTGAAAGAGAACTGGGTATCCCCTCCCTGTGTGAGGGCCCAAAGACATACTCTCATAACTAGACTCTTCCATAAGTCTCAGGCTTTGCTTATGTGTTGATTACAGAACAGTAAAAGGGCAGAGCTATAAGGAGAAAGGACATAAGATGAGGGAGAAGTGAACAAATTGAGAAAAATAACAAGGGGGGCGTCAACTATAGAACAGCATTGCCTGAGTCTGTTGATGAGGCTGGACAGAAACAGGGAGATGGATGCTGTCCCAAACAGGGATAACAGTTGTCTGATTTGTATAGGTTCTGCCTTCTGGAGTAAGTGGGAGGAACAACCCAGACACCCATGGGAAAATTATTCTCTGATATTACTAGAAGCTGAAACTACCTTTTGCAAACACTCTTGGCTCAATAAAATACTTAAGGAAGGCTAAATGTAGCCCCTGATTCATGTGTCTTCTAGCCTAAAGAGAGAACTTAAAGGGGACCAGCTATATCAGTAAGGAAGCCTCTTTTCACTAACAGTTCATAGCAGGTTGTGTGATACTCTCTGACCTCTATAGAGATTTCTGGATCGAGTTCAGCGGCAACTTCTCTTGCTGGCTGTGAATTGCATTCACTACCACACTGAATTGTCCTGCACTAAACTCAAGTACTGTGTCTGAATCCCAAACTAAAAGTTAATCTAAATGCATATAACAGCACCCCAATTAAAATATGAAAACACAATTTCCTGTGGGAATTAGGAATAGGAGGAGGTTTTAGATCTTTTTCAACCTGCTATTTCCATGTTGCAAATCTTCCCAAGTAGCTCTCCCACTGGCTGGGGTTTCTAATGCACGTTTCATCACATTTTAAATCTTGCCTGCAAATAAGCTATCAAAGAGGTCGTGATGATTCAGAACAGGAAGTGTGTATGTTCTCCCTTCACCCTGCCATTTCTGTATTCTGATTTTCCCGCCTCTCCTGCCCTTTAGAAAGTTTCCCCTATACTTCAGGGCCCATTACATCCTGTTACATATACTTTTAAGGTAGGTGTAGTTTGTGCTTGACTTCTGCTTGCCTTTAGGAACAGCGAGTTTGTTTGTTTATCCCACTCTTCAGCTAAAAAAGGTTCCTAGAGTGGCTTACAAATCACTACAAAGAAGTGTTAGTGACCACCATACATGAGCAGTCTGCTTGAGAGAATCCATGTGTGGCACAGATAATTTGGTTGCTTCAAAGACATGGATTCCTCATGAATGTTCAAAATTAGTTGAAATGCACAGTAAAACTAAACATTCATGACTCTGGTTCAGGTTAGTGATATGATGGTTATACCTGGACACTGTCCCATTGGGCAGACTCCAGTTCAGGCCCCTGCAGGCTGTGTTTCCCCATTCCATGCCAAAATAAGTGAAATAACTGTATGTGTGTTTTCCTCTTGAAAGGAGTACACTGTTGGAAATGACTGACTAGTCTCCTAATTTCCCTTGAACTCCAGTTCAAAACCCTCTGTGGGTTCAAGCCCTGAAATAAAAGAAAGAATCATCCTTTCCAAATATCCCACCATATACTTCCTCAAAGGAGACTTCACTGGGAGAGTTACTCTACTGAATCACCATCATCATCATCATTTTCATTTATTACTTATACCCCACCCATCTGGCCAGGCCTCCCCAGCCACTCTGGGCGGCTTCCAACAGGATATTAAAAACACAATAAAAGGTCAAACATTAAAAACTTCCCTAAACAGGGCTGCCTTCAGATGTCTTCTAAAAGTCAGATAGTTGTTTATTTCCTTGACATCTGATGGGAGGGTATTCCACGGGGCGGACGCCACTGCCGAGAAGGCCCTCTGCCTGGTTCCCTGTAACCTCACTTCTCGCAGTGAGGGAAAGGAACTGAGAATCATGACTTTAGTTGTGGTTATTCTTTTGGCATCAGAAGGGGAGAACACTAACTTTCAGGGAAATAACTTTTAGGGTAATAAAAGTACAGTGCATGCTCGGGCTGTGATCGTGATCCATGCGGGAGGCACGTTAGCAACCTGCAGTGTTCGCAACCCGCGACCCATGCGTCTGTGCACGTGCGGATCGTGATTTGGCGCTTCTGCACATGGGCAAGCACTGAAATCCAGAAGTAACCCATTCCGGTACTTTTGGGTTCGGTGCAGTGCGCAACCCAAAGCATTTGTAACCCGAGGTATGACTGTATCACAGAAGAAGAAGAAGAGGAGTTTGGATTTGATATCCTGCTTTATCACTACCCGAAGGAGTCTCAAAGCGGCTAACATTCTCCTTTCCCTTCCTCCCCCACAACAAACACTCTGTGAGGTGAGTGGGGCTGAGAGACTTCAGAGAAGTGTGACTGGCCCAAGGTCACCCAGCAGCTGCAGGTGGAGGAGCGGAGACGCGAACCCAGTTCCCCAGATTACGAGACTACCGCTCTTAACCACTACACCACACTGGCTCTCACAACTGAGGAGGTTGTTCTAGATGATATTCGATATCTTCTAACTTTGCTGTTTACAGTCTATATTGAAGCCAATTGCTGTGGGAACTATTATAGATTACATGGATAAGAATGGTGCTTATAATTAATGGGTTTAAGCAAATACTTCATTAAGCACCTGTTATTGTTTTATAGCGTCTGTAATGAAATTGGCAGCTTAAAACCAGAAGGCCTTGAGGTATGTGAAGCACTTGTCCTTCATCATCTTGAGAGATTATTGAAATTTACAATTGATAGATGCCTTCTACCAGAGAAAACGCTTAAATACAAAAGTGGGACGCTGGATGAAAAGCATGATAGGTATGATCATTGTTAAGACTTACACAATTCACTTTATTTTTGGTCATGCTATTGAAATCAGAGAATTTATAGGGAGGAACTTCATATACCTGAAATATCATGTGTATGATTTAACCATTCAAAATGCACTGTTTAAAGATTTTACAGCTGAGATGGCTAACCTGTGGCTCTCCAGATATTCCTAGACTTCAGCTCCCATCATCCCTGCCTATCAGCCATGGTGACGGGCTGGTGAGAGTTGGAGTTCAACAGCATCTAAGAGGCCACAAGTTAGCCCTGCTGTAGGTCAGGTGACAAGACACGAAGGGCCACAGGTTAGCCACCCCTGTTTTGCAGCATAATCCGAAGCGTGTCTACTCTTGTGTTCAGTGGAACTTACATCCAGGTAAGTGTGTGTAGGGTTGCAGCTTTGAAGGACATACTGAACAATTGTTTTGTGTTTTATATGTAAAGCTTATGCCTTGTCTATAATCGCTTAGGGTTCATGAAGCAAACTGATGCTATGTGCCAGGCCCAGAGGGGCGAATAGCTCTGGATCCTCAGAGGAGTGCTGCAGAGGGATGGGAAAGCAGGACTCCTCTTGTGTTGCTTGCTTGTTTTAGTCTTGTTTGCAGTTCCATGTTGTTCTTGCTTTTTATCTTTTAATTTTTATTCAAGTTGAAGAGGTCTGCTTTTCACCAATGCTTGTAGATGACAGGGCTGTAACTCTGAGATAGGGATCTAGAAACAGTCACTCAAGCATTCATAATCTTGAGTCTTAAACAATGATGTGTAAGCCATATTCAGGCATTATCCCTCACACCAGTTGCAGGGCGGGGGGCTGAATCACTGGTCCTGCCCCCACACGTCACACAACCTAAGCTATCTCACCCACATTTGAGCATATGGGTGAGATAGCTTAGGTTGTGAGCTACATGGACATGTGAATATGGACTATTGTTTCCTTGGTCCAACTCTACAATCTCTGCTACTACCTATGCTATACTGACCACTAATATTTAGATACTAATTATACAGACCTTAATTTTAAGTTTTGCTTGGGATGAGTTAAAATACATGTAATTTCAATTCTTCTCTTAGTGTCTATTTGAGCAAATAAGAATTTCAGAAAATAAGTTAATGGTGTTTTTATTAAATAAATTTGTATTTCATTATTTGGCTAACAGTGAAGATTGATAGTCTTACATCTTTATTGGTATGTGCTGTTTTGTCTGCCATATTTGCTTTTTTCTTTCCCTAGGTCTGAATTGACATCTTATTTTGCTAAGACATGGAAACGTTTAAGTGAACATATTTTATTGTTGAAGAAGTACAATGTTTTATTCGAACAAGAAGTGAAAGACATGCTTAGTACCATATTGACTTTGGAGAGCCACAAGCAACGTGGCCTGGTCAGTTCTTGTTTCATTTTCTTTTGTTCTTTCCAAAAGATACCTTGAAGAAACAGATTGGTGACAGTAGAAGTTTGGTTTTCCAGAATGCCTACGAAGCAACAATACAATAAATTGTGTAGGAGACACGTTGACTAGTGTATATATTAAGGCAAAACCTGAATGAGATTGAGCTGTTCTTTTTCATTTAAACATGTTATTTCTTGTTCTATTTACTGTTATAATGCTTCTAAATATTGTGACAACAGCAGTTTTTAAACATTTTCCTGTCTAACGGGTTACAAAAAGGAATAGTAATGTACTTATTGTTATTGTTATAATCATACAGTTTTATTTCTGTTTCTGTAGGCTACATCATTATTGAAAGAAAGCTTTTCAGTAGAATATGAAGACAGCTCACTTGCTTGTAGCGATAAAACATCTTGTGATTTGCAAACAAACAATAACACAATAAAGCAAGGAAGATATGAACAACGGCTTGGTAATAATGTTGAAAGGGAAAAGGGTAATTTTTGTTAAGGCTCATTCTTAGTCTAACATACTATAACACATTATAACATAATATAATACCTCAGGATATGCAGTAGTGAAAACTGCAGGATATATTTTCCCCACTCCCCACTGTGGACGTATAAGAGTCCTCGTGTGCTACCCTGCTCACAAATGCAGGATTAGGTGTATGAAGCTAAAACAAGGCAGCCCCAGTTCCTCTGAAGCTCCATGTGTGCAATTGAGTCCTGGCTTTATGAAGTGAATAGAGAAGTATATTTGAACTTACCTTTGAGTAAGGTGGTTTTGTTTGTGGCTTATCTACAGTAGTAATTTCTGTGCTTCGGAAAATCATGTGTTCTGTTTCTGGTGTAAATTAGAAATGGAATCATGTATAAACTCATTAAAACATGTTATGAAAAGGAAACACCTATAGATTGTAAAATGCATTTCTCTACAAAACATTGAAGAACATATATACAGTATTAGAAACATGCTTATTAGTGCAAAGGAAGCATAGGCAGATCCCCCCCCCCCTTTTTTAGAAGAAGCTTCATACTGAGAAAAACATGTATTGGCTTAAAAAAAAAATTAAATGAATGTTAGATGAATTTGTTTTGCTAAAGGAAGTAATTTGATTTAGGAGCGGGAGATGGTGACTCAGTGTCTCCTTGCATCAAAGCCCAGAAAAGATGAGCAATTAGGACCCAGATGCCTTTACACGGCAAACATAAGCAATGCTGTTTAGGTTGCCTTTCTAGATTTTTATTGATAAAAGAGAGGGGCTATGATTTAAACTAATTTTCTGGGTAAATTTGTTTTATGTATATCAAATATTGAAAATGGGTTAATAGCCAAAATGGCGAAGTAATCACAATTAAAAAGAAAAAAAGTCTCATAACCTAAACTATTCAAGGTATTTTGCCAGTTTACTGTTTTCTTTGGCAGTTGCACAGAGATACAGTAACAGCATATTTGGCTAAAGTTCACAGTAGGGTCCTTTTGTAAAGAACTGTAATAGACATTTTCGATCAATAAACAAGACATAACAAAAGTAGGGCTTAAAAGAAAGGGAATAGGGCTTAAAAAGAAAACAAACTGGTCTGATCACTGTGACTTTGAAATGTGCTTCATTATTGTGTGTGTTCACATACAGAAGTCACAAGCTGGTGTGAAGATGAGAGCAAGGAAGAAAGCCTGGTGGAAAAGATTCCTATTACAGGTAAAAGTCATGGCTGCATAATAGCCTCAAATGCGGGGTTTGACTTTATTATATAATCAAAACATTGCATTTCAGCAGCTTGTGAATTCCCCTAATAGTGAGTAAATTCAGCTACTACATACTGAGCACAGAGATTAAACGCAAGATCATAAAGTCCACGCTTATGTTAACATAAACCAAGATGGAAAATAACAGTGCCTATTTTAATTCCTTGTAATCATGTTATACATTTTAAACCTTGTGAATATCCTGTTATTTTAGCCTTTCAGGTCTTGGTATCGGTGTTACAAAGGTCAGTCTCCATGGGGAAGAATCAGTAATTAGATGGCAAACTACAGATGTTTCTGATTTGACTCTTTTCTTTTCTGTAGTAATTGAATGTGTATCATTAGAATAAGAGAAGGGAGGAAAAATTGTGCCAGACAAAAAGCCGGGTTTGTGCCTCAGTTACAAAGGCATACTGATAATTTAAAAATATTTTGCAATAAGGTCTCATCAGGACCTGTTAAGACCTCTTTTTCTGGCAGCTAATTATGTTTGTTTATAAAGAATATCCAAGATATCATGGCAGTTTTGGTTTGTGGATAGTGTGCACATTAGCATCCTTGACAGATATCCATTTCTTGTAAATAAATGTAGAACTTCCTCTCTTATACAAAGAATAAACACCTTAATTGAAAATATAGATACTGGGGGGGGGGTGCACGTGCACGCGCATGCGCATGCACATACAACATAAAAGAAGCATGCTACTTTAAGTAGCTGTTTTGGATTTTTAATGTGAAAGTGCTTACACTGATACATATATGGCATGAAATACGTGAGGAGAAGAATCGGAAAAGATTTACATCCTACTTGCATTACACCTACCGTGAAACACCAAGTTAGTGTTATGATCTGGGGTTGTATGACAGCAAAAGGTGTGGGCAGAATTTGTGTCATTGATGGGAATAAAAGGTAAATGGACCCCTGACAGTTAAGTCCAGTTGCGAACGACTCTGGGGTTGCGGCGCTCATCTCGCTTTACAGGCTGAGGGAGCCGGCGTTTGTCCACTTCCGCAGACAGTTTTTCTGGGTCATGTGATCCAGCAGGACTAAGCCGCTTCTGGCGAAACCAGAGCAGTGCACGGAAACGCCGTTTACCTTCCCGCCAGAGCAGTACCTATTTATCTACTTTCACTGTGTGCTTTTGAACTGCTAGGTTGGCAGGAGCAGGAGCTCACCCTGTTGCAGGGCCTTGAACCGCGACCTTCCGATCGGCAAGTCCAAGTGGCACAGTGGTTTAAACCACAGCGCCACCTGCATCCCAATGGGAATATAAATGCCTAAAAATACATAGCCCAGACCTTAACCCAATCAAAAATCTATGGCGCTGACTAAATAAACTTGTTAGTCAGAAGCAACCCAGCAGTAAAGCCCAATTAATAGAGACAATAATTCAATTTTGGTTTCACATTATTACAGCTGCAGAACTAAAAAAAAACTTGGTTTACTCCGTGGGAAGGAGTTGTAAGGCCGTAATTAAAGCTAAAGGTTACCCAACTAGTATTAACTGGCACGAGAATTTTTGTATATCTCATTTTTTCTATGTGTTTCACGTTTCTTCTTAATGACTGCTGTTGTAATTAATAATCCTTCATAAAAGTTATTGCATTACATTCTTCATTAAATTATCTTTCCATTAATATATAATTTTAAGGTATTACTAAAAAAAAAAGGTGGTGTTATGTTCCATCAAACCTTGGAAATACACTTCCCCAAAAAAAGGTTTCCACAGTTTTGGTCACTAGTGTATGTTTTATTTCACCCTGGTCAAAGATCCAGCTTGGCGCACACACTCATGCACATTTGTGTACACACACGGGCTGGGACCCTCTGGAGGCTTAACTCAGCACAGAAACCCCAGCTCTGCCTTATGCTTCCTTGCTGCTGGGTTTTTCCATGGGAGAAATTAGTGCTTCTGTAACTTCCCTATTACTATTAGTATTACTATTAGTAGTAGTAGTAGTAGTAGTAGTAGTAGTATACCACCCTATACCTGTAGATCTCACTTCCAGGTACATCTGTTCACTGTTGTTGAAACTTCTCTGCAGTTGGGTTGAAAGTATTTTTATTTAAGAAGTGTTGCCCTTACTTCTTTTGCCCTCAGTAATTCAGATGGGCTGCTTTCTGCATATCAGTCAGTATTCTAGGGAGGAGAAACCCTAACTCCAAACCAGCAATAGATAGGATAACAGTGGAATTTTAAAATTGTTGAACTATGATATATTTTCCCCACCCTCAATTAATTATTGCCTAAAATTAAAAGAGGGAAATGCTTAGCACACTATTACATTAAGCAGGGAAGTGACATGATGAGATGGCAGCTGCTTTCACCTCCCTTTTTCATTAACTCCAAATATATCCAGTGCTGACTCTCTCTGTGTGTTTTTTCCTTGTTTTAAAAATGGTCTGTGCCGACAGAGAGCCTGTAGAGACTAGCTTCAGAGCAAAGAGGGACAACCAAAAATGATAATTGCAGACAGCGACCATTGGTGTAGGCTCATATTGTTGGGATTACTTCAAATGTTATGCGTTTTGTTTGCATAAACTACTTCAGTGCAAGAAAAAACCTGTAGACCATGGGTCTGATTCAGCCACGCTTATGCCTGTCTGTGACCAGCACCCAGGGCTGGAGCAGCAGCTGAGCTAGAAGCAGCTGGAGCAGGACTTGGAGTTCAGTAGGGAGCTGTTGTCCCAACAAGAGCCCAGAAGAATCTGGCTTTTATTCTCACTGCCAGGCCCTTCCTTTCCATCTGCTGGCTTGCTGTTCTCAGCTGAATATTTTCCCTTCTCCTGAGAGACCCTCTTTAGGAGACAGTTGACAAGAAAGCCTCCTGGCAGACAAATGTGTACTCTTGTGCCAACTGGGCTTCCCCCCGGGGTCTGCTATCATTTTCACTTTTCTGGTAAAGGGGGAGAAGTGGTAGATGAGGCAGGAAATCCAGGACAAGCAATACAGAAAGGAAGGCATCATCAACCGTGTCACCTTGTTATCTTCTCTCCTGCCAGGTGCATCCGTATTCAGTGCTGCTTTGCCTGTTCATCATGGACAGGAGAATTCTGCAATTGTGTTTCTCTGTCTAATGGCAGAGCTTCCTAGCAGATGGGTCACTTTTACTACCAAGAGAGCGAGGGGTGGGGAGGTCAGTCTAATGCAGATGTGCCAGCAGAGCCAACCCAGTGCTCCTGTTAATATGTTTGCATTGCTTCCTCTCATCTTCGCCCTCTTGGTAAGCAACAGTGACTCACCTGCCAGGAAGACAGTCACCTGGCAAGCCACTTCTGTATTGTGGTGCAGACTACATTTCTTCTGAATTACAGGTGCTGGGCATGCAAAAACTGATTTAAGTGTCTTGTGGAAACAGCTATTTGAAGGAATACTTGGAATTTAGGAGATCTGAGATAACAGGAACTGAGAAGAGAATGGTGTGCTTAAGTTTGATATATTGTCATTCCTCTTTTTTAAGATTAGATCGTACAGCAATATTGAAAAAGGATGAAAGGGCAATTTTCAGTTAACCACATAATAGAGTTCTCATTTTTCATAATCTTGATTTCATAATGATGATAAGATTTTAAATTAGGGAATCTAAACTTACGTGCAACAAAAGAAAAAACTTGCATGTTGAAATAGAAATTTGGGATATTAATAGCTTTGTTTTCATACCATATTCCCAACATAGACTAGGATTCAGGGAGGTTCGTGTGTGCAAAGTGCTTCTGTGTGTACATCTCTGCATATGCATGTAGGTACATATGTGTGTGTTTGTGTGTGTGTGTGTGAGAGGGAGAGAGAGAGAGAGAGAGAGACTGAAATAACGACCGAGACCAAGACTGACTTTTCTTTCCAGTGTCCCCCTCTCTTGTGTCATAGGGTGCTACTACTTTGGAAGGCTCCTGACCTTCAAGGAGGCTTTTTAGGGAAGTGAGGGTCTGCCACTCTTGAATGTGCACTGATATCATTAAGTGCATGTTTTCAAATTATTTTCCACGTAGGGAAAGTAGGATTTTTCATCTCTCTTTACCATTTGATTATTATTCAGCAAGGTGGCTTAAGTTGTCTTTTGCAATGTAAAGTATTTGAAAGATCTGATGGCTTGATATTTCTCCTGCCATTTAAGGGAGCAATCACTTAATGCAGACCAGCTGCCCCTTAATGATACCCTTCTCTTCATCTCCTCCCAGGCAACATAGTACTTGAAATCAGTGTGGTTAAGAAGTGGTTTAATTCTTTTCCCTGCATGCTTATTATTGGTAAAGCTCCAATTCTGATCTTTGCTAGTGATTTAAAACTTCAGAGGCTGGAGAGGGTTAACACAAGGCATTATTTGTCTGTATGTGTCCAAATGTGCATGCGACATAGCTTATTGCCATGTGGCTAGAGCTTAGGTTTGACTCCGTTTGTCTTCTAGCACAAGAATTTGCCGGAAACTTAGGTTGCTTGTAATTATCTGGGGGGAAACTACAGCGGTAAGGGAGACCTTATAGTATTTGAGCATTTTAGATGTTAACAAGAATAGGATGCTGGGCTTCTGGTAGCTGAGTGTAGCTTTTAAGGGGGTGATGAGTAGGGATTGCCTTTAGATTGTTTTAGGAAGCCAAGAAGCTTGCATCCACTTCAACTGCAGCACCACCTAGTGTCCAATAACTGTGCTTTACTGTTTTGGAATGAAATGTGTGTAACTAGATTTTGATGGAAATGGTGTAGGGCAGAGCTTTCCAAACAGCGTGTCGCACAAACCCTCCCCACACTCCTCCAGAGGCTGGAAAGGGGTTAGTTTAACTTTTGGTTTACTAGTAAAACTGAATTACTGTGCCGTGAAATGATGCATGTCTAAACAGTGTGTCACTAACATGAAAAGTTTGGAAAGCTCTGGAGTAGGGGAACTGTGGGTAAGAAAATGAGATTCACTGCTGGCCAATATGTCCCTGCTTTGGTTTGGTGCATGTTTGGCTTACAGATTCTTGTAGAGATGGTGTTCACAAATCAACCTTCAGAAGACGATAGCAGAGCCTAGCACATTCTTTGGCTGGTCTGTAGCTAGAAGAGACCTAGACTTTGGAAAGTGAAGAATTTTGATGTCAGTGACTAGTACAGAATTAACCATTCCTCGTCTTTTTAATTCTATATATAGCTTTCATAATCTTTTGCATAGTTTTTGGTTTTGTTTTTGATTCCTGGGGGAACATTTTTTCAGCCCACGGGTTATCTTTTTTTATGGGCAATCCTGTGGGGTGGGGGCATATGCCAGTGGTGGAAGGAGCTATTGGGCAGAGCACTGAATGTAAGTTTTGCCCTTTGTCCAGTAGGCTAAATTTTCGTACACCCCTCTGTATCCTCCACCCTCTCAAGCCAGAGTCATCATCAGAATTCAGGGATATATTCCAGCCAGGCAAAAACACTGAGGGTGTGTGTGAGTAAGTCCCAGGGAAGGATGTGGTGTGGAGAAAGAGGCAGAGGAGTGGGTGTGGCTTGGGGGAGGTCCCATAGGTCAGACAGAGAGGCCTGAAGAGCCACATCTGGTCCCTGGGCCTGACTTTCCCCTCCCCTCCCCTGTTCTGCATTATGCCTATTTAAATATGTGTGGTGTTTTGGTTCTATCTCAGCTTGCTTGGTGTTGCATCTATATTAAGAAATGTTAATATGCACCTTCGCCGCATCAAGCAGTTGGTCCCTTACCTTTCCCGCCCTGACCTGGCCACAGTGATCCATGCAATGGTCACCTCCAGGCTTGACTACTGTAATTCGCTCTATGCCGGGCTGCCCTTGAAGCTGTCCCAGAAACTCCAGCGGGTGCAGAATGCTGCAGCGAGGCTCCTCACGGGGTCTCTGCCATGGGAGCATATTCACCCAGTGCTTTTCCAGCTGCATTGGCTCCCGGTGGAGTACAGGGTCAGATTTAAGGTGCTGGTTTTGACTTTTAAAGCCCTTCACGGCCTAGGACCCTCCTACCTACGGGATCGTCTCTCCTGGTATGCCCCACGGAGGACCTTAAGGTCCATATATAGCAACACCCTAGAGGTCCCGGGCCCTAAGGAAGTTAGATTAGCCTCAACCAGAGCTAGGGCCTTCTCAACACTGGCTCCGGCCTGGTGGAACGCTCTGTCTCTAGAGACCAGGGCCCTGCGGGATCTGATCTCTTTCCGCAGGGCGTGTAAGACAGAGTTGTTCCACCTGGCCTTTGGCTCAGAATCAGTTTGATTCCCTCCCCCTTTTTCTTTTTCCTTTCTCCTCAGATTGCTCCCTAATTGTTTTAATATTGTATCTTAATCTTTTAAATTGTATTTTAATCAACTTGTTTTTATTATTGGTTGTTAGCTGCCCTGAGCCCGGTCTTGGCTGGGGAGGGCGGGGTATAAATAAAAAATTATTATTATTATTATACACAGCATCTAATCTTGCCTGGGACATTGTTGGGAGTTAAAGAAGAGCCTTTGCAACAGATCTTACGTAGTGAGCAGGCTGGTGTTGGAGTTAGGTTTTATTTTTATGCCTGGCAGCTTTTAGTGTTGTGGATGCAGCTTTGTGGACTCAGGCCTAGATTGAACTTAGACAAGTGCCTAACATTTTTGTTATTTGGTAGTTGTTGAATACATCTTTTAAAGAGTACTTTCCTTCAAGATTAACTCAGCCATTTTATATTACATACTATACGGAATCTGCATGATTTGATGTTTTTAAGATCAATTTTTAGATAGTTATGGACTGGCAACTCGCAACATATGTGCATTTAGCTTGCACATTCAGTTTTATGCACTTGCCTAAAAAATTAAAAAATAGAAAGGGTGTGTGTGTCTGAGGAAAAAGACTTTGGCAGTCCTACCTGCCATTGAACCCAATGTGTATTGACTATATGCAGTCTTGGCTTTGGCACTATTCCCAGAACAGAACCCTAGTGTAAGTTAAGAATCACCTGCATGTACATTTTTTTGATATTCCTGTTGTACACTGCTATGGAAACATTTGCTGGGAAGTAGTATATAAATATTTAAATGAACATGCAGCTAACTTTCCCACAGTTGCCCATGCCCAGAATGACTCACAATAAAGCTAAAATGCAACATCTTATCTGAAAAACTAATTTGTCCCACAACATAACAGAAACAGAACATAACAGAAACAGAACAGAAACAAAAAAGTCTTCAATAAACAAATTGTAGCATAAATTCAGTTTCACAGTAAAATCATATGAAATGCAAAAACAGCATTAACCTAACCCAACCCACACAGCTATTCCTTGTCTCCCTGCACCAAGACACCACAACAGCCTAAATTTAAATAGAGAAAGGTCCCTATAGCTTAGTGGCTCAGCACATGCTTTGCATCCAAAAGCTCCAAATATATCTGAGAAACTCTCCTGTCTGAAACCCTGGAGAGCTCCTGCCAGTCAACGCTGCGACTCTATAAGGCAACTTCACATACCAGGCTAGAATATTCATAGCTGCCTCCCTAATCTCTCCTCCAAGGAGGCCCTGGTAGCAGCCAAGGGGAAATGTTGGGGAGTGGTTAAGGCTTCCCGACCCAGCTTTCTAGTGATGGTCTTCTTGAGAGAAGGCAGTCTTTTAAATAGCCTGGACCCAAGCCATTCATTGCAAAACATTTATGAAGATATTGAGAGCTGTTCAACAGTGGAAAAGACTCCCATGAGAGAAGGTGGACTCTCCTTCCTTGGAGGTTTTAAAGCAAAAGTTGGATGGTCATCTGCCAGGGATGATCTAGTTGAGATTCCTGCATTGCAGGAGGCTGGACTCTCAGAATCCTTTCAAGCTCTACAATTCTATGAAATGAGCATATGTATAAAGGTGATCCAGTTCATTCTGAAACTTATACATAACTAGAAGTATAAGGCTGCATCCACCCCTAGTTCACTAATGGGTGAATTAAATGAACAGCTTTCAGCCCCAAGTAATGCTTAATGAAGAAGTCTTAATAAAACATGGGTCAAAGCACATATATGAATATGTCTGTTAAGGATCTGAATACATTTTGAGCTGACAATATTTAAAGATCTTAATTATTCCAGTGAAATTCCATATGACTACTTGGGGTATTTGCCCTCTTTCCCTTGACCTTTGCCCATCCCTTCCATCTACTGCTTCAGTATTTCCCCCTTTCTTTTCTTCTAAGAGTTCTTACATAAATACTGACATGGTAAGTCATAATCTTGAGTTTAAAAAAGGAAAATGACACACTGCTGCAGTTCATGTGGCACAAATCCTGTGTCTGCTCAGAAGTAAGCCCCACCTAATTAACTTGGGCTTACTCCCAGGAAAGTATGCGTCTAGGATTGGAGCTTGTTCCTTGTGCATTAGTGTGTTTACTAGCTTACATTCTAAACTACCAAGTACAGCTGGATGAACATCGGGCTGTAAGATGGTGGTATATAAACGTCTACTAAAATACATATCATGACCAATCAAATAATATACAAATATTGGTTTCTGCCTTATAAAAGAGACAGAATAATAAAACATTAGTAAGCTCATCAGTCATACATGCCACAAAGTGCAATATCTAGAAACACTGGATCAGAAAACCAATGCATCCTGATCCAAGAATCCACCTCCTCACCATAGCTGTCAACTTTTCCCATTTTTAAAGGGAAAATCCTATTCAGAATAAGGGAATTTCCCTTTAAAAAATAGGAAACGTTGACAGCTATGCCACACACACACACACACACACACACACACACACACATCTTACTACAGCCAACCAAAGACCACCAACCAAATGCTAGGCCACCGCCAACCTCTCTCACCACCAAGGAAATGTAACAAGCGAACAGAAAGAGAACCCACACAAGTGACGCTGACACAAAACCCCACACATACAGTAGAAGAATAGAAGCATTGCCACCCCCCTCCCCCTCCCCCTCCCCTCCCCCTTTTTTCTTTCCAGCCTTATACTGCATGCAACACTAATGTCTCGCAACAGATGAAACTGATCTGTAGAAAACTAAGAAATCTTTAATAAAAAATATTTTTTAAAAAAGGAAAGAAAACCAATGCAGCCAACTGTTCCTAAACAACTGTTCTGGATAGAGAAATGTCCTTTAAAAAAGAGAACTACCGTAAGAATCTTTAATAAGTACCATTAAAATCCTGCATGGATGGCTTTGAGGAACTTTGTGCAGAACGCGTGGTTTCTCCACTTTTATAGTCTGCCTATTTTAAGGTTCACTACTCCATTTGCTCTCAAACTATTTATGCCAGAGTTTAGACTTTAGAGCTCTATGGGAGCTCAGGCTGATTAACTCTGTTTTAAAGGAGACTTCTTGATCATGAGCATTCAAATGATTGAAATACTAATTTGTAGCAGTAGAACCTAGGCTTGCATTGCTTAACATCAAATGCCTATATAAGTAATGATTGGAGGTTGGCTGTCTTTGCATGGTACAAAGAATAATCACATGGTTTTGCCCAGAAAAGTAACATATAACTTTACTTTCCTATTCATTAGTGAAGCAACACATAACCAAATGATTAATGTTTAGGACGATGTAAAATGCTTTCTTGTATGAGATATGTCAAATCAGTGATGATAGTGGGTTTGGGGAAATGTTTGCTCAAGGCAGTAACTGGGATGGAGATTTATATGATTGTAAAGATAAGCTGAACTGATCTTTTTTAAGTGTGGTTTGTTGAGCTGAAAGTGAGTCATAGGCCTGGCTGACTCAGGGGCACACCTGTTGCATTAACATTTTTGCAGTTCCTTTGTTGCCTTTCTTTTAGAAAACTGGCATAAAAATGAATTTAAAATAGTGAAAACATTGCAGACACTGGGATAGTTAAACTGTGACCATATGCAAAGCAAACACACATTTGAGTCTGTTAAGATAGGTAACAGTGGTTCAGATGTTAGGTTCAGTGGAATAAAATCTACGTTCAGATGTAGCCCTTAGTACCATAGGGTTATCTTGGATGCTGTACTATATGTTCTAGAGACATTAATTACCCTTGGATGAATGAGGTAACTCTTTGAGAATTATTCTTCTTATCTTCAGAATATATTGTTGAACTGGGGCAGAATTTAGCCTAAGTTCAGCATTTTTAGTTCCCCCAATTCCAGTGGAGCTAAGCATCTAGTTAGCTGTCACCACTGAAATCAATGGGGCTTTAGCTTTGACTAAATTTTAGTCCTAATGTTTCTACTCAAACACTTTATGGCATTTGGACTTATGTTCTTGTATCGATTTGAAACACTTTAACCCCCTTTTTAGCCAAAAGGTTCCTAGAGCAGCATACTAAAATGAGCAGTAAGACATTATAATGGCAGAACAACCCAAACCTCCTTTGAGGTCCTCTCCCCTAGCATGGAAGGAGGCTTTGAGGTCCTCTCCCCTAGCATGGAAGACGAAGAGCAGACTCCATTTGAGGATCTCTCCCTCATTACAGTTGATCAGGTATATGAAGACAAGCAGCAAAGTCAGTCCTCAGGGAATGTGCAGGCGACCTTGGAACGGACAGCTCACGGAAGAACCCCGACCAAACCTAAGAGGAGGCGTGTAGTGGTGATAGGGGATTCCCTACTGAGGGGAACAGAAGCAGTGATCTGTGGGCCTGACAAGATGTCTCGGGAAGTGTGCTGTCTCCCCGGGGCTAAGATCCAAGATGTAACTGAACGACTGCAAGGAATCATAAAACCCACTGACAAATACCCCTTCCTCTTGGTTCATGTGGGAACCAATGACACTGAAGCAATAGCCTCCAGAAGATCAAAAGAGACTACGAGGCTCTGGGCAGGAAATTGAAGCAATTAAATGCACAAATTGTCATCTCATCTGTCCTCCCAGTTGAACGACGTGGCCCAGGGAGAGAGGAAAAATAGTGGAAGTGAACAGCTGGCTTCGCAAATGGTGTAAACAGGAACGGTTTGGATTCTTAGATCACGGACTGCAGTTTCTTGAAGATGGACTTCTGGCAAGCGATGGGCTGCACCTCACAGTGGTTGGGAGGAATGTTGTTGCCAAAAATCTCAGAAACCTCATCAAGAGGGCTTTAAACTGACTAATGTGGGGGAGGGAGACAGTGCTCCTGAAGGTAGGAGTCTATCAATTGATGAAGATGATCATCCAAATGTCATAGACCAAATGGAGCAAACAGCATGCAGACCTAGTGGTGGGAGGAAAAAATCCTTAAATAAGAGACACGGGGTAATGATTAATGGACTTCAATGTCTGTACACTAATGCGCAAAGCATGGGAAATAAACAAGATGAGCTTGAGCTCTTGGTACAGCAAACTAAATATGACATAATAGGCATCACTGAAACCTGGTGGGATAAGTCCCACGATTGGAATGTAATAATGGAGGGATACAATCTATTTCAGAGAAACAGACCAGACAAGAAAGGAGGAGGAGTGGCGTTATATTTCAGGGATGTGTATACCTGTGAAGAGATCCAAGATTTAGAACCTCAAAGCCAAAGTGAGAGCATTTGGGTCAAAATTAAGGGAGAGAAGAATACGAGTGACCTCATTGTGGGAGTTTACTATAGATCCCCAAGCCAAACGGAGGACCTAGATGATGCCTTCCTGGAACAGATGGCCAAGCATGCAAAAGGAAGGGAGATAGTAGTAATGGGGGACTTCAATTACCCGGATATTTGTTGGATGTCAAACTCAGCCAAGAGCATAAGGTCAGATTCCTCACTGGCCTTGCAGACAACTTCATTGTCCAGAAAGTGGGAGAAGCAACAAGAGGAACAGCCATTTTAGATCTGGTCCTAACCAATGTTGATGACCTGGTTAGTGGGGTAGAAGTGGAAGGATCATTAGGCGCGAGTGATCATGCTCTTCTGAAGTTTACTATACAGCGGAAAGGAGCAGCCAAGCATACTAGGACTCAATTTCTTGACTTTAAGAAAGCCGACTTCATAAAACTTAGGGAAGTGCTGGGTGAGATCCCATGGAAAGTAATACTAAAAGGAAAGGGAGTTCATGATGGCTGGGAGTTTGTTAAGAGGGAGATAGTAAAAGCACAACTTCAGGCAATACCAATGAGACGGAAACATGGAAGGTGCCTAAAGAAGCCAGGGTGGCTATCTAAAGAACTTTTAACTGAGTTAAGAGTACAAAAGGATGTGTACAAAAAATGGAAAAGGGGGGAAACCACCAAAGAGGAATTCAAACAAATAGCTAGCACGTGTAGACACAAAGTCAGAAAAGCTAAAGCACAGAATGAACTCAGGCTTGCTAGAGAGGTTAAAAGCAACAAAAAAGGCTTTTATGGGTATGTTTGTAGCAAAAGGAAGAACAAAGAAACAGTGGGGTCACTCAGAGGAGAAGATGGTGAAATGCAAACAGGGGACACAGAAAGGGCTGAACTCCTCAATGCCTTCTTTGCCTCAGTCTTCTCCGATAAAGAAAACAATGCCCGACCTGAAGAATTTGGAGCAAATGATTCAGCAGAGGAAACACAGCCCAGAATAACTAAGGAGATAGTACAAGAATACTTGGCTAGTTTAGATGTATTCAAGTCTCCAGGGTCAGATGAACTGCATCCAAGAGTATTAAAAGAACTGGCAGATGTGATCTCAGAACCACTGGCAGTCATCTTTGAGAATTCCTGGAGAACAGGCGAAGTCCCGGCAGACTGGAGGAGGGCAAATGTTGTCCCTATTTTCAAAAAGAGGAAAAGAGAGGACCCAAATAATTACCGCCCAGTCAGTCTGACATCAATACCAGGGAGATTCTGGAGCAGATCATTAAGCAAACAGTCTGTGAGCACCTAGAAAGGAATGCTGTGATCACCAATAGTCAGCATGGATTTCTGAAAAATAAGTCATGTCAGACTAACCTGATCTCGTTTTTTGACAGAATTACAAGCCTGGTAGATGAAGGGAACGCAGTGGATGTAGCCTACCTTGATTTCAGCAAGGCATTTGACAAGGTGCCCCATGATATTCTTGTCAAGAAGCTGGTAAAGTGCGGTCTTGACTATGCTACCACTCAGTGGATTTGTAACTGGCTGACTGACCGAACCCAAAGGGTGCTCATCAATGGTTCCTCTTCATCCTGGAGAAGAGTGACTAGTGGGGTGCCACAGGGTTCTGTCTTGGGCCCGGTCTTATTCAACATCTTTATCAACGACTTGGATGATGGACTCAAGGGCATCCTGATCAAATTTGCAGATGACACCAAACTGGGAGGGGTGGCTAACACCCCAGAGGACAGGATCACACTTCAAAATGACCTTGACAGATTAGAGAACTGGGCAAAAACAAACAAGATGAATTTTAACAGGGAGAAATGTAAAGTATTGCACTTGGGCAAAAAAAATGAGAGGCACAAATACAAGATGGGGGACACCTGGCTTGAGAGCAGTATATGTGAAAAGGATCTAGGAGTCTTGGTTGACCACAAACTTGACATGAGCCAACAGTGTGACGCGGCAGCTAAAAAAGCCAATGCAATTCTGGGCTGCATCAATAGGAGTATAGCATCTAGATCAAGGGAAGTAATAGTGCCACTGTATTCTGCTCTGGTCAGACCTCACCTGGAGTACTGTGTCCAGTTCTGGGCACCACAGTTCAAGAAGGACACTGACAAACTGGAACGTGTCCAGAGGAGGGCAACCAAAATGGTCCAAGGCCTGGAAACAATGCCTTATGAGGAACGGCTAAGGGAGCTGGGCATGTTTAGCCTGGAGAAGAGGAGGTTAAGGGGTGATATGATAGCCATGTTCAAATATATAAAAGGATGTCACATAGAGGAGGGAGAAAGGTTGTTTTCTGCTGCTCCAGAGAAGCGGACACGGAGCAATGGATCCAAACTACAAAAAGATTCCACCTAAACATTAGGAAGAACTTCCTGACAGTAAGAGCTGTCGGACAGTGGAATTTGCTGCCAAGGAGTGTGGTGGAGTCTCCTTCTTTGGAGGTCTTTAAGCAGAGGCTTGACAACCATATGTCAGGAGTGCTCTGATGGTGTTTCCTGCTTGGCAGGGGGTTGGACTCGATGGCCCTTGTGGTCTCTTCCAACTCTATGATTCTATGATTCCTTTGCTGAGGAAGTGAATTGAGTGGAGGTTGCATCTGCCCAGCCCTACAGGCCTCCATCAGCCTCCTGCTAGACACCACCTTCAGAGTGATACATGGAGCTCCTCCTTCCACCCTCATCAGATCTCTAGCTTATGAAATCTCTTCCATCCATATGACTATGATATTATAAGCTGAATCTTCTCATTGCTATGACATTAGCAGAGCTGGCCCAGTCATTAGGCAGGGTGAGGCTGCTGCCTCAGGTGACAGAAGCCCCTGCAGATGGCACACGCATTGGGTGCCTTGCCACTTCTGCCAGCGGTGCCAATTTTCAGCAAGATCACATCCATTTGGGGCAAGATCTCACCTGAAATTGTGTGAGATCTTTTGGAACATACAAGATCTCACACAAATTTGAGCAAGATTTCACCCAAAATTGGCATGAACTTGCCTGAAATAGGCACCGCTGGTGGTGTCCCTTTGCCAGCAGCAGATGTGTCAAGGCAGGCGGTGGTTGCAGGAACAGGTAGGTGGTGGTGGGAGTGGTGGCAGTGGCAGGGCAAGGTTGCACTTCCTGTTTACTCTCAAGCAGCGGAACGAGATGCACCACCCCTGAACATTAATCTTGTTCAACTGCAAATTCCAGTACTAATGAAACTGCAGCGTTAAACAACTAAAACCAGTCATTGCCTGAGTTCCACATTGAACACTCCAGTCCTCACCATGCCATTATATATATTGGCAGCTCAATAACTGATCCATGCCAAGGATGAGAGGCATATGAAGGCATGAAGAACACATTTCAATATGAAAGAAGAAACATTTTGGGGGCTGCCTCCCTGCTTATCATGTTAGAGCAACAGGAGAGCCATGAGCTTCTGAGACTAGGTTTAGAGATGTTCTGGTGTCTAACGGTTGCAGTCTTTTATTGGCAGGACCAAATTCCACTCTCTAGAGCTCTTGTTCAGTTATTGAGCTGGTTCACAAGTAATATTAAACCACATTTGAAGCATGAGTGCCCTGCTCCTTCTCTGTCTCTGGTTGTGTAGCACAGGAGAATAAAGCTAGGAACAAGCCTGAATCTGATTTATTGTTAGGTGTGAACCCAGGGTCATACAGGACCCGATTTGTTTCTTTCCAACCAAACCAGGAGCCATAAGGAACATTGGTTACGGTTTGTGGTTTCCCATATAGTGACAAGGTCTGGCTCATGGGTAGGCAAACTAAGGCCTGGGAGCCAGATCTGGCCCAATCGCCTTCTCAATCCGGCCCGCGGATGGTCCAGGAATCAGCGTGTTTTTACATGAGTAGAAAGTGTGCTTTTATTTAAAATGCATCTCTGGGTTATTTGTGGGGGATAGGAATTCGTTCTCCCCCCCCCCCTCAAAATATAGTCTGGCCCCCCACAAGGTCTGAGGGACAGGTTTGCTGACCCCTGGTCTGGCTTGTTGCCGCCTTATACCTTCCTCCATGTGGCACAGTCAGGAGCAGGGGCACGCAAAAGTGCTTGTGCATTTTAAACTGTGGTTTAACATGGCATGTAAACCAGGCCAAACGGAGGACACTTGTGCCAGAGCTTATACTTCTAATTCTGCCTGGCTGAGCCCAGAACATATGTATAAGCAAGCCCAGCCGTCATAGACTGGCTTCATGCAGAGGAGTGAGGGGAGGCATCAGCTAGGGAATCCCCAGGGAAGGAAGGCTCAGAGCCAGGGGAGTGGTGTGGGATGATGATGAGTGATCAGAGGGAGAAGAGGGAGCAGACTGGAGGGAAGAGGTGTTGGAAGCTGAAGAGGTCACAGGAATTAGTGAGCAGGAAGAATTTCTGGCAATGAGCAGTCAAGAATCACAGGCAGAAGCAGAGGCTGGAGAGGAGGGGGGGGGGTCAAGAGGCAGAAATGAGACAAGCTGCTGAAGAAGCCTTCCTGTCCTGCTGCAGCCAGGGCCCCCCCCCCCCCCCGGTTTCCCAGAACCCAAAGAGGTATGAAGAGGGCAGAGGAAAGACAGGCAAGATGAAGGCGCCTCTGGTTGCTTGGGAAGGAAGCAGGGGAGGAGGAACCTTAGGAAGTGGTGGGAAGGTGGGGACCTTTAGCCTCTGGACAAGTTGCTGTGCTCACCGGACCTGAGCTGCTTTGCTTCTTTGAATAAAGACTTAACTTCAGTGATACCTTGTGAGTTATTGCTGACCTGTTCCTGATAGCCTCCTTGAGACCAGCCTTCGGAAGAGGATGAGAGAGTTTGTTCAAGGCAGGCATGGGCGTAGCCAAGGGGGGCAGGGGATGCAGCTGCCCCCCATCAAGTAAAACAATAGAAATACTTAACTAACTGACCAAACACGTTGATTCTGCCCCCCAACAAAAGTCCTCCCCCCCCCCAACAAAAATCCTGGCTACGCCCATGGCCAGAGGGGTGCAGTGGGGGCAGCTGCCCCCCTAAATCAAGTAAATAAATAGAAATATTTCTAACTGACCAGGTGCATCACAGATAACTTGGGCCTGCCTGCCCCCCCAAAATAAATCCTGGCTATGCCCATGAAGGCAGGCCCCACCTTTCTACAATGGATGGCAGTGGCCCTCAGTTAAGTTCTCAGTGGGTTTGCTCACTAATGTAGGGTATCATCCATGATATATACCGTTATTTGGCTGTGCTTCTGGTATTGTAGGGTTGTTTTTTATGAAGCTCAATCCTATGCTTGTTGAATCAGAAGTAAGTTCCACACAGTTGGCACCTTAACAATATTTAGGATTGCAGCCTTAAACTCTTCTTAACTGTTTGAGCCCTTGGAAAAAGGTGGGGAAGAAATTTAGGTGCAGTAAACCTGTGAAGCTGCCCTATACTGAATCAGTCCAGCTGCTTCATCTAGCTCAGTATTTATCAACCTGGAAATGGATCTCAAGGTCTCAAGCAGACAATGACAAATTAATCCATTCCATGCATGATTTTATGTATACAAGGTGTGTGTGTGTGTGCTGTGCTGTATGGAACAAGCAAAGCTAGACTTCCATGTGAGTATAGATGTTTGCATTAGACCAAAACAATAAAAGGGTGGGAAAATGTATTTTTAATATATTTTGTCCATTGGGTTGAATTTAGACTTGCCAGTTCATGAATGGAAGAGTCCTTCTATGAATGGAAATGAGTTTGATCCATTGGAGATTCCCACTTTTCAAATTTAACACTGCAACACCACTTCCCACTCTGTTCTGAAGGGTCTCCCAACCCCACAGAGGAGGTTTGTAAAGACTGCAGGGTGAGGGAGAAGATGATGTTGGGAAACTGTGTATGTGCAGCTACTCACACAGAGTCAATTAAGGTTTGGCAGACAGCCAGAAGGTCATGTGAAGGAGTAAGTCTGCCTGGTGGTAACAGAGACATGGAGACAGCTCCCTGATTGGTCAAGCTCTCTCAAGGGAGTGATAATGGCCTACTAACTGGGATGTGTTAGTTCAGTATTTCAGAGGTTCAGAGTTCTGTGTGTCAGTGTAGGAGTTGTGAGTCGTGTCAGAGAGAGCCAGCTAAAGATTCGTGTTCTGTTCCTGTAAATAGTCCACTGTATATAATAAACACCTAACTCCAAGTTCCTGATTCCTGCTTCGTCTATCCTGTCTGCAGCCAAGTCGCCAATTGCTTCTGTGGATTCTGCGTTTACTCTACTAGGTCTGGCTAAGGTCCTGCAACTAGTCAGAAAGTTGCGAAACACCAAATAGGTTTTGCCAATAGATGAATCTGGAAAACCTGCTTCCCCGCTTCCACCCATGGAGTTCATGGACTCCCACTCACTGCAACTCTGGATCCAACCCATTGTTCCATTAATTTGTATTTTGATTTGGGTGTGTGTGTTTTGATTATTTTGGTAAATTTTGTTTACTATAAACTGATTCTCAGAATGTTTGTTCCATAGTGAGTAGAGTGGGACTTGCTTCCTGGGATATTTGCCTAGGTTTATGATCTTCAGGTGTCTTCTCATTGAATGCTTGATAGTGTTTAATATTACAATAGTTGGAACAACAACCTCATGATGGCCCCTAATTATCTGTCTGCTGTATGAAAAATTCTGTATAAATGATATTATTTATAATTCCCCTCCCCCCCCCCCGAAAATTATATCCAGAAACAGGTTCAGGATGGCCCAAACACTTATTGCCTGTGTGCTGATCCAGATAGGAATGAGAAACCTTTGACCCTCCAGATGCTGTTGGACTCGGTGGTCAGCGATGGGAGTTGCAGTTCAGCAAATGACTGTGCATTTTTACATGCCACACTAACAGCCCAGATTAGTAGCATATTTGTGCCTAGCCTTGTCACCTGAAAGTTATTTTAAAGAGAGTGATTGTGAGCTTGAGAAATTCACAGAATTGTAAAAAAAAAAGAAGAAGAAGAAGTTCATATTAAGACCAGGAGGTGGAGACAGTTGTGAACTACAAACAGTATGGATAGAGCAAACTGCACTGAACAGAAGGACAGGAAGCATACAGTGCAAGGGCAGTATAACTTGTCAGATGTTTGAAATTGTGATACAGTAGTTTTGTAGCAATAATTTGATGGAACTGAAGCCAAAAATGTCCTATAAGGTGTTTCGAGATATGAGTTGATGAAAGAGATGTTTTTGTTGTTCATGGAAAATTAATTATTACTTATTTTGCAAAATATATAACGCAAAATACATTTCCCTCTGTTGCCTATATAGTATCTGTTTCCACTAGCTTCTGCTGGAAACTAATTAAAGTTTTTTGGTATTTATCCCCCTTATAGCTTTGAAAATTGACAGCAGTAGTTTAAAGGAACAGAAAAGCAATGGAACCAGTTCAGAACCCAGTGCTTCATCTCTGGAAAGAAGAAGCCCTTTGTCAAGGTAAAGTCATTAAAGGCTTTCCTTCCTGAATAGTTTCAACCTAGTAATAAATGCCTCTAGAAAGTTAATGAAGCACTGGCAAGAATATTTTGATGGATGGCCTATGGTTCAGATTTGTGTTTCACTACAACAACTTAAAATTTTGTATACCTTACAAAATATTTGCATTAAAGCCAGGTATTGTTTTGCAGCTGTTGTTTTCTCATTTTAAGACTCAATTGACATCTCAGTGAACCACAAATTAGTGTGTACAGCTGCTCTCAGTAGGACTACTTAGAGACCAAACAATGGAAGTTGTCAGGAAAAGGGCAGACGTAAAACATAAAGTCTTGAAGAAATAAAGTGGTGTGTCATCTTCTGGGTGTTGCTGAGATGTAAATGAGCTTCAGCTCAAAACATATTTTTGTATCTTTGTAAAAGAAGTATTTGATACTAGATTATTTGTTACTTTCTTCTTTTGTATTTCCAAATTGAGAACATTTAATTAATGTCCTTGGGTTTTTTTCTAAAGAAATGCAATTTATCTTTTTTCAGTTCTTTAAGTAATGTTTTGTTACTTTTTTCTGTTAGCATGACTCAAATGACTAGCATTCAAGCGATAATAGCAAATGAAGTATGGTAAACAATTGTGGAATTTTACATTGGCTTTAGATTGTTACGTGATTATTTGTTAAAGCACTTCCATTGCTTGGTTCTCTTTGTTTCTACCTTCTTGGAAACAACCGTTTATAATACCTGATATATATGTGTATGTTTGCAGACACAGGGTGAGAATACTTTTCACTGCTTTAAAATATCCTTGAAGATATATATTGTTTTATTTTTTAAGGTTCTTAGAATTTGAGAAGAACTGGCCTTGGAACAAAAGTAGTTGGCCAGTATAATGTATAAATAGCATTATAATACATTACAAAATGTAATAGAAAATGTATTTTATGTCTGATTTTCAGGAGTTGGGGTTGGAAAGTAGTACCTTTAAAATATATTTGTTGAGGTATATTTCTTAACATTTTCTTTTCCTAAGGTAATTGTTATTTGAGGTAATGATATTCTGCAAAAGTAATAATTGTTGCCCAAAAAATTAAAATAGTTTTCAGTTATTATTTCTTGTGTAGAAAGAACAAGCAAATGTGTAAACAACATGAACGTTTTCAAGAAGGGATGTTTTGCATTATGATATATGTCAGCAGTTTCTAGCATTTCTGAAATGCTGCTCATACAGTACAGACTCTGGAGTAGCAGTATTATTTCTGTAAATTTGTATGCACGGCAGAAAGATTTTTGGGAAGCATTTATGGCATCATATGATTTTATATCTTTGATCTTAGGAGAAAATACCATTTCTAGTACAGTATGAATTATTAGGGTTTCTTTTAATGAATAGTGTGCATTTTAGCCTCCTCAATAACTTGGCAATAAAATACTTTTCAAAACCAAATCAGTTAGTAACACTTATAGCTTCACACTTGACATCTGTCTTAGAAATATGTTTACAAACACAATGCAGGAATAAAGTGTGAAAGAATGGGAAATTGCTCAGGTGCTTATTTGCAGTTGGGACACAATGAAATTTCTTAGAGGCTGATGTCTGAGGATTCCACTTATTGTACTCACTTCTTGCGCTTTATTGCTTTTACAAGTGGTCTCGAAACTCAGTACTTGAAAATAAACATAACAGTCTAGTACCACTGTGGTGCTCCCCCCCCCCCCTTGCAGTGTTTAGTCACTGAGCTGATGAGTGGCCTCGAAAAATACCCTGATGGACCTAAATAATAATAAAAAAGGTTTCCTCTGATGTCCTACAGACAATAATTATGATGTGCTAGTTAAGCCCAAACTACAGCTGAGGGATTTTACTTTAAAGCAGAGGCTTGGGCGCAAAAATGCATTTATAGCTCTTTGTCTGGCACCTCATTATGCGTGGGCCTGATTCATTAAGTAATTGGTTTGCAGTTGTTTACATGAGTATTAAGGCTTTCTATTCAGTAGTCTTTGAGAGATACATTGTGCAAATGTTGCATGTTATGAATGCAGAATGAGGGGCAGCGGGCGAGCCCTATTGGCTAAACACTGCACTCTGTTGAAAAGCAAGAGAAAGAGATTGGGTGCTGCTTTGCATAGCAATGACTTTCTTAATAAGCTTTACAGATTAATACACACAAGCTATAAAAGATGCAAAGAGATACTCTTAGCACATTTATCCATGCTCATCTCACTATTATGGCACTGGAGATGGGAAGAATTGAGTGCTTTCATATTCGCTTTTCTTTTTTCAGTGCAACTTCGGTGCATGAGACTTAATAGAATCCAATGTTTATTGTATTATAAATCATGGGGGAAGTAGGCAGACCTGCAACAGTTTATTATTAAAGATTCTTTCAGTGTAAATCTTTTTCCACCATTGTGTGTCCTACAGCAAAATCATTTTGTGGTTGAGTGGGGATGAAAGGCATAATGTACGAAGGAGTGAGTCTTAATAGGAAGCTGCTCTCCGATTGAAGGCCACTTGTTCCCTTTTGTCTGGAGGTGCATGCCGCAGCTTCCTCTTCTCCAGCAAATATTGCCCCTTGGATCCTAGCTTAAAATCGCTTTCTCACAAGATTTCTGCAGCTTGATACAAATACGTTTAAACTGAGGTGTGAATTTGTTAATTGATGGATTATATATTCTCAAAGGAATCAAAATAATTATTTTGCAGAATGGGTTTTCTTAGTGTTTTACTCTCTAAACCAAATGGCTGCAGTGCAATGTGTGTGGCATTTTGTAGTTCTGTAGCAATATAGTCAGCCAGCGGAGGTCAGTAGCATTCTATTGTTGCAGTTTTAGGCTAGATGCAATGCCTTTTTCCTTTGGCTTCTTCGCTTTGCAACATTTGATAGTTAAAGAGCTAAATTAGGGACCCAAATGCTGATATATTCCACTTGTAAAATAATGTGCACTGTTGACTTTAAGTTGGATTCCAGAAGTAAGCCATTAAGTTGGTTTTCAAATTTACTCCTTAAACAGAAGCTAATTTTAAAAACGTTTTTCACTTGACTAAATCACTGGTTATCAGTGATGGTTGTTTGTGTTAATGACTTCAAATTGTAATGTTTAAGACATCTATGCAATGAATGTGCCTCTAATAAGCGCCTTGGCTCACTCTTTGCAGACAACCATAATGGCCATTGGGGGTCACTCTTTCTTTGCTAAATTTCAACAGCTTTAATTCTTAGTCTCTTTCTAAACCAGATGTAAATTGTTCAGTATAATCATTGTGGCACTTTATTTCATTCTTCCCTATTGTAATTGTTTGGATAGGGGAAGGAGTATTTTGTGCACAGATATATCACCAAAACTTAGGAATGTGCCTATTGAAATATTTTGTTTAATTTTATATATGATGCCCATTAGACATTTCTTTCTTTTTTTAAATACAATTTTATTAAAGCTTTTTCATAATACAATAAGATAAAATAAACTCATCTAAATAAAAACAAAAACAGAGAAAGAAAGAGAGAAGAAGACACAGAACCTACTCCCAAAGGTAGCTCTTAACCCTTGTCACTCACAGAACGTGGTGGACCCTCCCAGCTCTCACCTGGGAGATCTTCTCTTCCTTGCCTCTCACTCAGGGTCCTTCCACCACCTAACCATCACCTTCATGTGAGTATAATCCTTGGTCCCCAAGGGAGGAGACTAAAGAAAAAAAGAGGGGGGAAAGGAGAAAGATAAATAAAAGGACTTCTGATTTTCTCTCTGTTAGCTACATAAAATAAATTATTCAAAACATTCACTCTGGGATAACATCCAACTGTTCTGCTTTCTGTTAAGCAATAATTTCCCAGTCTCCAGGCCCAGATGTCTCAGATTTGTTTATTTTCCTTTTCACACAAAAAGTAAAAAAGTGGTTCTCTAATTATTAGTGGTATAACAAATGTCAGCAATGGTTTTTCTCTAATCAAACATATCAACTTTGCCTACAATAACTTCAACAACCATTCCTCCATTCTAAACAATAATAAATCTTTCTTATTTTTTCCATGTAAGAGTATCACTGTGCTCATATATTAAAATGATATCCCATAGTTCTTTCTTGTTATGTATCCATTAATTTGCACCCAGTTCTGTATCTTCCATTCCCATTTCCTGTTGTGTTTACCATGGTTTTCCATCCTTATCTAAAAAATTATCTCTTCCATTTATGCTTCTTCCATTCTTTTTCCAAGAAAAGCACCAGAAATTTTGTAGTTTTTTCCTCTGAGTTCACTCCAAGTCATACACAGAGCCCTTTTGCTCTCAGCTCTATCAATGCCAAATCAAGATGTCTCTCCACATCTCCATCTCTCCATCCAGGGCTCATTCCGCTCCTCCAGAATCACAACTCCACCATTTGGCTGTTTCATTCCTCCAAACACACCTGTGAAGGACTTTTCCATTTCACCATCTGTTCCCTCCAACTCTACCATTTCACCCTCCTGATCTGCCAATCTTTTATTCATATTCTTCTCCAAAGTCTCTGGGTCTGTGTGATTTTGCTTTCCATTTCAGTCGTCTCTGGTTTACTTGCATTCCCCATTCCATTTTCCATTTAATCATTCTTAGTTCTAATCAATTTTATTTGCTCATCAAACATTTGCCAAAGGATGCTAACAGTCAGCAGAATGTCCAAAGGTATATTTGCCATACTGATTGTTTTTGATCTTATTAATAATTCAGTCTCATTACATCACCTGTCTCCACCTTAAGATTTTCACAGTCTTATCTCTTACTAAAATAAACACATTCCTTTCCCATGGAGGAAGTATCAAGTGGCAGAGTTACTTTCGATTTCTAAGCAACATTTTCATAAATAAAAAAAATCATAACATACAGAACTCTTCTGTTCGTTTAAAACTTTCTTGACTCAAACCATTAAAGCAGGCCCTTTTTCTGCTTTCAGCCCTTTTAAGATCGACTTCCCTTCTAATTGAAGTCAGAAAGTAGCTCATGCTCCAAATGTAAATTTCCACTGACAGACAGATAAATCTCTCTCAGTTATAAATTATAACTGTCTCAGAAATAATTAAGAAAGGAAACCTTTTGCAGATCCCATGCCCATCTCGTGGGTTTTGGGTGAGATGTTGATTCCTCAGCTCACAAGTTGCTTAACTCTGTTTCCAGGAGCTGACAGTTTCTTGGTCTCTTGACACAGAAAACTGCTTTTTCAGAGCATCAGAAGTTATTTCCCTGCTAGCTCTTTTCTCTAAAGTGAATTTGATAGCCAAGACTTATGTCTGGCTATCATCAATCAGCACGTAATCATCTCCGTCAGCAGCTTGCCGACAAAAGATGCTTAATCTGCCATGATCTTCCCCCGGAAGTCAATAGGCGTTATGTCTGAGGTTCCACCCCTACCCCCCAAGTTTGTTGTTTTGTTGGCTAACTAATGCAAATAATTACTTTGGGTATCTTCCTGTTTCATCTCTTTGACCATATCTCTTGAAGTTCCTTCATCTGTCTTGTCCAAGGACAGGGAGACAGGGAAACTGTTGGACTACAGTTCTCATCAGCCTCAGCTGGCATGGTCAGTGGACAGGGTTTATGGGAGTTGTATTCCAGCAACATCTGGAGAAGCACAGATTCCTATCCCTAATAGAGTCCCTTTCTCCCACACCTCTCTTGGCCTCTGTGCCTCTCTCCCTCAGTCCTCCACTGATTCTTCTGTACAAGCTGTTGTACAAAAAGAGAGAATATAAATGGAGAAGTCCTATATGCAGCTGTAGTTTATTTCCTCCTCCCGATCATGGTCAATAGAAGAAAACATAGAACAAAAACAGGGAAGAAAATGCTGCTTTGAAGGCAGTTGAAGTCATCCATGCTGTATGCCTTCCTGATTCCACACACATACCCCCACATATTTCAAGACTACACCTCTTCCACTTGAGTTTTGTTGCAGTATCTGTGATAGTATGTTCCTAACACTGTATGTGGAGGGCTTGCTTGGAATACTGAGGACCAAATAAAATATGATGGCAAAAGGGATGTGCAGCTGAGGGGTACTGAATGCTTCCTTGCCTTATCTTCCTGAAGTTCCTTGCCCTCAGGCACTACTGACCAGTGCGGCTTACGTCCAGCATCTGACCGAAGCTGGAAAGAAAAAGGAGTTTTGTTGCTGGGGAGGCAGAGTGTCAATAAAGGGTGACAAAAATGCAGAAATGTTGCCCTACTTAAACGAGGGGGGGCTATTAATCAACCTCACAATAGAAATGATCATGGGAGCAGGAAATTATGTGTAAGCTACACAAAATGGGTGCACTACTTCAGACACTGCTTTGAAAAAGCTGGGATACAATTTGCAGCATGAAAGGCAGATTGAGGGGGGTGGTACATAAAGTACACATTATGTGCAGTTGCATGCTTCTTTTCCTCACTGGTTCTCTCCACCCCACCACAAAAAGAGAACACATAGGAGATTAGAATTATGATCAGAGAACCTATAAGAATAGTTGCCTAACTCTTTCCCTGCTGGTTATTTGTGAAGCAGCCGCTTCCCCCATCACTTTTCCCTTCAAGATTTCAATTTCCTGGAAGTGCTTTTTGGGGGGTGGGAGGCAGGGAGAAGACTTATGCAACAACTTAGCCCTGAGGAATTGGACTTAGGTTCATCAAAGTTGAAGATTGATGTGTGAAAAAGAGAATCTTTGAATTGTGCTTCACAAATACGTTTTGTATTAAATCTGGAGTAAACTCACCTAGAAGATATTGTTCTGCAATATTATTCTCTCAATTTTAATTTGCCTTTTTCCATCTTCTTTCTGTGGAGAAATTATTTGTCTTTAATTATGAAACAAGCACAGTGTCAGATTGTGATGTTCTTGATTGTATTTGCTAGTTTCTAAATGTAAGCATTAGCTGTTAGCAGGCTTCTCACCTGTTTTCTCCATCAACTACCGTATTTTTCGCTCTATAGGAAGCACCTGACCATAGGACGCACCTTGTTTTAGAGGGGGGAAACAAGAAAAAAATTCTCCCCCTCTCTGCTCAGTGCCCCTTCAATGAAGCGGCAGGAGAAACAGAGTCCCTTCCATTTCTCCTCCCGCTTGGCTGAAGGGGCGCTGCGCAGCTCTCCCTCTCTGCTGAAGCCAGGAGAGTCTTGCTCTCCCGGCTTCAGCAAAAGGAAGCCGAAGCCTCCGGAGCACAGCGGAGCCTCCCGCTGCGCTCCGGAGGCTTCAAGCGGCTATCCCTGAAGCCTGGAGAGCGAGAGGGGTCGGTGCGCACCGACCCCTCTCGCTCTCCAGGCTTCAGCAAGCAGCGCGAGCCAAGGAGCGCGGAGGAGCGCTCCCTCTGCGCTTCGGAGGCTTCGCGTTGCTATTGCTGAAGCCAAGGAGCCTGCATTCGCTCCATAGGACGAATTTTTGGAGGGGAAAAAGTGTATTCTATAGAGCGAAAAATACGGTACAGTGGTACCTCGGGTTACATACGCTTCAGGTTACATATGCTTCAGGTTACAGACTCTGCTAACCCAGAAATAGTGCTTCAGTTTAAGAGCTTTGCTTCAGGTTGAGAACAGAAATTGTGCTCTGGCGGCGCGGCGGCAGCAGGAGGCCCCATTAGCTAAAGTGGTGCTTCAGGTTAAGAACAGTTTCAGGCTAAGTACAGACCTCCGGAACGAATTAAGTACTTAACCCGAGGTACCACTGTACTTTCAATGTGCTTGTACATTTTGGAAAAACCTATATGCCCCTCCCTCTGCGGACATCCTCAGCCACAGGCTCAGTACACACAGCTATGCATGGAAGATCTCTCTCTACCAAAAGGATGAGTAGTCCTGGAAACGTCAACACAGCACTGATCCCTTGTGGAAGGAAAGCAGCAGGGAAGAGAATAGCTGGAATTAGATTCCCCCAACTGGTGGTGGTGGAGTTGACAATGTTATCCATCCATTTGGCAGTGAGCATATAGGTCCAGGAGTCTGTGCATGCATTTCCAGTCATAGATTCAGGGGTTTTACATTGTGCTGATACCCGTGGGGGGGGGGCCCTTTGTCAGATCAGCGTATATGGCTTTACAGAATTCCCAATTTTAATTTTAATTTTGTTAATTCTCACCTCTCCCTTCATTGCACTCTGTCTCTTCCATTATTAATTAAAGCTTTTCCACAGAGAAGGCCTAGTGTGTTGCACTGGGGGCTGCAGTAGGAAGGGTGAATCACTACAGATCAGGGGAAGCAGCTTGAGAGGGTCATGCATGAATGTCAGAAGAATTCTCCAGTTCAAGCGTTTAAAACAAAATTTCTTAGAATATGCTGTGAAGAAGTGCTACTGAGAAAGATCAAATTTGTTTGTCCTCCAATTCAAAGCAATTTGAATTTGAAACTTGATATTTACAGATTAATAATTTTTTGATGCAGGTTTGGTGACTAGACTGCAGTGAAAATGTATAATGTTTGTATTCCCAGTTTAAGGAGCCTTTGTCAGAAAATGCCATCTTTCCTCTATTAGATCTCCCACAGTAAAATAGATTGGAGGTCCATTTTTTTGGTCCTTTATCACAAGACTCTTAATAGAATAGTTAATTCTCTAACATCATTGCCCCTTATGAGATTATTTCACAGCAACAGCAGCACAATATGCATGCAACACACAAAAGATCAAAATGATTCCAGCTTGTTTGGCAGATTCAAAAGGGTCTGTGATGCTCAAGATATGAGAGCATTCATTTAGCAGAACAGAATGGTGACTGTATTTGCATCAAGGTAGATCAAAAGCAGCTGAAAGCCTACATCATTTACATAGGAACGGGGTGAGACTATGGGAACCCAACTGTTGAGTCCTAGCAATACATTTTCAAGCTGGAGAATAAGAATATAGTGGATAAATTAAATTTTATTCTAATACCTTTTAGAATCCAGATTGTTGACTTTTTAAAAGCTCAGGTATCTTTAGCCAAGGACATTCAGTATAATAAATTGGAAACTGAATAAATTTTGAAGCCCTTTTATACTTACAGTGGAACTAGCCTTCAGAGAAAATCTGTTTCCTACAAAATGAAGGCAGTTTCTGTGTAATATATGTTTTAAAACTTATTTACAGGTTTGGGCTTCCCATGGATATTAGAGTGAAGATGCATAACATTTTAATATTGCCACTAGTGAGTCCTGTTTCTGAGCTTTGAAGCTGACTTCTCAATTTGCCTTAGCATTTATCAGCTTGTGTTACATGGTGTGTTTGTATTTTATTGTTTTATATATATTTATGGCAAATACATGTTTAGATATCTATATATTATTAAATCACAAACAATTGCAAAACTACTCTGGGTTTGAAGAAGGAAGATGTGTTGCTAATGTTACAAGCTGCAGCCAATAAACATCCTTCATGGTTACTGTCCTTCATTGAAAGTGAACCATGCTGAAAACTTGCAGAAATAGTTTTTCAGAGCTAATGCTTGTATAGAAAAAGGTAAATATGTACAGAACATGATGAAGATGCTTTCAAGGTGGCCACTCCTCTTAAAAGGATCCATGTGTTCTTGCCCTGTGCGTGTTCAGTTTCACAACTGTGTCCAAGTATGTTTGGGTATAGTCACAGAAGCACTGATGTTCAATGTATTTCCTAACCCATTTAAAATATCTTTTATAGGGATGAAAACCAAAGGGGAATGGTATCAACAATAAAATCCAAAGGTAAGTATAGAGTTTGTAATAACATAAACAATTGGGTTTGCCTTCCACCTTGGTTTGTAAGAACATGGGAAGATTCAAGACGGTTTAACAAATGGTTCATCTAGTCCATCCAGCAACTTGTTTCTACCAGTAGTCAGCCAGTGATCTGAGAAGTTTATAAGCAGGACCTGAAGGCAACAGCCCTCCAACATTTGCTTGCCCAGAGCGGTTGGTATACAGAAATCATAGATAATAGTTGCATATAACCCCCCCCCACTTTTGAATGCAGCCAGTGGCAATCATCACTTGTAGCAATTAATTCTATAAGACTAAAACTCCTGTCATCCTTGATCACGGGCCACTTTGGCTGAAGCTGATGATAACTGTAGTTGAAAACATCTGGAGGGCAGCAGGTTGGGGAAAGGCTAGTTTACTGGGATATTTGACCAGGCATCAGAAGAAATTTCCACCATGATAGCAATATCCCTTTCCCATCAGCCCAAGATCATTCTTGTTCTATAGGATATATACACACACGATACACCAGCACCTGAATAGTAGGATATTCTTTGCCCCAGTAGTCATAACATGCTGGAAAGGCAAGAAGTATGCATGGCATTTTTGTGGGTCACCCAACAACAACTATGTTGAGAAGCTAACAGATAACTTAAAGTTCTTAATAGACCATATAGGAGTAAGAATTTAGAGTTAGGGTAGAGTTCTGTGAGTGTAAGCCATCCATACCAGCAGATCCCAACTGGAAAATGTTAATGAAAATGAAATAATTTATTCTTCAATTGATTATAAGCAGCTCCCCATCCCACAGTTTCTGCACCAAAAATCTGTTTCATGAAACCAGTTATTATTACCAGGGTTTCCCCCAAGAAATCTGAGACTGTGCCTATGTGAAGCCAACCTCTCCTCTGCACTTTTCATGCTTCTCCTGGTTGTGGGAGACCAGCAGGGAGCTTGTTGCAGCAGGAGGGGGAGACACCTGTCTGACTCATCTCTGTGTCTTGGCCTCCCTCATCTCACTCTCCTGCTTCAGCCTCTGATTCTGGACTTCTCTCTGCCACAGACTCTCCCAGCTCACTAAACCCTGTTACCTCCTCAGCTTCCAACTCCACCTCTTCCTACTCTTCTCACTCTGACCACTTATCGTTGTCCCACCACCACTTTCTTCTTCTTCTGTCCCACCTTCTTCCCTTGGGGGTTCCCCAGGTGGTGGTTCTTCTCATCATTCCTCTGTGTCATGACAGTTGCCTGTTGAAAACCGGATATTGCCATTTTTATTTGTTATATGCTATATTTTGTTTTCCTAATGCAGCCTTCTGGGGTGATTCTGATGACAGTAACTCTGAGATTGAAGAAGCACTGCGTCCTCAATTGCATTCCTCACAAAAAGATGAATTTGATGACTTCTATGATTGAGGACCAACATTTCCCCCACATACATGTGCTAAAAAGCTCAAAGGAAGTTTTTCCTAGGGGGTGATTTAGAACCAAGGTGAATGTAATGCTTTTCCTTGTTTGAAATTCACAAAACTTGGGCGGGGGCACACAAATCAATTTGAAACAGGAAAACTGAGGGTAGGGTACTGTTTTCCTTCCCTCTTTGTTGCTGATTGCTCCACTAAAAGCAGGGGGGTGTTTTCTTCAAAAAAAGTCTAACAGACTACAGTTATATGCACTTACCTATAATGTGCAGTTGGGCCAAATTTCGGGGGGAAACAGATCTGTTGTTATTCACAGAATTACTAATTGTGTGATGTTTAAGTGATTAGCAGTCATGGGAAGGTGTATGTGATCCAGACTGAAACCATGGCCTGCTGCAGTACTGATCCAGATTTCTATTCATTTCTGTCCTAATGCCCCCCTGCAATTTTGTCCTTTTCCATTGGGATGTAGGAATAAACCATATTATTTCAGAAATCAAAGTTTCAGATGTGTGACTCAGCCACATGTTTTCTTTTGTATTTACTTTGTCTTGTTCTAATAAAATGCACTCTTGACAATGTACTTAAAGAAACTCTAATTACTGTTGTGTATTTAAAGTATTGACCTGTGTGATTTTTGTTTCATATACTGAAATCTATAAAGACTATAGTTAAGTATTGTTCAATGGAATATTGGGCTGCTTGCAACTGCCCTGAACATGATGATGTCACACCTCCTGCTCAAGAATACATAATGGGATCCAGAAATGTACAACAACTGTTGCCCAGTCACTAATATTTTCTTCTTGGGTAAGGTGATCAACAAACCACTTCTGATGCTGCTCCTCAACAGCTCCCCCCACCCTGCCGCTGCAATGAATGCAAATAACCACCCCAGGATTCTTAGCAACTAGTTAGTAGTATTCTTCGGTCACTTATGGCTTACTCTGTGGCTTACTCCACTTATATGGATCAGGAGAGGCTGTAGCCTGCTCACCAGATGCAGCCATGGCAGTCAGGATGGGTCCAAAGGACTTCCTGTGGACATTAAATATTTACAGTGCTACATTGGTTCTCAAACTTAATCCCTTCCGGAAGTCTGTTCCAAAACCAAAGCATTCCAAAACCAAGGTGTGCTTTCCAATGGAAAGTAATGCAAAATGTATTAATCCGTTCCAGACAATTAAAAACAACCCCTAAAACAGCAGTTTAATATGAATTTTACTATCTAATGAGACCATAAAATGAAAGCCATAAATTAGGCTGCAATCTACTTTTTGTTGTTGTTTAGTCGTTTAGTCGTGTCCGACTCTACGTGACCCCATGGACCAGATGTAATGGTTCTAAGGGGTTGCTCGTGCGTAAGCAGGTGCCTATCTCCCTGGCTGGGTGCAAACACCTGTCTGGGCTGCCAAAGTGAACTTCCTCTGTCCGGACAGCCACTCACCCGTGGCTGACTCAGTCGCTGGCAGGATCCGTGAGTGGGCGTTTCTTAAACTTCTTCCAGCAAAGAAGCTCTTTGACGCCTAGTCTCCGCCTACCCTCTCTGCACGAAAGCCTTCTGTGCAGGGAGGGCGTGGGCAACGGAGGACCCCTACCCTCCCCGCTGGTCCCAGGCAAGGAGTCATGGGACCGCCTCACCATTTCCCCCACCTGCCCCCCTTCTCCACTGGTGCTACGCTGATTCTCTTCCCCAGAAGATGGGCTGCTTCTCCCGATCCCTGGACGCTCTCTGGAATCCCTCTGGCTTTTGCGCCCCCCCTCCAGTACTGATGGCAGTTCCCTGACACCAGAGCAAGCCAAGCACTTCTGTCCTCCACTGCCTCCCGCAGTTTGGTCAAACTCATGCTGGTAACTTCGAGAACACTGTCCAACCATCTCGTCCTCTGTCATCCCCTTCTCCTTGTGCCCTCCATCTTTCCCAACACCAGGGTCTTTTCCAGGGAATCTTCTCTTCTCATGAGGTGGCCAGAGTCTTGGAGCCTCAGCTTCAGGATCTGCCCTTCCAGTGAGCACTCAGGACTGATTTCCTTAAGAATGGAAAGGTTTGATCTTCTTGCAGTCCATGGGACTCTCAAGAGTCTCCTCCAGCACCATAATTCAAAAGCATCAATTTTTTGGTGATCAGCCTTCTTTATGGTCCAGCTCTCACTTCCATACATCACTACTCGGAAAACCATAGCTTTAACTATACGGACCTTGCAATCTACTACCCAGTATCAAAAACTGGCAGTGGTCTACCCATTGCCATTGGAGGGACGAGGCGGAGGGAGGAGTTTAAGTGGAGGAGAGGAGAGCATGGGCTGCGTGTGGGGAAGGAGGTGGCCAACTAGATGCAGGAGGGGGAGTTTAAGTGGGGAGGAAGGAAAGCGAGGCAAAAGTTTTCTCCCCACACCCAAGCCAGCCCTCTCCCCCCCCTTGCATGTTTTCCAGCATCTGCCCACGTTCCCCACTTTGGGCAGTATGACTTTGGGCACTGCCTGTGCGTCCCTGGCATGGCGACACTTAGACACAGCAGCAGCACTGGAGCATGAAGAGGAGGCAGTGGCGGCTGCTCTTGGCTGCGCTCCTAGCTGCTGGACGCTGAGCTGGGTGGGCTGGAGCCTGCACGCAGTGCAAGCACCCCGATCCCCTGCTCGGGAATGTGGTGCCCACACTGCCTCACCTGGACCTCGCTTGGGGTCGGGCTTAGGACGGGAGGGGGGAAGGCGAGGTGGCAGGAATGTCAACCTGCCCAGCACAGTTCCCCCACCACACACTCCCCCCCCAACACTGTCTCTCTGCGCGCTGGGGGAGAGTCACCAACTTCCAAGTCTCCCTACTCCAGTCACTTACATTCCGAGGAATCAGCGGCGTAGCATGGGTTGTCAGCACCCGGGGCAAGGCAAGTAATTTGCGCCCCCTAACCTGGGGCAAGTAATTTGCCCCCCCTAACCCGGGGCAAGCCAAGTAATTTGCGCCCCCTAACCCCTAACCTGCCGCCGCTGCCAGCTTCTTCTTGCTGCCTGGTCTGGTCTGGTCTGGTGTGGTTCTCTCCCGCGCTCAGCGCTGCGCTGGGCGGCCGCTGCACTGTCCCTCCCCCAGATAGTCCCTCGCTCTCTCTCCGCACCGCACGCCTGGCACCCACCCCCTCCACAGTGGGCGGTGACCCAGCGGCTCGGATCGGATTGGCACAGCCAGCACTGCAGTGAGAGAGAGTGAGTGAACTTCCGGGGTGTCGCCATCGGTAATGGCGGACTCCCTCTGATCCGGAGGGACTGGCTCCACGGAAAACGGGTCTGTTCCGCTACGGTGAAGCGGGGACCCTTCAAAAAATCACAGGCGGAGGAAGCCTGTGACCATGGGACTCGGCGGGCACCTTTTGCGCCCCCCCAATCCGTAAAGGAACCCAACTACGGGCTCCGGAGCGAAGAGGGGGAAGTGGCGCGGTGCTGAGAGTCAGCTGCTTCTTCCGTGGAGCGAAGCCGCACAGCCGTTGCCGGAGAGCGCTGCCTTTTTCCTGGGACAATTTGGACTCTAAAATAAGCACCCGTGAGTACTTAGACTTTGAACAACTGGACATTAGATAAGGACTTGCGAGCAGAAAGGAACTGGATTTTAAAAACCTATTTAAATTTGGTACGGAACGGGAAGGTTTAAACAGGAAGTCAGCCTTCCGTTCTTCTGTAGACAGAATAAAGCAAAGACAACGTAAACTAGAGCTTAGAAAATCGCCTTTAAAGGATTGGATTTCATCATTTAAAATTGTGGACGCCTGGACTGTTCTTTTCCGGACTGTTTAAAGTGAGTTTAAAGTAAAGTAACTTTCCTCCGTCCTGATCCTGGAGCGGGGTGTCAGGACTGACGTTTGAAGTTCATTGACCAGAGACAAGCGTTTTTGACAGATAGCTAAAAGAAGAGACACATAGCTATTCCACTGCTTCCCTTCACATCTTTAAGCAACAAATATTGACAAAGTATCTCAAAAAGGGAAACTTTGTTGTAAGAACAAATAGAAGTTTTCCCCCTAGAGGGAGACTGTGTAACCAACCACGGAAATAGCAGTTGACTCACAGCACCGCGCCACTTCCCCCTCTTCACTTCGGAGCCCGTTGGTGGGTACGTTAGCGAGTTGGGGGGGTGCTAAAGGTGCCTGCCGAGTCCCATGGTCACAGGCTTCATCCGCCTGTGATTTTTAAAAGGGTCCCCGCTTCGCCGTAGCGGAAAAGACCCGTTTCCCACGGAGCTAGTCCCTCCAGTTCAGAGGGAGTCCGCCATTGCCGATGGCGCCACCCCGGAAGTCGGGACAAAAATACTGTCAAGTTGGAGTTTCCACGAGTGAAAGGACCAGGAGACAAAGTAAAGTACAGGTATAAATATGAAGAAGATCTGCGGAAGGGACATGGAAGAGACTTAAGGGCCTCGGACATAAGATTACCAGGTTAATGAACTAAAAGGATGAGACAGAAAGGACTGACAAAACCCGGGACCAGGAGGAAGATTGGAAGAAATTTTTTTTTAAAAAAATTCTATTTAGGATTGTTTTGTAAAATTAATGAGTATTAGAAAAATGTTGGAACGAAACTATTTGGCTTTAGCAGAAATGTTAAAAAGAACTATGCAATAATATGTTATGGTTATGAGAAATTGGTATAAATAAGATTTAAGTTTTAAGTTTTCGGGTTTTTTAAAGTAAGATAAGGTTAAAATAGATTAAGGTAATTTAATGACAGAATATTATGAAAAATGGGAAGGATTTGCTGTTATAATTAATAACTGGAATACAAAAAAGGGAGGTTTGAGGAGGTCGATGAAATAAGGCAATGACAGTTAAGGATTTGGGAATATTGGATCTGTTTTTAATTGTTTGTGGTTTACTTTTGTTTTTTGGATTTTGATGTGTTTTGTCTTTTTTTTTATTTTTATTGATTTGTATGGTTTGACTGCTGTTTGCTTTTCCTTTGTTTTTTCTTCTTCTTTGTTTCTTTGTTTTTTTTGTAACTTTAAAATGCTTAATAAATATCATTAAAAAAAAGAGAGAGAGAGAGAGAGAGTGAGCCAGGTAGGGGCAGAGCGCTGCGAGTGCGAGCACGCCCCCCCCCCCCAGATGTTGCGCCCGGTGCGGCCGGCCCCCCCTGCACCCCCCACGCTACGCGACTGCGAGGAACGTAACTCCACTTCATACCGAGGAAATAGGCACTTCCCAGCAGAGGGAAGGGAAGGGAAGGAGGTGGCGGCAGTCATTGCTGGAGCCAAGCCGCTCGCTCAGAACAGAAGTGTGCACGCAAATCAGAGCACGTTCGGCTTCCGAAAAAAGTTCCGGAACACTCATTTCTGGGTTTGAAGTGTTTGAGTTCCAAGTAGTTCGAGAACCAAGCTGTTATAAAACCGAGGTACCACTGTATAAAGCTTTGTACAGAGTCCAACCCATAACACTTCTGCCCCCCCCCCCTTTAGAAGCAATATGCCCAGTCCCTTGTCCTCTGCCTTTCACCTGCAGGTCTTAGCAAACAAGCGATACCTTGAGTGCAAGGCCACACTGACTCACAACTGGTATGGGGTAGTAAGGAATGCTGCTTCTCACTGCCAGCCAGCCAAGCTGA